TACAAAACCAATGTAAATCCACATCATGTACAACCAGAAGAATGGGAAGTTATACTCCACATATGTGTATGTAATATGTCAAAATACATTCTACTGTCATGTCTAACTAATAAGAACAAATAAAAATATTTAAAAATTAATTAAATAGCAAGAAAATATCCTTAATTTATTTTTAGTGAAATAAAAGATCTGAAATTATACCATAGGGGCCAGGAATATAGCTTAGGGGGAGAGCATATGCTTGGAATGTATAAGGCCCTGGTTCAATAGAAAGAAGGAAGAAAGGGAAGGAGAGGGGGGAGAGACAAAGAATATTACACAATAGTATGACACTACTATATTTTCTCCTAATCACAACACATAGAGCCAGGGGCAATGGCACACATCTGCAATCCCAACGGCTTAGGAGGCTGAGGCATGAAGATCACAAGTTCAAAGGCAGCCTCAGCAATTTAGGGAGGACCTAAGCAACTTTAGTAAGACCCTGTCTCAAAATCTCAAAATTTATTAAAATTTAATAAAGGGGCTGGGATGAACTCAGTGGTTAAGTGCCCCAGATTCAAACTCCAGTACCAAAAAAAAAGCAATAAAAAAAAGAAATTAGAGGCAAACGCATCAAAATGTAAGTAGTAATTGTATTTGGATGAAGGGAATATAGGGTTCTTTTAAATTCTTCTGCAAGATTTCATTTTCATACAGAATTCCTTTATAATAAAAACACATATACACAAATAGTGTATTTGCATTTTTTACACAAATGGGTAACTGAGATGTGAAAGGAATTGTGGATACATTCAGCTTAGGGTGAGAGTGAGAGTACAGTCATCCAGTTAAGAGTCACAAATTTGACAAAAGCTTTATAGGAACCTAGCAAGAAAGTACTATTAAAACACTCTAGGAATTGCAACTGCAAGCAGAAATACTCTGGATCAAATTTAAGATGTCAGATTTTTGATAGGGAGGTTTACCCAGTTAAATCTATGCAAACATTCCAAAATGTAAAAAATCTGAAATCTGAAAAAAGCATTTTGAATAAGGGATATTCCACCTATATAAGATTCTTTGAGTAGTTACTTGATTCTGTACAATCTTATCTGGTTTGGAACCTTCTGTTTGAAGTTATTTCTTTTGGCAATAAAATTTTAAGCAGTGATTAGTGAGAATTATATCCCAACAAAGTTCAACCAGAGTTCATATAATGAGATAAGCACTGATTCACTAGATCATAGGCTCTTTGAAGGCAGAAATCTAATTCATCTTGGAGACTTCAGCTTTAAATAATGTGACAAGTGCAAAAAGACACATAATTGGGCTTAGTAATGCTTGCTGGATAAATCCATTTGGTGCTGGACAAAAATTACAACCAAACAAATTTTCATGCAGATAATGCCAATGTAGGTATTTCATGGCTTTAAAAAATTGTTCTTGGGCTAGGGATGTGGCTCACGTGGTAGCACGCTCACCTGGCATGCACAGGGTGCTGGGTTTGATCCTCAGCACCACATAAAAAAATAAAATAAAGATGTTGTGTCCACCAAAAACTAAAAAATAAATATTAAAAAAAATTCTCTCTCTCTCTCTCAGTTGCTAAGGCTGGCTTTGAACTTGTGATCCTCCTGCCTCAGCCTCCCACGCCACTGGGATTTCAGGTGTGTGCCACTGTAGTACACCTCTCTCTCTCTCTCTCTCTCTCTCTCTCTCTCTCTCTCTCTCTCTCTCTCTAAAAAAATGTTCTTGGCAATATAAACCAAATCAAACAATGCCAGAGCTAGTTAGGGTAACATATTTTAAATAAATGGAAGTATTTCATTTGGGGATATCAACTACTTTCCTCTGAAAGTCTGACAATCTTAATTTTTTCCATTACAACTGTAGAATAGACTATTCATCATCAATCTTTACAGTCACAAAAGACTAAAACTATTCCTAATCAATCTTATAGTCCTATAAAATGAAACATCATCATAAGTATCACCTTTGAACAACAACAAAAAAACCCCAGTGGTTGTCCTGAGTGTCACAGGACCCTAAAAAAAAAAAAAAACAAAAAAAAAAAAAACAAACCTTTTTTTTAATGTTTTGAAATTATTTTAAGTGGCAACATATTTTCAGTCTTCTGGTTTCTAGAAAACACTGTACTCACCAGGTACAGTGGCACACACCTGAAATCCCAGTGGCGTGGGAGGCTGAGGCAGGAGGATCACAAGTTCAAAGCCAGCCTCAGCAACTGAGCAAGGCCCTAATCAACTTAGTGAGACCCTGTCTCCAAATAAAAAATTAAAAGGGCCAGGGTTGTGGCTCAGTCCTTAAGTGCCCCTAGGTTCAATCCCTGACACCAAAACAAATAAACAAACCAAGAAACACACTATGTTCATCCCAGGGTTGCCTACACTCCTGTGGCAAAGACAGTTACTGTGCTCTGTAATAATACAGTAGTTGAGTACTTACTATGTGGAACTAATTTAATTTCTGCAATAATCTAAATGCATTGTATAGATGAGGAAACAAAAGTTATGTCAGGTTAAGTGGAAAATGCTTAAAAACTAGATCATAATGACAGCACAACTTTTTTAACTTTGGGTAAAAATCATTATAACTTCAAATGGGCAAATTTTATGGTATTCAAGTTATAACTGAATAAAGGGGTTAAAAATTATATACCAGAATATATACAAAGGCTTTAAAATCAGCTTAGTACAGTGAGGCAGCCACATCAATGTTTATAGCAGCTCAATTCACAAGAGCTAAGCTATGGAACCAAGCTAGGTGCCCTTCAACAGATGAATGCATAAAGAAATTGCGGTATACATATACATAGTGTACTATTACTCAGCCATAAAGAAGAAGAATTTTATGATATTTGTCAGTAAATGGACAGATCTGTAAACTACTATACTAAGTGAATAATCCAGTCTAGAAAAGCCAAAGGTCAAATGTTTTCTCTGATATGTGTAAGCTAACCCACAGTAAGGGGTAGGGAGAAGAGAAGTTCAGTAGATTATACAATGGGGAATGGAGGGAAGGGAGGGGAATAGAAAAAGGAAAGAGTGGAATGAATCTAACATAATTTTCATGTGTACATATATGAGAACATCACAGTGAATCCCACCACCACGTACATCCATAAGAATGGAATCCTAACTAGAATAAGGTATACTCCATGCTTGTATAATCATATCAAAATGGATTCTACTGTCATGTATAACTAAAAAGAACCAATAAATAAGAAATAATTACACATAAGAGAGAAAAAGCAGTGAAGTGTCCAGTGACAGGCTGACACCATCTAGCGGGTCTGTCTCCAGAGCGCACAATACACTACTCCTCTGAGAACAGTAAACCCAGGCCAGGATGTACTTAGAAGTGAAAAGACTCCTGAAGGGAATTGAGGACTCAGATTTCACTGACCTGTACATTCCTTTTAGATGTTTATTTCTTCATGCCCATATTATTCTTTAATTCCATATCCCTAGTAGACATTGTTACATAAATTTGTGCAACCAATTTTTTAGATATTTCAATATATAGATCAGTTAAATATAATATATGGGAATGTACCTTAAAAATAAATGAACTGCTCATTATGCCTCTGTCTTTTGTGGAAATTGATTTTTCTCATTTTCTTGAGAGCATACTGTTTAACATTTATTATTTCTCCAAAATAACAGAAGCAAAACTGCAGCCTTGAGCTCACAAAATTTCTTTTCATTTTACCATCTCATCCACTCTGTTATAACCAAACAAATCTAAATATGACAGACTGCCAATTATTTTTCTTTCAATTTCTTCTTTCTCTTAACTGCTGAGATTATTGATATCCTGGGCTGGTCTATGAGTTCTGAATGATTGTCCAAATGGACCTAAGTGATATTATGGTTTATATATTAGGTGTTCCCCAAAAGTTCATATGTGAGATAATATAACAAAGTTTAGAGGTGAAATGACTGGGATGTAAGAGGTTTAACATAATCAGTGCAGCAATCTCCTGATAAGGAATAATTTGGTGGTAACTATAGGCAGGTAGGGTGTGACTGCAGGAGGTGGGTACCTGAGGGTGTGCCTTTGGGATTTATATTTTCTCCTTCTTGACCAGATCTCTTTTTCTCTGCTTCCTGTTATGTATCCCCAGCTGCTTTCCTCTGCCACACACTTGTGCCATGATGTTCTGCCTCACCTCAGGTCCCAAAGAATGAAGCTGGCGATTTATGGACTAAGACCTCTGAAACCATGAGTCCCCAAACAAACTTTTCTTCTTCTAATTATTCTTGTAAGGTCTTTTGGCCACAGCAACGAAAAAGCTGCCGAAAACAAGTGACTAGCAACGAAATCCAGATGACACACATTAGCTCCTGATACAAGTCTCAAGGCTAAGTCTTAGGTTCTTCTGTCATGACTTATTTCATCTTGTTAGATCCTGCACTGCAAAATGAACTAACTTTCATTTTTTTCCATCTCAAGCCAGGTATGAAGTTACATGGTAAACTGAAAATCAATACATAAAAGATATCTATTTTTAAAGCTATCATTTATTAGATGTGTGTTATGTCCAGGCACAAGATACTTTCTACATATTATTGCTCATCCTTATAAAATATCCTCCATTTTACTACAGTTAAGACCTTGAGAGTTAGAGAGTTAAATACCTTGCAGATCAGGTAGCTAAAAACTGGCAGAGATGAGATTCATCTGCCTTATTCCAACCCCATGTACTTTCCACCATATCCCAAACCACTTATCTGTGTATTATATTTTAAAACAACATTATTTAATATTAGTATGAAAACTTACTGATAACAGAGCTATCATACTCTTAAAGACATCTGCTAAAATTAGGAACACCCATATGTGACACTTAAATCCAATAAAATACTCACTTACAACTTATTCTAGTTAAAAACAACACAAAACTCAATCCCCTTAAGTGATTGTTTTCTGATTTTCTATAAATGTTGCTTTCATGTGATAATCCTTAAATCAAGAAAATCAAAAGGATTGCTTACTTATCATTCTTTTTCTTCTTTCAGAATCTGAGTCATTCATGTTACTAAAAATGAACAGAGGACAAATTAACCACTATCTCCCCAAATTATATTATTTTTATAAAAAGGAGGAAATAGGGGCTGGGGATACAGCTCAGTTGGTAGAGTGCTTGCCTCGCATGCACAAGGCCCTGGGTTCAACCCCCAGCTCCACCAAAAAAAAAAAAAAACAGGAGGAATTATTTGACAAGATAAATAGTGAGGCAAAAACATTCAAATTTTTGAATTGAATCAGTGTGTGAAAGGATGATAGGAAAGGAAGAAAAGACAACACAATATACAAACAATACAAATACATTTTGTGGACTAGGGATGTAAATCAGTGGTTGAGTGCTTGCCTTCATGTGTGAGGGTCTGAGTTTGATCCCCAGAACCACAAAAAAAGAAAAAAGGAAATAATATTAGAACCAAGTTTGAATAAACACTACAAAATACTACCTTTTTTACTTTTTTAGATAACACCAAAATATCCTCCATTTTACTACAGTTAAGACCTTGAAAGTTAGAGAGTTAAATACCTTGCAGATCAGGTAGCTAAAAACTTTTATTTTATACAATGAAAAACTTATGCTTTGCCAAGTGTGGTGGTACATGTCGGTAATCCCAGCAACTCAGCAGGCTGAGGCAAGAAGATCTCAAGTTTGATGCCAGCCTCGGTAATTTAGCAAGGCCCTGAGCAATTTAGCAAGACCCTCTCTCAAAATTAAAAATTAAAAAAGGAGCTGGGGATGTGGACTCAGTGGTTAAGTTCCCCTGGATTCAATCCCTGGTACCCCTACCACCCACCAACAAAACCATTTTGTCCAAAAAAAAAAACTACACTGATGCTTTTCCTTGTCTTGAACATAAGTTTTCTGAACATAATTTAACTTTTTCTTGATTACTGAGGGTTCCCTTTTGAGAGTTCCTTTTATAAATAGCTAGCAAGAGCCATTAAGTGGCAAAGGCCTAATCTGTCCTGAACATCCTGTGGTTTTCCTGGCTCTTCCTTCTCCCTTCACCTGCCAATACCTTCAGCTCCTTTACTCTGTCATGTTGGCTGCTTCTAATTCATTATGAGGCATGATGTGACAGTAAATAGACACTGGACAGAAGCCTACAGACCTTCCTCCATGGCTCAGGGTGTGAGCTGTGTAATCAGAGTTGAATGAATAGGTGAATGCTCTCTGCTCAGGTGAGGTGTTTCCCTAGGTGCTTCATCCAGGATAAAAAGAAACACTGAGGGCCGAGGCTGTGGCTCAGTGGTAGAGCGCTTGCCTAGCATGCGTGAGGCACTGGGTTCAATCCCTGGCACAATATAAAAAAATAAATAAATAAATAAATAAAACAAATAAAATAAAGGTACTGTGTCCATCTACAACTAAAAAAAAAAAAAAGAAAGAAAGTAACTCTGAAAAATGGAACTGAAGGGAGGAATCTGATAGGTTAACAATGATAAAATAATATATCACATACTTTTATTGGAAGTGATTAGATGACTTTACCTCTTCAGTCTCAAAATGTATTTGGACACCCAGGTAGGAAAGAGTTCATGCTTTGAAATTGTCTTCAGTGCCCAGAATTGCTAAAGGAAAATATGTCAATATATTGGTTATTATATTAATATTTGCTCAGTTTGTTTTAATTTCATGTTTATTTACATTGTCTATGTTCTTTAATAATAACTCACCCATACTTTTATAAAGAATGCCATTTCAAGTGGAAGTCTCACAAAAAAATTTTTTTTTCCTTATTTAAATTTAATTCTATGGGGCTGGGGTTATGTCTCAGCGGTAGAGCGCTTGCCTTGCATGTGCAAGGCCCTGGGTTCGATCCCCAGCACTGCATAAAAATAAGTAAATAAATAAAATAAAGTTATTATATACAACTACAAAAAAAATTTAAAAAATTTAACTCTAAAATTCTACCTCATAGAAATCCAGGTAATGGCATGATTTAAGAGAAATAAAAAATGGACAAAGTTCTTATAAATAGAGATAGACATTACATACTGAATACTTATATTATCAAGTATTTTTTTACATAGGGAAGTCTTTTATTATATGAAAACCTTAATCTGCAACTGCATTTTATTTAGTTATCCATTAATTCACTTAACAAATATTTATGAAATGATGGCTATGTGCTGGGAACTACAGTTACATGCAGGATACAAAAATTAGTAGGACACCATTTCTAACTTTAAGAAAGTAAGTATATAGTTGGGCATCATGGCACAACCCTATAATCCTAACAACTCAGGAGGCTGAGGCTGGAGGATTGCAAGTTCAAGTCAGCCTTGGCAACTTAAACTTGGAATGGAACCACCATTTGACCCAGCTATCCCATTCCTTGGTCTATACACAAAGGACTTAAAATCAGCATACTATAGTAATGCAGCCACATCGATATTCATAGCAGCTCAATTCACAACAGCTAAACTGTAAAGCAACCTAGATGCCCTTCAATAGGTGAATGGATAAAGAAACTGTGGTATATATACACAATGGAATATTACTCAGCACTGAAAGAGAATAATATTATGGCATTTGCTGGTAAATGAATGGAGTTGGAGAATATCTGCAAAGAGAAGTAAGCCAATCCCAAAAATCCAAAAGCCAAATGTTCTCTCTGATAAGTGGATGCTGATCCATAAGGGGGGGGGGGGCATGAGAAAAATGGAGGAATTTTGATGGGACAAAGGGGAGGGAGAGATGGGGAGGGGGAATGGGGGAAGGAAAGATGGTGAAACGAGATGGACATCATTACCCTAGGTACATGTATGACTGCACATATGGTGCAACACTACATCATGTACAACCAGGAAATGAAAAGTTGTGCTGCAATTATGAACAATGAATCAAAATACATTCTGCTGTCATATATACCTAATTAAAATCAATTAATTAATTAATAAAAAAGAATATCAGGGAAATAAACCTTGAAGAAAATCACAATATTTTCTTTTCCAGCATTTATTTTGATCTTTTTCTTTAATAAATTTTTCCCTCTTAAAAATAGAGGCAGTTGGGGCTAGGGTTGTGGCTCAGCAATAGAGTGCTTGCCTAATATGCGAGAGGCACTGGGTTTGATCCTCAGCACCACATTAATAAATTAATAAATAAATGAATTAAATAAAGATATAAAAAAATAAAAGCAGTTGAACTGGGTATGGTGGTGCATGCCTGTAATCCCAGTAGCTCAGGAGGCTGAGGCAGGAGGATCAGAAGTTCAAAGCCAGCCTCAGCAAAACTGAGGACTGAGCAATTCAGTGAGACGCTGTCTCCAAATAAAATACAAAAAAAATAGGGCTGAGGATGTGGCTCAGAGGTTGAGTACCCCTGAATTCAATCCCTAGTACCAAAAAAATAAAAAAGGCAGTTGGCTTGGCCCTCCTTATCTGCAGATTCCATATTCATGGAATCAATCAACTGAATCAAAACATTCAGACAAAAAATAGGTCTGTACTCAACATGTGCCAACTTTCTGTTCTTGTCTTTATTCCCTAAACAACACAGTATCATAACTATTTGCAAGTATTAACATTATATTAGGTACTGAAAGGCAACCTAGAGATGACATAAAATTATGTGTGAGGGGACTAGGGTTGTGACTCAGTGGCAGAACACTTGCTGAGCATGTATGAGGCACTGGATTCGATTCTCAGCACCACATAAAAATAAATAAATAAAATAAAGGTCCATCAACAACTGAAAAAAAAAATTTTTTAATTATGTGTGAGGATGTGCCTAGGTTATATGTAAATGCTGCATCATTTTATATGACAAACTTGAGTATCCACAGATTGTGGTATCCATTGGGGTCCTGAAACTAGTCCCCCACAGTTACAGAGGGATAATGGCATATTTCTGATGAAAATACAAAATATTAAAGCCTATAACAATTTAATAAGATCTAGCAAAATTACAAATGCATATGACCTTATCCTAGAACTTCATTCCTGGAAATTCCCTACATCTGTACCAAATGAAATACCCTATATTCACTGTAATAGCAGAAGTTTGGGACCAACCGAAATCCCACTGTAGGGAACTGGTTAGATAAAATATGGTACACTTCAACAGATTGTTTTTGCACTACAAAAAGAATGAGAATTATTCTATTTATTGATGTAAAAAGGTCTTCAGGATATATTATATTATTAAAACCTATATTATATAAATAGGCTCTTTTTTATATGAAAAATACAATATACTTTCACTTGCATCAAGAAATGCTAGAAGGACATATAAGAAATTAATAAAAATGGTTTCTCCCAGGAGTAGCATGAGGGGAATGTGTGGGTGGAGACAAGGGCTTTTAATTAGGTGACTACACTACCTATTTAAACATGAAGGGGGAGGAGGGGGAGGGTGGGGATTGGGACTGACGGCCTGTGTTACTGATGAGGCACTGGGACCTGGACATGCTCAAGTGTATTCAGCTACTAGGTGAAAACATCTAGACTCAAATTCCACAGGACCCTAATTCTACATCCTATGACTTATGCTGCCTTTCTTTTGGTGACTATGACTGGATATACAGCCCCAAAGAGAAGTTATCTGCCCTTGGCTTCCTCCCTGGACTCCACATCTGCATTTAATTCAAGACACAGTAATGGAAGAAGGAGCTGCTGGTGCAAATGAGCTAGCAGACCCAGTAAGGGCTTACTCGCTGCTCAGATCACACTCCACCATGAAATTCTGCTGCCAGAACGTCACACAAAGTGCTCTTAGCATGAAAATGCCTTCAGATGGGCTTCCTCAGGCATGAGGATCCAATCCTGCTGTTTTTCTATTAACAGAAAATAAGTTAAAGACTAATGAAAATTTTACCATTATTACTATATTGAGCTACTCCCTCAAATGACATAGACTTCAGGACTTTATTTTCACTTCTTATACAAAATTAGTAGTTTCTGGACCCTAGGTTTAATAAACCACAATATCTAGCAACTTCTGAAAGTGTCTTTATGAAAAATCCCTTTAAAACCAGATTTCTTAAATGTACTGTTGCCATATAGACATGTGCCAATAAAGAGGGCAGAAAGGCAAAGTGGTAGGTACCCACAGCCCAAGAGAATCGCAGCTGGAAGAATGATAGGCATATTTACAGTATTCACAAGTTGTTTTCTTTCACCAATCCTTGCCAACAGGCAAAAATCATTTAGTGAGTACATACTATTTGCTAAAGTCTTCCCTACATTTGAAAGACAGAGCTGATTAAATTTTGGTCCCTTCATAACCAAAGAAGTGTCCAGTGGAAATGCATCATTACAAGACCAGTGTGAAAAGTGCCAAGATCAAAATAGGCAGCAAGCTGTTCAGGTAGCTGCGAGGAAGGATAGCTAAGTCAGACTGGGCTGTCACTGAAGGTTTACTAAAAGAAGTGAAGTAACAACTAAAATTTTCTAGATACATGAAAATGTTTGAATTATTCTAAAAGACCGTAAGAGTTAAGAGTTATGTCATGAAGAAAAACTGAAAGCAGGAAAAGTTATGATGGGCTTTACTGACTCCATGCTACCTAGATCAAAAATGACCATGGAAGCCAGTACAAAAGGATGCACGATGCTGCCGCACCCAGGGTTGCTGGCGTTGGAGGGGCAGTGTCTTGTCCCCTTATTGGTAACAATGTATCTCATCTCCCTAATAAGTACTCAGGAAATGATATCTATTATTATTAATAATTTTTCATTATTTTATAAAGTATTTATTGTAATGCCTGACCCTAAAGCTCTCAACAATAGTGGGTACTCAGTATTTGCTGAATAAATGCATGAGTAGGCTGATTTCAACACAAAGTTATAAAAAGATAACATTAACTATACAGAGAATGTCATAAAATGTAATGGAACCAATCTAGGTACCCTTCAACAAATAAATAAGTAAAAAAAAAATTAAATTATAAAAATAAAATTGGGCTTTAATCTCAAAAATAATCTAAAAAATGGTTACAATCTAAAAGACTTGAGACTTATAAATAGATCTATGGTTCTAAAATTCCACAACAAATAGGAATCCTCTGGTAATACCCATACCATTCGATAATTCCATTTCAGTACTAGCACTGAAATGAAAAGGCAACACATTCTTAACATTGAATTACGTGCAGCCACTTTGGAAATAATTTAGCAGTTTTTTTAAAAGTTAAATTTAAATCTACTAAACAATCCAGCAACTCTACTCCTAATTCTGCCCAAGAGAAATGAAAACATATATCTACAAAAACTTGTATATCATTATTTATAGTAGCGTTTATTCATAATGGCCAAAAAATGGAAACAACAAAAATGTCTATCAACTAGTAAATGGATATGAAAAATGTGGTTTACCCACACATGGATAAAGCCATACAGTCAGTAAAGAGAAAAGAACTACTGATGTACATTACGACATGGATGAACCTTGAAACTACACTAAGTGAAGAAGCTGGACACAAAAGATCCCATATTGTGTGGTTCCAGGTGTATGAAATATCTAGAAAGCAGACACCTTTAGAGACAGGGTAAGTAGAAACAGGATTGACTTCAGAGGAACACTAGGGATCTTTCTAGAGTGATAAAACCATTCTAAAACTGGATTGTTACAATTACGCAAATCTGTTAATTATTAAAAAGAACTGAATTATACAGTTTATGAGTGGGACTCTGTGATATATAAATGGTATGTCAATAAACCTGGTAAAGAAAACTGAATGAAGAAAAAAGCCACTGTCACAAGTTAATACCTGAGGAATGTTGAGTTCCTGTAACTGGCTCTCGGTAATCTCACTGAGCTGCAGAAATGTCATCGTAAAGTCAGCTTCTGTCTTTTCCATGAGCTGATGAAAGTTAATACATTTAGCAATCTCAATACTTCAAAAATATTCTGCAGAGTAATGCAAATGTTAACAAAGGTGATAAACTCACATGTAAGAGAAATTCGATTAAATCATCATCACCCTCCTTTTCTCCAAGTAATCCCAGTTTGGCTTTGAACAATTTTCTAAACCTATAAGGAGAAATGTCAATTCAATTTGTTATTAAAATTCTCGATATTTTAACAACTGTCAAACTAACCAAGATGTTTTAATATCTGTATTCAAGACTCACAAACCTTGCATAATAATGAGCAGGGTACTGATGGAGAATCTGAGCAGCACTGGGTGAGGAGTAAAAAGGAAAGAGTTAATCTTGATTTAAAATTAACATTCTCAAATTATATTTTATAAGAATAAAGAGTGCAATGAATCAAAATGCATTCTGCTGTCATATATACCAAGTTAGAATAAATTAATTAATTTTTAAAAATTTTAAAAGAGTAAAGAGAACCTTCACATATATTCAGTAACATGGAGATTACATGCTACTAATTACAGCTTAGCAGTTTAATTACATATCATAGCTCATAGAAAATTATCACTATAAATATATTGTCTCAAAGATTTGTATATAGTACAGGTCAAATCATGTCATAAACAATTTGTTTATAGGATAAATGTGGACATGTATCTATAATACCAACAGAGTAACAGATTTTTTTGGTGAATTTAAAAAATCATCTTAGAACCAAATTAATGCATTACAAATACCTCACCCAATTTGATAACATTTTATTTTTTCTGAAAGTCTGAAATAATAGTACAATGTTTTATGGAAATATAAACTTAAAGGTTCTTCACCTTAACCTCATCTTTAAATAAACTGGCTCTTAACATTCCAAAGTGTATCTTACATTATCCAAAAGCTTAATGCATTCTAAAGTCCCACTCCCTTTACCTTGACCTCATCTCCTGTAACTTCCGCCTGCTTATTTTGTGCAGCCACACTGGCATTCTTGCTGTTCCTTAAACACACACATACACTTCGACCTCAGGACCTTTGCACAGGCTGTCCCCTTTCCCTTAGTGTCCTTCCCCCAGATATTTTCATGGTTTGCTCCTACAACTCCTTCAAGTCTTTGCCCAAGTGCTGACTATTATTCTAAAATTCTAAATGCCTCCTTCTCTGTATTCACCACCTGTCACTTCATTTTCCTCCATAGTGCTCATCTCCTAATATACTTTATAATTAACTTATTTTATTTAATGACTGTCTATCCCTCCAAAAGTAAGCTCTATGGGCTTTTTTCCCCTGCTGTTTTATTCATTTCTATCTGCCTTAGCATTTAGTGTCAGGAACACTTTGAATGCCTAAGACTCAATAAATATTAGTTGAATCAATGAACACTGCAGGGAAAATCAGATATAAAATTGATGAGACACAGGGTGGCAGCAAGAATGCTTAATGACCATCATTTTACACCACTTCGATTTTTAACTATATGACTGTATGACCAATATTTTTATTAAATTAAGGAAACCATAGAAGACCTGTAAAACTTTTATCCTCTTTATAGTAATATTCCTGCTACCTATGGTTAATAAAACCACTATATGCCTTGTCTTCTGTTTGGGATCATGAATTGGAAAAGGTAAATTTTAGATTTTGTAGGGATAAAGGTGGTGGGAAGAAAAACATTTTAGGGCTGGGAATATAGCTCAGTGGTAGAGCACTTTCCTAACCCGGGCAAGGCTCTGGGTTCAATCCCCAGTACTGCACTTAACTTATCTTAACTTCTAGCAAACACATTTGAGACACAGAAATCATTAAAATATTGTCCTTGCTCTTAAGGTGCTCAATGTCCAGTGGATAAATCAATAAATATCTAAACATTCTCCTTTATTAATGTACTCAGATTACCATTCATGCATATTCACATACATACATGATATTTCCATTTGAATAACTGTGAACATTGCAAATCTGTCTAATCATTATTTACTCTTGCTTTAAACAGATAAACATGTTCCCTTTTAGTATAAATTCAGAATGAGAAACCACACAATTGATAGATGGAGATTAAAATTTCAGCTTTATTACCAAAAAAGCTAGTCTGGAGAACATGGCTTAGGTCTGTATGAATGATAAAATACTGCTACATATAACTGAATCCATACTAATTAATATACTGATAGCAATCATTTACCAGAGTAAATTTAAGATACTAAAGGTTATGCAAATTAGAGAATGTATTGCCTATATTTCCTGTATGAGTGAAATACTTGGAAAGTAATTGAGGCAGAGACTTCAAGAAGAAACCATGAAAAAAAAAATGGTAGTAAGTAGTGAAATGGTTCTAAGTGGAGGGATGAGAGGATGAGAGAGTGCTAAAAATAGAGGAGGTACTGCGGGGTACAATGGATTACAGAATCCCAGGCTAAGGCAGGAGGATCATGGGTTCAAAGCTAGCCTCAATAACTTAGCTCAGTAACTTAGTGAGACCCTGTCTCAAAATAAACAATAAAATGGGCTGGGGATGTGGCTAGGTGTTTAAGTACCCTGGCGTTCAGTTCCCAGTACTGGGATGAGGAACACTTTAAAGGAACCTAATAATCTAAAAATCAAAATATTAAACTCTAGAAGTCAGGTAACTGGTGGTAAAACATGAAAACATTCTATAAGTCTCATCCTATTGGGATGGAAAGGAAAGCAATGGGCATATAGAATCTTCGTATTTTAAGACTTTTAGAATCTTAGAAAATATGCTGGAAAATATTTGGAAACTTGTTTTCATATAATAGTAGAGAAAGAGGCAGAAAAAGAAAGGAATTAGCAGTAGAGAAAAAAAATTGTTTTTTTTTTTTTTTCAGTAGAGTTTCCAAACCAACAGGGGAAAAACTGAATATTTCAAATTAAAAAAAAAAAAAGAGGGGTTGGGGGGTTGTGACAGTAAAATAATGATGAAGTACAATGTAAAGTAGAAGATACTTTTTGGAAAAAAAAAAGGTAAGTAAAAACCTGTATGTACCAATAATACAAGAATAAATATGCAAATTTCAAACAATGTTTTAAAACTTGATTAAAAAAAATACAATTAGCCAGGCATGGTAGTGCACGCTTATAATCCCAATGGTTAGGGAGGCTGAGGCAGGAGGATCACAAGTTCAAAGCCAGCCTCAGCAACATAGTAAGGGCCTAAGCAACTTAGCCAGACCCTGTCTCAAAATAAACGATAAAAAAAGGCTAGGGATGTGGCTCACTGATTAAGCGCTCCTGGGTTCAATCCCTGGTACTAAAAAAAGAAAGAAATTGCAATTAAAGTAGTTGTTCTGGATTTTTGTTGTTATTATTGTGTTTTGTATTTTGCTACAGTGCTAGGTACCAAATGCAAAGCCTCACACATGCTAGGCAAACATTCTACCACTGAATCACATTCTCAGCCTAAAGAAGAAGCTCTTAATATGCATCTCTTAAGAATCAAACTTTTCTAATACAAAAAAATAGGGTCATAAAGGACTTGAATAACACAATTAATACCCTCATTTTGATATATTAAAACCTTTGACTATGGAATATATATTTTTATGTGTGTTTGTTAAACATGTCCCAAAATATTTTATGTTGGCCCACAAATAATAGAGATTTTACCAAACACATTCTTTGGTCATAAAAATATGAACAAGGGATGAAGTTGTACCTCAGGGCTTGAGTACTTTCTAATATGCTTAAGGCCCTGGGTTCAATTCCCAGTACTATTTAAAAAAAAAAAAAAGCACAAATAAAAATATTGACAAAATAATTCCCACTAATTAGAAATTAAGAAACATAGTGATAAATCACCCTTTGGATCAAATAGAAAATAAACTAAGGTTTCATAACATCACAAAAGCAATAAACAATAAAAACTTTATCCTAATAACTATGGAAAAAAGTCCAAATTGTCCTAGAGAAAACTATATAGCTTGATCCAGACAACATGGCACACACACAGCTGTAATTCAGATACTCAAGAGGCTAAAGCAGGAGAATCACAATTTTGAGGCCAGCCTGAGCAACTTAGCAAAAGCCTATTTCCAGATAAAAAAAATAAAGAAAGCCATGAATATAGCTCAGTGGTAGAGGCCCTGGGTTCAATCCCCAGTACCACAAAAATAAATACACAAATTTTTATCATAAATATCATATATAGGGTATGTATACACCTTTATTATTAAATAATAAAATTTTATTTAAAATGTTAGTTTCTGGTTTTTCAAAAAGTTATCATTATACAATATATTTTCACATAGATTTAATTAATAGATTTAGGATTTACTCACAGCTGCTTTTGCCCAAGATCCAATAATGGGTTTAGAGCTTGCAACAACTTGTCTAAATTAAACATTCCAATACTGGCTTGATTTCCTATTTTATATCTTCTTTCATCATCTGATACGTTTGGTACAAAATCTGTTTAAAACAAATATCACAGTTTAACAATGGGGATAATAATAAATAAATAACTTCTTTCTGTTTAACGGTTATATTTAAACTTAATAAATTTATATTTATTAGATAAAATTTTTTCTGACATTAGATATTTAACTCAAAATAATTTATTACCCATTTACACTAAAAGTTTTAAAATTATGAATATTTGCCTAATAGAGGAATACATTTCTAACCTATAGGAATGTATAGTTTATCACATATCTATTTCCTTTTTTGATGATAAGAAGAGAGAGTACTGGGGATAGAACCCAGGCCTTGTTCAAGACAGCAAGTGCTCTACCACTGAGCAACGTCCCCAGCCCATGTGTGTATTTCAAACTCCAGCTGGAGTTGTGGAGGTGCACTCCTCCACAAAGCCCTCTCTGAACCCTCCAGTTGTTAGTGGATTACTATTACCTGCATTTTATATATTAGTGAAGTGAGAAGTTTCCAAATGCACAGAGACATTAAAATCCAGACACCAAAGCTCAAGCCCAGGTCTGTCTGACAACATATTCCCGGAAATACTTTATATCATCTCTTCTAATATATAATTCAGAGAAACAGAAACCACCAAAGGATTCATTGTATCATTTATGGTACCCAAAAGATCTAGTAGGCATAAAACTAACCATTTTATGAATGAACCCAATTCTTTCTACTACTGCATCATTGTATTATTTATAACCATTTAAAGTAAACCAATCATTTTTAAAAATGAAATACATACACATGTATAAAACATACATACCTGGATTATAGGCCTCCATAAAACCAAATGGACCATAGTCAATTGTAATGGATAACAAACTGAAGTTATCAGTATTACAAACACCTAAAACAACAACAGAAAATTCTGAAAAAACAATATTAAAATAATAACCTTTTTATTTTAACTCTATCAAATTATCCAGAATATAAAGGGTCACAGGAATGCCATGTTTTCCAGAGATGAAATAAAATTAGATTACAACTGAGTTTAACTGGTAACATTAAATAACTTAATATGTTTAGACCCGCTGGGTATTATACGCTTGTAATCCCAGCTACTCAGGAGGCTGGGGCAGGAGAATCACAAGTTCAAGGTCAGGTCAACAACTTAGTGAGACCCTGTCTTAAAATTTTAAAAAATAATAATAATTTAAAAGGGAGGCTGACAATGTAGGAATATGGTTTGATGGTCAAATGTCCCTGCATTCAATCTCCAGTACCTCAAAACAAACAAACAACAACATGCATACATAAAAAAACCCTATATTTTAAAATTAAATTTAGCCTATTATTTTATAGTCCCCCCAAAAAGCCTTCAAATATTATAGGAATAAAACTCCAGAAATGGAACTTCATCTTTTATTTATCCTCAATATCTAGCATTTATTTAAAAGCACATATTATTTGAAATGAGACTAATAAAGGAATATGATAAATTAGTTTTCAAAGGTTACAAAAAGAAAAAAGAAAACTAAGACCTGTCCCCTGTGATAGTCATGAGCTGCAGAAGATTAGCAGCATGGAGAGCCTTGCCCTTTTTTTGTTGTGCTTATGGGGTTGGTTGGTTTGTTTTTGTTGGAGATATCTATATAGCATAGAAAAAAGGTCTAGAAGAACTGATTTGGAATGTTTAACAGTGATTACCTTGAAGAATAAAACTCACAGTTACTTGTCTGTACTTTATCATAAGTATTTATAATTTAAAATTTTAAAATAGCCTTAAAGACCTTTAAACATAATACATACATATTTGATACACATCACAATTTAAATTTTTAGAAAAGCCTTAAAGAACTCTAGGCATAATCCTTACTGATACACATTACGACCTTGAGGTTGGAAAGCTTTACAAGTAACTTTGTCCTATTTTGTGATTACTGTTCCATTCAAAACTATTTTAAACATGAAAAAAAAATCTTTCTTTGTTCCTTGCTAAAAGCATGTAAACATTAAGCTCATCCACAAGAATTTTTTCTTCTTCTTCTTTATTTTTATTTATTTATTTATTTATTTGTTTGTTTGTTTTTTGTTACCAGGGATTGAACCCAGAGTAGTAGGGAGAAGTGGGTTCTTAGCACTGAGCCACATCCCAGCCTTTTTTAATTTTAATTTTGAGACAGGATCTCAGTAAGTTGCTTAGGGCTTTACTAGGTTGCTAAGGCTGGCCTTGAGCTTGCAGTTATCCTCCCTCAGTCTCCTGAGCTGCTGGAACACAGGAATATTTTTAACTATATAAAAATATAATTTTTACTTTAAGTTAATTCTACTTCCCATCAGAAGAATGCAATAGATAACTTACCATGAGCAAAGCCAACAGACATCCACAAGGCAATAAGTTGTGCTGTCTCAAATACCACAGTGGAAAAAAAATCCTAAAATAAAATTCAGGAGTTTTCCAGGTTTTCTATAGCATATGGCATAATCTTTTATGATACTTAAGACAATGTACATCTTCAAGGAGAACATGGGAAGAATTCAAACATTGAGAACAGAAATACATACATGTATTTAAAACAGAATAAAGTAAAATTATTCATCCAGAAATAATATATTTAAGAGCCTCAGATATTATGGTCAATATTCTCCATGAGCAAGAAGAAAAGTTAAATAGAATTTATAAGAAAGTTCAATTAAAGCATTCCGAGTTACTAAATTTTGCAATGTCACCAAGAAAAATAACAGAATTCCCTATTCTGTAACTGTTGAAAGAATGAAAAGGGATATGAAGATCAAAAACCTTCCAAAAGAATAGGAAATCATGTTTTATTATTATGTATTAGATTTGCTTTTTAACTATTACTATAGAAATATCTATACACCTAAAGTGTGAGGGAAGAAAATATGTGATCAAGTTATAAATGCCACTCAAAAATAACATACATAGTCAGGATGTAGACACACCTGCTCTTTTCTAGGCAGCTTTCAAACAAAACAACTGTCTTGTCTATAATGTGGTTCATCTTCTTTTTCTCTAACAAAATGTTCAAAGTAATCTATACTTCCTTTCCCAACTTTACTTTTGTAAGTTATAATATCTAACATTGGTGGACCAACAAGGGAAAAAGGAGTCAAACTTACCACATATCTATTAGGTTCTTTGACATCTATTGAGGGAAAATGTTCCTGTATAATGAAGTCTAATAGTGTCCTGGGGAGAAAGATATAGTGTCAATCTTCCTTATAATACAGTGCTGCATATCCAAGCACCTAAATCCATTCTCAGCATTTATGAATTCATTAGATCAACTTTAAATTTTAAAAACTTTAAGCTTTTACTCAAAAATGGCAAAAGAAAAATATTTCTTCAAGATTTAGCATTCCTGCACCTCCTCCTTCCACCATGATGTTCTGCCTCACCTTGGGCCCAGAGCAATGCACTTGGTCAACCATGGACTAAACCTTTGAAACCATGAGCCAAAATAAACTTCTCCTCCTCTAAATTGTTCTTGACAGGTATTTTGGTCACAGTGATGAAAAGCTGATAAGCATGGAGAATCCAAGCAGTAGTGACCCCAAAAAGTAAACAGATAGTTAGAAACAATGCCCAGTGAAAATAGACAACTCTATTCAACAGCAGGACGACCATGATCTCAGTAAACATTTGTTAAAAAAGAGAGAGAGAGAGACTCAAAACAATCATAATAAATGCTTATGACTCTTTTCTTTCTTTTTTTTCTGGATTTCCTACACCAATAACTACAATATAGGATCCACATTCCAAATGACACAAAGGGTCTAGCAAAATTTTTCTTCTGTATTTATAATGATTTTTTAAAATGGTATTGCATTAACATGGAAACAGAAGTCCTCTTAAAGAAGGAAATATTTTTGTCTGAAGTAACATCTAGCTAAGTTGGCTTAATAAGATGGAGTTTTACCAACTTGAATCTAATGTATGAAATATGATATGTCAAGAGCTTTATAATGTTTTTAACAACCAATAAAAAAAATTTTAAAAAAAAAATTTAAAAAAAAAAAAAATAAGATGGAGTTTTGTGTACACAGATCACAGTAGGCACCAAGACAAAAGAGAATGGTGGAAGCTGAAACAACTTCTCCTCTGGCTCCCCAACAGAAATCTTCAGAAAGATGCACCCTGTCCTAAAGACTCTGTGTAAATCTGGACTGTTGCTTGTCTGTGCTGTTGGAGGGGCTGAACTTCATTGTGTAAAGGAACAGATGTGAGAGAGGTGCACCCAGGAATCCTAGCATTGGGGGAGAGCTATGGATTTCTGTAGGCTGCAGAATTGGGGAGTTTCAGTTACTTACCCCATGGCTCTAGGTGGCATGAAGACCCTCAGCTATAACCAGGTTGTATGTTACATAATAAATCCCTTGAGAAAAGTGACTACTGGTTGTTGTCCTTCTTCTTTTTTTATATTTTTTAACTTCCTAGAAACCTCACAAGGTATTTGGCACATAGCAAGTGTTAAAAATAGTTATTAACTGAGGGCTGAAAGTGTAGCTCAGTGGTAGTGTTTGCCTACCAGACAAACGAGGCTCTGAGTTTGACATGCAGCAACACACACACACACACACACACACACACACAAACACATTGTTAATTGAAGTTCTTGGCTTTACTTATAAGAAAAGAAAATATTTAATTTCTCAGCACATAAATTAGCATTTCCCCAATATTTTTGTACCATTTTTTAAAATTTAATTTTCTTAGCTTTAGCAACAACATGGATAAACTTGGAAGACATTATGTTAAGGGAAACAAGGCAGGCACAGAAAAACAAATACAGCATCATCACATTTTCATGTGGAATTTAAACAAGTGGACTTAATAGAAGTAGAGAACAGAATGGCAGTTACCAGGGGCAGGGACTGGGGAAAATGGGGAGATGCTAGTCAAAGGGTACAGAGTTTTTGTAATAACATAAATAAGTTCTGTGGACCTCATATACAGACAAAGGTTAATAATAATATAATGTACACCTGAAATTTGGAGTAGATCTTAAGTATTTTCATCACACACATACACACAAAGTAACTGTGAGGAGATGAATATATTAATGAGCTTGGTTGTGGTAATCATTTCACAATGTATACATATGTCAAAACATCACACTGTATACCTTATATATGTACATTTTTATAGTTAATTACCGCTCAATAAAGCAGGAAAAAATAACTTAAAAAAGCAATTTTCTAACCTCAATAAATCCAGTTCACCATAATGAGTCAAAATTTCTAATGATCCAATTCTAAACCATGATTTTGCAGCACGCAGCACTACTGCACCTTAAAAAAAAAACATTTATTTTAGCTGAAAACTACGTTAAGCGCTGGGGTTGTAGCTCAGTGGTAGAGTGATTGTCTAGCATGTGTGAGACCCTAGGTTTAATCCTCAGCACTACATAAAGATAAATAAATAAAATAAAGATAGTGTGTCCATTTACAACTTAAAAATATACATTTAAAAAAACTATGTTAAGCTATGTCAATAATAGCAAAATATTTGCCTGAAAATTAAATGTTAATTTTAAAAAATAAGATAACCACTTAATTTACCAAAAAAAAAAAAAAACTAATGTCTACTGCATGAATGGTCTCCAGTTTTTCTCAGAATGCTTAGATCCACTAAGCTTTTAGAAACAGAATAGCTAAAGGCTAAGAAGTGGTTGTTATCTGCAAACTACAGATTATCCACTGACTCATCAACTGTGGCCCTTTCCCTGTATCTCATCCTGAAGTAAGGAATTAATACATTATTTATTTTGCTTTAGGTCATTATAAGTGCCTTCCAGACCTGTAATTAATTGAGAATTAACTCTAACAAAGATTCTTGCGTATGTTCTGACTTAAAAATATACTGAAGAAATAAAATAAATCTATGCACTTTGTCTTTTTAGCCTTGTATTGCCTTCTTCTGTTTTGATTATGGATGTTAGTAATATAATTAGTAAACAGAATCAATGTTTCTTTCTTATAAGAAATGCTGTAGTTTACATGGTTAGATGTTAAGGGGAAGTCTATGCTAGAGTGAAGCAAGCCCTGCTCTGTTGTGCTGTCCTCCCTTCAGTAGACAACCAGGCTCACTGCTACCTCTTTGCCTGTGCTGGTCTCCCCTCTTCCACATACCCCACCCACTCCTTCTTCTCTCCTTACTGAACTCCTACTTAACCTTATGCTCAGGATCAATTCCCACTTCCTCTATAAAGCTCAACTGATCACCCTTTTATTGACCTCTCTTTTTTTTTATTATTCATTTGTTCCATGAGTTTGAATCTTTTCTCTACAAAGTTTCTTAAGACTATGGCATACTTATTAATTTTGGATCCACTAGAGTTTAGTCCAGTGGTAAACACAGAAAGGGTAGTTTTTTCTGGGTTGAATGCCTTATCCAGGGTCAATACTTATTCACAATACTAATCTGGATATTTATTTTCATGTCTTTTTCAACAAAAACTATGTAAAAACATCTAGGAAAAACTCAAAAAATTACTCTGTCTCCTTAATGAATGAATAGTCACTGAATCACTGAATTTAGCACTAGAAGTATCTTTAAATCTAACCTCTTAATTTTAGGTGAAAAAACTAAGGGGCAAACTGTTTAAGTAACTTGCCTAAGTCACAAAGCTAGTTTCTGTAGAGCCATTCCAGTTTTCATATATCCTTTTTCTTTTCCAGTATACTAATCTTGCTATGTAACAGTGGTTCCTGGGCAAATATTAGGATAAAAGTACTATCAAAGTGTCTGTATTTGGTGGGGGTGTGGGTACTGGGGATTGAACTCAAGGACACTCAACCACTGAGACACATCCCCAGCTCTATTTTGTATTTTATTTAGAGAAAGGGTCTCACTGAGTTGCTCAGCACCTCTCTACTACTGAGGCTGGCTTTGAACTCACAATCCTCCTGCCTCAGCCTCCTGAGCAGCTGGGATCACAGGCCTGCACCACCTCGCCCAGCAAAGAATCTGTATTTATGTAAAGACTTAAATATGGAAATTATCTTAATGGACTAATAGAAGAAATTCTTGGGATCATTTGAAACCATTAAGATTGTGGCTCAAAATTCAAATAAACAATGTATATAAGTCACAGCCACAAAAGTAAATAGCACTGTACTAATCATTCTAAAAGTCTGTGGTTCGAATTTCATATCCAATCCTCATGAACAAGAATAACAGGGGGCTGGAGTTGTGGCTCAGTGGTAGAGCACTTGCCTAGTATATGTGAGGCACTGGGTTCAATTCTCAGCACTTTATATAAATAAATGAATAAAATAAAGGTCTGTCAACATCTAAAAATATATTTTAAAAAAGACAAGAATACTTGCTAGCAGCCTATGTGCAATAGTATCATTTTGTTCCAGTGACATTAAAAGAGAGAGAAAGATGCTGCAAGATAAATAATCCTTAATTCCTTTATGCATGAATACTTTTATGGGACTATTTTTTTTAGGAAGATCTTATAAAAATGTATTGCAGGGGCTGGGGTTGTAGCTCAGTGGTAGGACACTTGCCTAACATATATGAGGCACTGGGTTCAGCACCATATAAAAATAAAATAAAGATACTCAGAAAAATTAGAAATTATACCCCATTTGATTCAAATGTATGATATGTCAAGATCATTGTATTGTCATGTGCAACTAATAAAAAAATAAAAATAAAAAAGATATTATGTCTACCAATAACTAAAAAGTAAATTTAAAAAAAATAAAAATATCGTGTCCATCCACAACTAAAAAATAATTTAAAAATGTATTGCAATAGTTTGAAAGTTTGTATCCTACTAAAATTCAGATGTGAAATCTAATCACAAAGGAGGTGGGGTTTTGGAAGGCTATTAAGTCATGGGGGCTCAGTCCTCATGAATGGGATTAATGCCTCTATAAAAGAGGCTCCAGAGGTCTGCCTTCCCCTTCTATCATCTGAAGACACAGTAAGAAAATGCCATGAAGCAGAGAACCCTCATCAGTCATGGAGTCTGCCAGCAAATTGATCTTGAACTTCCCAGCCTCCAGAACTGTATGTAATAAAATTTCTATTGTTTTTTAATTACCCAGTCTAAAATGTTTTGTTATAGCAGCACAGACCAAAATATGCATCATGTACTAAGTACAAAGTACATAAAATGTACTCCTAGTGAATCACTATGAACATCAGAAAGAATGCAGTCCATGACAGACACAGTGATATCCATAAGACCCATAAAAGCACACGGACTGTAAGTAGTTCTTGACAGCTTCACTTTTAAGCTCTTAAATGTTAATTGTTGATTTTCAGGTCTCCTCTCTTCCCCAAAGATTCAGTCAAATCTCTTTCAGTCTCTTTGGCCTCTCTAAATATGCAGTATACCTCTACAGCATACTTTCTCACCCACTCTCTAGTTTTTATTTCTAAACTACTAAATGCAAAACAAAAAGAAAATTCAGCTTATTGGTAGAGAACATAAAATCAGAGAAATCAGGCTCCATGGAAAGATCTGTGGGGCTCTCCTGGGAGTGAAATGTAAGAACCTTCCTGTATTGGCTTTGCGACATTTTTCCCAGCTATTCCTAAACATTTTTTGTTCACTTCCAAGATGTTTGCCTCAGAAATGGATGGGTTAGTGATATAAGGATACAGGAAAGGCTACTCTATTCTGATACTGCAATGCTAAAATTATATCTTGAAGAACTATGGGTTGTTTTTAAGGTGACCACAAAGATGTCCAGTAACTGTTGATCTTAAAGAACTTAGTTCAGTTTTCTGTAAGTATTCTAAAAACAGTTACCTCGTTCTTTCATAATATTTCCATTGTAGAACTGATCTCGCCATACTTCATCATCACTTACAACCAGGCTGAAACAAACAGAATCCAACAATTCATCTGCAATCAAGAAATACCTTAAATGACAAAAAACTATAAGAGATCATATTCTCAGAGATTTATCTGCTCTATTTTCCTAATACATTTCTGGAGATAATATGATGCAGTCCTGAAAGTTATTTGAAGGAAAAAGGAATTACCTTACAGCCCTACTAGTTGGAATTCCAAGGTAGTGCATAGCCTCACTACACAGAAATTCTCTCACCGAGGAACGAAGTACTGCTCTACCATCACCATTTCTATAGGAAATACAATTTAAATGAGTTTCATTTGTAATTAAGACAACATTAATTCTTACTTAAATTTCTAAACATATTACCAAACTATACCGGGAATATGGGGTCTTTCCTGAGCCTTTTAACTGGAGCTCCCATTTTTCACCCTGTCTTCAAAAAAAAATTACATATTAGAAGATTTAGGTTAATATGTAATAAATAAGCTATTATATAAGAAAATATGTGGTACCTGTTCATGTAAGTTCCAATAAGGTGAGCTCTTCCATCTCCAAGCTGATCTGCCCACATCCCAAACTAAGAGGGGAAAGGAAAATTATTCATGCATATTATCTTTAAAGCTTTGATAGTAATTTTTATAGTCAAGGTCATTTTGTCAAAATTGAGAATAAGTCATTCTATTTCTAGAAATATAACACTTTAAAGTAACAAATTCAATCAATAAAATAAGGGAAATTCACTTAATAAAATACAAATTTAAAGCAATTCATTTTTATGTATGTGTATAAAGCACCAATTTAAAAAACAATAAATTAATAGAAGGAAGACCAATAAAGTAGAGGAAGGGGATCAAGGGAAGGGAAGGGGAAAGGGAAAATATTATATGCAAGTATGAATATGTCAAAATGAACTCCACTATTATATGAAACTATAACACATTAATAAAAACATTTAAAAATTGATTATTTTACTATTATCTAGAACTCAGATCAAATTTGTTAGGTGTAGAACACTTAGAACTGATTTATTTAGTTAGAGAATATAAACTAGGGTTGCACATGTAGCTCAGTGGTAGAGCCCTTACCTAGCATGTACAAGGCCCTGGGTTCAATCCCCAGGACCAAAAATATATATACCTGAGCGTGTGTGTGTGTGTGTGTGTGTGTGTGTGTGTGACAAAGAGAGAGAGAGAGAGAGAGAGAACTAGGAGCAATTTATTAACAGACTATGCCTATATTATATGTCTACAATACAAAATCATAATTATACTTGTACCTAAAAAAATTGTTCTGAACTTGGATTCTTAAATTTTTTTGTTAAAATTTATTTATGGTTGTTCAACCCAAGACTGACCTTACATTTCTATAAAATGGGTTAACCTTTGTCATATCGCTGCTAGAATGAACACTAATATATGAGAAGTAACTTGTACAATGTCTGACATTTGCCAGTGTCCATAAGACAGTAATAATTATTATGGCCAACAATCATTTGCTAATGTAGACAACATTCCATTTTCAACATATACGTTACTCCACCAGAGTCATCTCTGACTTTGCAGGACTAAGAGAGTGGTCCTATAAGCTCCCGTATCTCCTATACTTGCCTGAATCACTACCTTGATGTTCCTGAAGTGTGTTATTTATCTATCATCTTCCCTAAACTACTAGCCATTTGAGGGAAAGAGACAGATTTCATTCACTATTACAGTTCCCAGAACACACAGGGAGTTCTAAAAACAGCTATGGAATATTTAAATGATACTTAAAGTTCCAGAATTGAGAAAAATCCATCTAGTATTTTGTCATCCTCACCAGGAAGAGACCACCACAAAATTTGAGTATCCATTAAGACTATAAGTGTGAGAGGCTCTCACCATTATCTGGAAAGGTTCCAAAGTGAACGATACTTAAGTATATTCCACTCCATGAGTGGAAAGGACAAAAAATTATTAATTCAGTGCTAGGAAGGAAATCAGGATACCAGGAAGTTAGTTTTCCATCAATAAAAGAGAAATAAATTTGAACTAAGTTCAGAGTGGCAAAGACATAAACAAATATCTATAACATTAACATGAAATTGATAAAAGTTTAATTTACTAGTCCACCTATTATACTACAAAAAAGAAAAACCCACAAAAAGAATGCTTTAATGAAACTCCACAGAACTTGAGTTTTGTTTTTGTACTTTGGCAATATATGTGAGCAATGGTATAAGACAATTTCAAATAAATTTCATCTGTACAAGATTACTTTTTGAACCTTGACATTTCTGCATTGAGTGCTAGAAAAGACCAAAGGATCATTTAGTGCAGAAGTTTCTCAACTGAGAAACACAGTTTAGTAAAACACTGTTATTCCTTGAAAACAAAATAACAAACCCTGTAGTATGTCTGCAAAATGGTAGACATACTAAATTTGGCAGATTTCTTTGCTGGCCCACTTCTCCCAGCTTCTGGAATGATCTTTCAAGATCAAAAAACTGAGGTGCAAGTCTATCACAGATGACTCTCAAAATCCTCTCCAATTCTGGGCTGGGGTTGTGGCTCAGCAGTAGAGTGCTTTCTTAGTACCTGTGAGTCCTGGGTTCGATCCTCAGCACTGCATAAAAATAAATTTAAAAAATAAAGGTATTGTGTCAAACTATAACTAAAATATAAATTTTTAAAAAAATCCTTTCCAATCCTAATGGTTTCAGTTACCTTGCTTCTTAGTTTCTGAGCCTTTGAAGAAGAAAGGAATTCACTAACCCAATATACCAGAGCTTGATCTCATAACTACTGTACCAAAAGTTCATATGTAAGCACTTTTCATAATTTCCTAATTTAATCCTTACACTATTACTGTTATACGTTACTGCTGATTCTAAAAATTATTCCCTAATTAAAATCATCATTACAAAAATAGCCCCTAAATAAACAGGCAGCGTTTCATTCTGTTTAGCCTGCAGAAAATGACAGAAATTTCAACAACTGGTCCTGCATTTTTTTATCTGTTCTTATTTAGACACCATGCCCTGAACTTGTCTCAACATCTTGCTTCATTATTACAGTGTGCCTTAATTATCTCCTTATTGCTACAGCATCTATTACACCCTCCAATGAATCTTTATTTCCTTATTTATTGTCTTTCTAGCAGTTCTACAACTTTGATTTACAGCTACTCTGGCAAAATCATAATGTTTGTCCTCCTGAGACTTTTATACTGACACATTGTGCTACTTGGCTTTGCTTAAATCCCTTGCCAATATTGCACCAAGTTCTCTAGCAAAAATTCATGTGAATTTTATATTTGTGTTGCCCCAGTTTTCTCAATTCCATTTTTTAAAGCTTCGTTTTTTAAGTTTTTCTGTTTGTTTGTTTTTGTGATACTAGGAATCAGACCCAGGTCCTGGCAAATGCTAGGCAACCTACCACTGAACTATCCTCCACCCCCTATTTAAAAAGGTCAGGCTCTAGCTTCTCTCCCATAATCCCCCTTTTAAAATACTTTATTTTTCAGAGAAATTTTAGTCTGACAGCAAAATTAGGAAAGTACAGGGCTTTTCCATACACACTCCATGTGTATCCTCTCTATTACCAACATCCTCCACCACAATGATACACATTGGCATCTCACTATTGTCCAAAGTCCATAGTTTAGAATTCATTCTTGGTGCCATATTTTCCATGGGTTTGGACAAATCTGTAATGATGTGTAGCCACCATTTATAATATCACAAATAATAATTCAATTGATTTAATAGTCCTTCATGCTCTGCTTATTCATCCCTTCCTCCTCCTAACCCGTCAACCACTAATCTTTTTACTATCTCCATAATTTTGCCTTTTCCAGAGTGTCATAAAGTTGGAATCATAGAGAGCATAACTTTTTCAGATAGGCTTTGCTCACTTAGTAATATGCATTTAAGTTTCCCCATGCCTTATTTTTTTTAAAGAGAGAGAGAGAGAGAGATAAGAGAGAGAGAGAGAATTTTTTAATATTTATTTTTCAGTTTTCGGTGGACACAACATCTTTATTTTATGTGGTGCTGAGGATCGAACCCAGTGCCCCGCGCATGCCAGGCAAGCACATTACCACTTGAGCCACATCCCCATCCCCATCCCCATGCCTTTTAATGCAGAATACTATTTCATTGTGAGGACGCAATATAGATTATTTATCCATTCATCTATTAAAGGAAAACTGGGTTGCTTCCAAGTTTAAGCAATTATGAATAGAGCTACTATGCAATCTATGTGCATGTTTTTGTGTGGACCTAAAGTTAAACACATTTCAACTCAAATGCCAAGGAGTACAACTGCTGTATCGTATGGTAGAAGTAAATTTAGCTTTTTAAAGAAACTACTAAGCTATCTTCTAAAGTCACTGTACTATTTTGCATTCCCACAGCAATGAATGAGAGTCTTTATTGTTTCACATCCTCACTAGCATTTTTTTTTTTTTGCCATTCTAATAAGTGTGGAGTGGTATCTCGTTCCAATTTGCAAGTCCCTAATGATATGACATTGAATATCTTTTCGTATACTTGTTTGCTTTCTCTTTATATTCTTTGGTTATGTATTCAGGTTTTTCGCTTATGACGTATGCATCTTTTTTAATTTTTAAATTTTTCTTTATTTTTTTTAGTTGTAGTTGGACACAACAGCTTTATTTCATTTGTTTATTTATTTATTCATTTTTATGTGGTGCTGAGGATCGAACCCAGGATCTCGCACGTGCAAGGTAAGCGCTCTACCACTGAGCCACAACCCCAGCCCTAATTTTTTAATTTTTAATTGTGGACACAACACCTTTATTTTATTTATTTATTTTTATGTGGTGCTGAAGATCAAACCCAGTGCCTCCTATGTTCTAGGAAAGGGATCTACCACTGAGCCCAACCCCAGCCCCAACATATACATCTTATGATGACATTCTTCTACAAACATCTTGTTGAACCCTCAATATCATAATATTAGAGAAAATAATTTAAAATAACTTATAGCATTTCAACCAAATGTTTCTATTTACATACAGGAAATGATGTTGTATTCTTACCTGGTGGCCACCGTATCGGTGAGCCAATGGAACAGATCCAGATACTATCTTTCCACCACTTACAAGCTGGATAAAATCATCCGTTTCTGATACAGATAAATCAAGATCCAAAATATCTTCTAGAACTTCCTGAGGCAGAGAAAAAAAGTCTTCTTACAAACCTAAGTAATCTTTGAATAATTTTTAAGAAAAGAGACCTAATAGAAGAAAATTACAAGAATAGACTTCTTCTAAAAATACATTACATTTTATAAGAGATATACCAGACTTTCTATGATTATTTATGCTATTTGCAGAAAATTAGTTCTATGAGACAGTTCTAAAATTTTCATGGATTTCCTGTGATGCATCAAAAAAATAATATTTTTCCTAGCACGTATTCTTTCAAAGAACTAGAAAAAAGTAAATGCCCTATTTTGATATCAAATACATTTGTATCATGAGAGAACAATTTAGAATTTGTTATTAGAGATAATTTCTAAAAGTTATGTAGAATAAAAATTTAACTCATTTTCCTCTTTTCCACAAACGCATATCTTTCTTGTAAGATAACTTCAGGATGAAGCTGAATACTATGCTCCAGGAACAAGTATTGAAAAGTGAGCTCTAAGAATGATGTTTTCCAGGTTTCTGAGCTTTAAATATAAAAAGTTATCAATAGATTAACAATAAAAACTCGGAACAATTTTTAGACTTTCTTAGACAAATGTTTTAGTGAGCTAAGTATTTGTGGTAAGACAAAAATAAAGCCTAACCTTTGAGACTGCTGCAAGAAGTACTCTTGATTTGAAAGGAGTAGGGAAGGCAATTGAAAAAATACAGTTTTTCACTTTACGAACATAATTTTCCTGAACAGGATCAACTGGCAACACAGCTATCAAAACAAAACAAAACAAAACCCTTCTTATTGTTCTCATTTGTTGCATATACAGCATTAATATTCTTTTGAAAAACTATGGTTCTTCAAAATGCCTACTTAAACCACTATTTTCTTCATATTTTTATTCAGAAGACTATTTTATCATTTTCAACATTATCCAATATTCTCGTTATGTACAGGGTAAGCATCCCTAATCTGAAGATCCAAAATCCTAAACTTTCTGAGCACCTACATGATGCTACAAGATGATTCCAGATCTGATCTCATGTGACAGTCACAATTAAAATGCAGGCACACTAAAAATATTTATAGAATTGTCTCAGACAACACGTATGAGGGCATATGAAACATAAATGAATTTTGCATTTAGATTTGGGTCCCATCCCAAAGGTATTTCATCATGAACATGCAAACATTCTAAGAGCTGAAAAAAATTATAAAATCTGAACTACTCCTAGTCCCAAACATTTCAGATAAGGGATGCTCAACCTATATATGGATCTGTCCAAGAAGATGGGAAGTGGAAAATGTTTAAAACAAGACACATATTCTAGACAGTCTATAAAGATTTTCATTTTGGGAGACAAGAAGGATGTACAACATGTTTATAAGTAATAAAAATAAATAAAATGAAGGTGAGTGGCATTACTACATTAGTCAACTCAAAATAACCAAAATATATTATACACTTAATCATATGAATTCTGTCCTTAGGAAACTCACAATAATCAAAAGAAACACACACACACACACACACACACACACACACACACACATATATATATATCAGGCAACACATGGTTTACTAAATGTACAAACTTGCTCTGGATCCCACTATAAACCCTGAAACATTTGATTCATGCCTGCTCAGAAGGATAAAAGTTTAAAATTGCTCCTAAAAGCAACTGACAAACTGTTTCATAAAGTTCATGCAGTAAAGCACATGTACTACACTTAAGAAGCTGTGAAGGAAGAGAGCTTTGAACTTGCTTTGGATACTCAAGAATGTATTTATTCTTGTTTTAGAAAAATTCTTAAATTCTTCATCTGTTTTCCTAATCCAAAGCAATTAAAACAAAAAATAGAAGAAGAGAGTTAGCATGTTAATAAAGTCATAAGAAAAGGGGGTATAGCTCAGCAGTACATTACTTGTCTAGCATGTACCAGGCCCTGGATTCAATCTCCAGTACCACAATGAAATAAATCAATCAATCAATTAATCAATCAGACTAAGGGGCACAAAAATCAATGTTTCCAGATAGAGCTTATAGTCAAAATGTGTCACCAAATTATTTAATAAACAAATAGGAATCTAATAAAAATTATAGTAGGAGTTTTTTTTTGAAGAATAAGAAGAAGAAGCAGATAAATTGCAAACCTGGAAAAAGAAACAGGAGAGATGTTTTTAAGTAAGAGAAATTAGTTTGCTTATCATATTAAATATTCTAGGGCTGGGGCCATAGCTCAGTGGTAGAGCGCTTGCCTTGCATGTGAGTTCAATCCTCAGCACCATATAGAAATAAATACATAAAGGTATTTTGTCCATCTACAACTAAAAAAAAAATTTTTTTTAATTCTAAAAGTATTTTTGTCCAAAAAATAAAAACAAAGATCAATGGAACTCAAATAAAAAGCACAAAAACAACCCAAAGTTATAACAGAATTTCCTATATAGAGAAAATGTTATAATAGAATTTCCTATTTACAAATTTTAAAAAAGTGAACAGAATAAAAAGGATTTCTTATATAGAGAAAAGGATACTTCAAATCAGTAGAGAAGAGTGGTGTAAGAACAATTTGCTCAACTGTTTGGAATAACTCCAATTTATTCCATCCAAGCCTAGCTGAAGTACATGCTTCTTGTAACAACAATAAGAGTAATAATGTTTCTGTCTTCCTCACATGAGCAATAAAGTCAGGAAAATAGGGCCCAGAGTTAGTTCTTTATATTTTTTCTTTAAGTACATGTTGACTTATGGGGGAGCAAGTGGCAGTTAACCAAAAAATAGTTGATTTGGAGCTGAGATGTAGCTCAATCCCCAACACGCACAAAAAAAACAGATAATCTCAGAAAACCTGACAATCAAGAGTAGAAAATTCAACAGTCTATTTTCTTCCTTCAGAAGAACCTGAGTGTGAATTGACTAAATCATATAATTAATGCACTCTCCTTTATGATGCATTAACATATTAATAAAGCATGAGCAACATATAATGATCTATTAGCAGTTATGATATGTACCAAATAGAGCACATTTTGACAAGGTGACCACTGGCCATAGAACAGTGAAGTCTGATCTCTCACTCTGTGACACTTAAATAGAATAATCTGTCATACTGAAAATCTCAGAGAAGGGCTGGGGATGGTACAGCACTTGCCTAGCATGCAGAGGCTCTGGGTTTGGACCTGGCACAGAGGAAAACAATCTGCTAATCTTTCAGTGAAACTGTTTGAACTTTTTCTCTCAATAAATACTCTTGCCAGAATCATGTTGATAGTCCATTGATCTTTTATCTAATAACATCTGGAAGAGATGTTTTATGCAGTACTATATATCAAAACATGGTAACAGCTGGGCAACATGGTACCCGCCTATAATCCCAGCAGCTTGGGACGCTACGGCAGGAGGATCTCAAAGTCAGCCTCAGCAATTTAGTGAGGCATGAAGCAACTCAGGGAGACCCTGTCTCTAAACAAAATACAAGAAAGGGCTGGAAATGTGGCTCAGTGGTTAAGTCCCCCTGAGTTCAATCCCTGGTACCAAACCAAACCAAACAAAACAAAACAAAAAAAATGGTAACACACAGTATTATGTTTATAATCCCTCCTTGTCATAAAACCTGCCTTAGGTAATGTTTTGAACAGTGCCATTAATATGGCAAGAAAATGACTTGAAGTGTAGCCAATGTTCCAACATTGAAATGACAACTTTGAAAATACTTTCAACGAAACACTTCATCCATTTTTATCCATAAGTACTGGTAGTTTCATTTGCCTCAGTTAAAAAAACAAAACAAACAAACAAACAAAAAACAGAAATTATTTCTGCACAATGTAAGTCTGTTCTTTAGCAGTTACCTGCACAGCTCAGTTTTTGACCACCAAAACTGATGGTTGGCTTAGTTGGGCCAAAAGAACTACCAGAACTACCTTTGAATTCTACATGTCCTATTGGTAGGTGGTTGTTCCTCAAGAGTTGAGCCATACAATAATGTTGGAAGCCTTAATGAATTATAACTGTTTTCCTTACTTAGACTTGCGGTATTACAACATCTTAATAGCGAGGACTTTTGTTATAATCTGGCCAAGCAATCTCTAAATGCAAATGGCCTGGCAGAATTGTGGAGTACTACACTTGCCAACAGTAGTTTAATTCCTCTGCAACTTTCCTTATCTGTAAAAAAGGGCAAATGATAGTATATTAATAAAGGATTTCCAAGTACAATAAAAGCATGTGAAACTACACTTGACTTTGGTAAATTATGCCTGTCGGATGTTTAACATAAACTTAATCTCCATCAAGATAAGCCATATGTGCATATTAACAATTTTTACTTGTAAAGCACTTTACATGTTTTTATATACTATTCTTCAAGACTGGGGAAAAATGAGACAAAATTGGTTTATTTTGATAGGTTCCTTTCTATAATATTTTTATTCAGTAATTTTTTTTTTACTTTTAAGATAAATATAAAATTAATGTGCTCAGCTCTAGGGCTATTACACTCTTTCATGCAAGTGTTTTTCAGAGTAAGAAAAAAAAAATACATATCAGAGAATTGCAATTACCTATTTTACTGGTCTATTTCTTCCCAACAGTGAACTTTGAGGAAAGCATTTCTTTTTAGTATCCTGGATGCTTACACTTTCTCTTTTGACGCTGTGTTTGAATGTTTAATTGTATCAGATTTCTGTTATTAACATGCTGCCTCAACAGCAGAACAGATCTGACAATAGAGCTAAGGAAAGTAGATCTTTAGGCCCCAGTCCCGTGCATTCTCAGTACTTCCTGAGCTGGATACAAGTAAATTTTGACATTACCAAATATGTTTTAAAAGTATGCAGCCTCAGTACCCGCAAGCGCGGGACTCGATATATCCAGATGTGAGCAAGATGTCAAACTATACCTATTAGATTTTCAGAGGAGAGAGTCCAAAAGTCGAGAGAGAGGGCCAATTTAGCTTCTGTTTCACAGTAGCCCTGAACGTGGTTGGACTTGTTACTGGAAAGTGGCAGAAGGTCGACACTTCCTTCTGCAGCAGATTGTAAAAGGCAACCCACGACAGCGTGGCAGGTCACCCTCAAGAGAAGCAGAAGGGGGAACTGTGGTCTCCGGGGTAGGCCACAGAACCAGAACCCTGTGCTCTGAATCATATTTCTGCCAAAATACGCAGAGCGAGACTTTCGTGGCTGCCGAGTCCGGAGCACTGTGCTATTTCTTGCCAACAGCTGGGCCACCAAAGGTACATTTTGGAGTGACCGGCCGTCTCCCGAGCGGCTCCGGGGAAGGGATGGGAACACAGTGCTCGTCCCGCAGGAGGCCAGGCTTGGTGGCCCCAGGGCTGGCCGCCTCCTCCCCAGGACGCCGGGCCTTCCCCGCCGGCTGTCCGGCCGCGGAGAGCCGGAAAAACGAGCCCCCGAGGAGCGGGAGGGGGAGGCCGGGCGGGGCCCAAGCGCTTCCTGTGCCAGGTTTCCGGCTCCGGGTCCCCGGAGGAGGGCCGCGGGGCCAGAGGCGGAGCTGCCGCCCGGCCGCGACTTTCAGACTCGGACCATGGCCTCGCGCTGGTGGCGGTGGCGGCGCGGCTGCTCCTGGAGGCCGGCGACGCGGAGCCCCGGGCCCGGCTCCCCCGGCCACGCTGGGCCGCCCGGGCCGCGCGCCGCTTCCGACGCCCTCGCGCAGGTGAGGCCGGGAGGCGCGTGTCCCAGTCGGGCGCAGAGGTCACGGCGCCAATGACAGCGGCGCTGCGGAATGAATGGGAACGAGGAGCACGTGCGCCGAGGCCAGGGGCCCGGGGTCGCCCTGGAGTGGGACACCGGGGTAGCGGGCTTCCCTGGTGGGACCGAGCTGTGTGTTCGCTTGAGGTAGGGGTGTCCCGGGACTCGGGAGCTGTGACAACCGGTTGGTTGGGGAGTGGGGGTCAAGTGGTGAGGAGCCTGCCCCCCCCACCCCGGGAGACTCAGGAGCCATCAGATTGTCTGTGGTGTGGACGAAGAGGAAATTCCTGGAGGACAGTGGCCTCAATCCCTTTGCGCCTTAGAACCGGCTCCAGGAGGACAGACTTTTTTAAAGCAAAAGGGATTCCTGTCTCATTCTCCAAGATAGAGGATCAAATTGACCTTGGAGTAGTTGCATGGAAAGGGTCTTAGGGAGCAGGCAGGTTTGATGCTGTCTGGGCCTGAACTTAAGTGGTTCCATAGGTAAGGGCTTCGCTGGAAGCGCACATCTGCATGGAGCTAGAAGGACTTTAGAAGGAGAGAGAACTTTGAGTCTTTGAAATCTCATGGCAGCTTCTTGAAGTAAAGCCAGAGTCTCAGCAATAAGATGATTCCTTGAGGCTGTCTCCTGCTGTGTTGGGTCCAATTTCTTTCTTTCTTTTTTTTTTAATATTCTGGTCAATTTAGGAGTTATAAACCTGTTCTTATGGCTCTGTCAATCACTTTGTAGTGACTCATTCTCAGGGTGCCACCACTTAGGCCCATACTGTAAGCATATCTAGGCACTGACTTTTTAAAGACTTATCCAGTCACCCAGTAATTGTACAAGTGTTCACCTTGCATTTGCAAAGTCCCCACCACTTTTTTTTTTTTTTAAGGAGAGAGAGAGAAGGGAGAAAGAGAGAGTTTTTTAATATTTACTTTTCAGTGAACACACACCCATATATTTTTTTTATTTTTATGTGGTGCTGAGGATTGAACCCAGCACCCCATGCATGCCAGGCCAATGCATTACCACTTGAGCCACGTCCCCAGTCCCCCCACCACTTTTTATTTGAATTTAGGATTCAGTTTGTATTCAGATTTGGTACATTTCATTTATCCATGTACTCATCAAACACCATTTATTTACTAGCATGAAATATGTAGCATTCACAAATGTCTACTTTGTACCAAAGTGGATGCATATCACACATTATCTAAAAAAATGTTTGGAAAAGGAAGGCAACTGGGCTTGAAGACAACCTAGACAGGTAAAAAAGGAATACTATATATGGGGTGTAGAAAATGGGAGAAGACTTAGGGGAACGTAAGTGCTGTCTTACCTGGACTTCAGATTTTTCTAGCTCTGAAGACCATGACCTTGTTTGAAGATAGATGTATACACCATGTAATGCCACTAGATACTTCTTAATTTTTTTTCTTTTTATTTTTTTCTTTTTTTTATTTTTTGAGAATTTTTAATATTTATTTTTTAGTTTTCGGCGGACACTGATTGTATGTGGTGCTGAGGATCGAACCTGGGCCTCACGTATGCCAGGCGAGCGTGCTACCGCTTGAGCCACATCCCCAGCCCCTTCTTTTTATTTTTTAAGACAAGATCTCACTAAGTTGCTGAGGCCAGCCCCGAATTTGATCTCCTTGCCTCAGCCTTCTGAATAGCTGGGATTATAGGCATGTGCCACCATGCCTGGCTAATACTTCTTTCTTTGAAGTTTACCTTTTTATTACTTTGTGCTCACTAAGCAGGGTTAGCCATAAAAAGAGAATCTGCTTCATGGCTTCCATATTTACCTCCTGGGCCACAAGGAGGGACAGTACCGATGATGCCAACCTGTGTATTTCTGGTTCATGTGAAAATAATATTTCTCACTATAAATTAACAGATTAGCATTCAGGTGTCTACTTCAGGCATGTGTACTTTGGTTATTTCAAGTCTTTCAGGGCCTAATGGATCTCAGGGACAGAGCAACAATAATTAAGCCACATTTGGCTCTTCAACACAGTGCTGTTACTTCTTAATGTTTGTATATTCTCCTTACTCTCCACAAATATTATTAACAAATCTTGCAGTGGGATACAAGCCAGTGTGCATTTGATCATGCCAAATCACTTGTCAATGTGTCTTTGATTCTCATCAATCATTTTCTCTTATTTTAGAAAAGTGAATTCATAAGAGGAAAGGTTGACTTTCAGGGAGAGTAAGTGTTGGAGAGGGAATGGAAAAGAACCGTCATTAGTACTAGCAGTGTGCTTCAGCAGTAGTTTTGCAGCTTCCTTTTAATACCTTATTGCTCTTCTGAGAACTTTGAATTTCCCTTTGGAAAACATTGCTGTAAGGTACTCCTAAAGCAGAACACAACTTGATGGAATAAATGCAGTATTAAATGTTTCTTGTGGAGCTAGGGATGTAGCTCAGTGGTAGAGGGTTTACTTAGCATGCACGAGGCCCTGGGTTTCATCCCAGCATCATAAAACATTTAAAAATAAATATATTATCTACTAGATTCTGAGCTAAGTGCTATCCATACACTGTACTCTCTAATCTCAGCATCTCTCCATGGGTGGTTTTTATTAGAAAAGTGTCACAAAGTAACATGGCCAGGAAATTTGGGGATTTGAATCAAGCTCTGTCCCCCAAACACTATGCTATTAACAATTATTAGGAATTAACTGTAATTTTAATCCTTAACTCCAAGTTAATCTCAAACTAAATAGTTGTTCCTCCTCCTCTTCTTTTTTTCTTTTGGGTACTGAACATTCAACCCAGGTTTTTTTTTCCCCTCTATAAAAATTCCCAGTTCTTTTTATGTTTTGAAACAGGTTCTCGCTAAGTACCTGAGACTGACCTCAAACTTTTAATACTCTTGCCTCAGCCTCCTGAGTTGCTGGGATTACAAGTGTGTGCCACCTAGCCCATCCTCCTCTTTAAGAAGTTCTATTTATAAGTATCATAATAAAGTAATTGAAATTCTATGAATTAATTACCCATGAAGACTGAACAAAAAAGTTGAGTGAAGGTCTTGCTAAGTTGCCCACATTGACCTCGAACTTAAAATCTTCCTGCCTTAGCCTCTACTGGGATTATTGGCATTTGCCTTCAAAGTGCTAAAATCCCTGAATTCAAGACTAAAAAATCCATATCTTAAGTCCCTCGTGCCTATCACAATATTTCTAGCCTATAATAGTGTGCTCAGTAATTATTAGAAGTAGTATTTGTTACTACCTCAGAATTTTTTTAGATCTCTGATTAAGTTAATATTGAATGTGCTGCTTGGGTTCATTGTTAACTCCACCACAGAACTATACCTGCAACCCATTGTTGGGTTTTTTTTGGTTTCTTTTTTTTTAACATTTTTTTATCCAGAAGCATCATTTTCAAAATATATTATAACTTAAAATAGACAATTTATGTAAATGTAAATACCTTCCTTAATATTGAAATCTTTTACCTTTTTGCCATCTCAGGTGATACTTTTGGGACCTTTAAGAATTTATAGGTTTTTAAAAATTTTCTGCTCTTATTTATATTTTTTGTAAAAGTACTGCTTTTGTAATAAGGAAAGGAAACTTTTAAAATTGTCCTTTTTCTAAAGTTTCCAATTACCTGTAAGTGGATGATTAAAAGATATAGATTGGGGCTGGGGTTATGGCTCAGTGGTAGAGCACTTGTTTAGCATGTGTCAGGAATTGGTTTCGAATCTCAGCACCGCACATAGATAAATAAAATAAGGGTCCATTGACAAACAAAAATTTTTTTAAAAGATATAGATTATATTTATTATGAATTATTGGGGGCGGTTATTATCCAGTAGTGCTATAAACAAGTTTTCCAGGATATGATTCTTACAAATTTCTTGACACTTTTATTTTCTAGATGCCGTGTTTTAGTCTTCTGAAGAGTTTAACGTCTGCCTTTCCAAGTGTATATACTATGTCACGGTAAGTTTATAATTCGTATTGAACTACTAAAAATACTATGTTGCCAGTAAATTTCTGTACTTAATTATGGTTGACTAAGACAACAAATTTAATGATAGTTAAGTGCTTTACATGATTTCTGCCTTTTCAAAAAATAGAAATATAATAAAATTTTAACTCAACCCAGAACACAATGAACATAGCTTAGTTATTCTTTGTTATTGTCAATTCTCAAGGTCCTGTTTATAAAAATGATCTATTGCTAGACATGCATATAATACTTAATTTGAAGTGAAGTCGCGTGCATGTTTCCTTTTCCCAGGTTTCATCACATGACACCAGCAGTGTGCTGTTGTAGTAAAACACAGAGTGGTGAGAAATACACCGATCCCTTTAAACTTGGTTGGAGGGACTTGAAAGGTCTGTATGAGGACATTAGAAAGGTAAGTTTTTTTGATTATGCTATGAAGTATGTTTTAGTTTACTGGAACTTAGTAGTTTTACAATTTTGAAAAACAGTGCAGGTCTTCATATATGTATAATGCCATTGCAAACTTTTTACTTGCGTACATCAGGCTTCAAATATTACTTGAGCAAAATCCACATTACAACCCAGTTCTGGGCAATATGGAGGATGCAGGGGCTGGGGATGTGGCTCAGTGGTAGCGTGCTCTCCTGGCATGCGTGGGGCACTGGGTTCGATCCTCAGCACCACATAAAAATAAAATAAAGATGTTGTGTCCACCGAAAACTAAAAAAATAAATATTAAAAAAACTCTCTCTCTCTTTAAGAAAAAAATATGGATGTTAAAAATAAAAATAAAAAAAAATATGGATGTAAAAATACATGTTATTGTTCAGAAAGGCATTATTGCAGAGTTCAGAGTTTAGAAACTGAAAAAAAAAATGGTACAGGGAGCATAAAGATGTGTAGTAAATTATCTAACCTTTCCTTTTCATATCTATCACCTCTCAGTGATTCCTATGACTATCTTTCCTAATTCTGAATATCATCATTAACTACCCTAAATATTGCTTTCTTCATTTAACTCTTTTTCCTATAAACTTTCAGTGGATCCTGACCTCAGGTGAATTCTAAGATTCTGACCAGTGCATGGATTTTAATTTATGGTAGGCCTGTCCTTCTGGGCCTCTCATAGTGTCCCATGCCAGAGTAAACCATGGCCCAAACCATTGCCTGGCCTCTGTGTCCATAGGAAAATAAAATAAATTAAATGGTGCTCAGAAATCTTCACGTACCCCTTGTCAGCTTCCTGGCCCAAAGTTCTCCACTTATCCTCCAAACTTCCAACCACAGGTTCTCACAGTCTTCCAGCAGTTCTCCCTTTTTTTTCCCTTGCAGTGCTGGAAGAAAAAAAAAAAAAGTATCCATGACTGAGTCTAACTTAACATTTTTTAAACTCTCCTTTTCCCTCACAAACTATTTTGTCTCCTTGTGTCCCTGGTCACTGATAATACCACCTAGGAATGCAGGAAAGATTCTCAAGTTGTTCCTTTCCTTCCCCCACATGCCCTTCTAGTTTGTTTCTTACCTTCAGTCCCCACTCCCTCAGGTCAGGTCACCCCCATATCTCATGTCCTTTCTTGCTGTTGTCTTCCCTATCTCAGCCTGAGCCAGAGGCTCCCCGTGTTTTCCCAGAATGATGGTGCTTACCTTGATGAAAGTACTCATCACATTGTAAGGTATTGATGACTATTACTGGTTTACTTCTCTCCATCTAGAACCTGGGCTCAGGCTGGGGATGTGGCTCAAGCAGTAGCGTGCTCGCCTGGCATGTGTGCGGCCCGGGTTCGATCCTCAGCACCACATACAAACAAAGATGTTGTGTCCGCCAAAAACTAAAAAATAAATATTGAAATTCTCTCTCTCTCTCTCTCTCTCTCTAAAAAATAAATAAATAAATAAATAAACAGAACCTGGGCTCCTCGTTGGCAAGGACTGTCTTGCTTATCTTTCTGACCTTTGCCTTTATTACAGTGTTTGGCACTGAATCAGTAATCTAATGAATTAGTGACAGGCCTACAGTATTGCATTCCCCTGGGTCCTACTGTTTCCAGGAGATAAGCTCTGATTCAGTCCAATGCACCCTTGAGCAGGACAGATACACACCCATGGAAGATCTGGAAGGCCTTCTCTCCTCTTTACAAATCAAAACCCTACTAGTCCTAATCCAAGTCAAAGCTTATCTCCTCCATGAAATATTTGGGTTTTCTAACCCTCATTAATCTCTTCTTCTCTGAACTTTTAATGTATTTCATGTACAGCATTGCTGAGGTTACTCCTGTATTGTCCATTACATGGTTCATATTTTTAAAATGTCTCCCTAACACAATGTGAAGCTGCTTGCAGTTAGGCAAACTATGCCTTATACTTCCTTTATGAACCTTTGAAATATCTTCTGCTAAATATAGGCCCAGCCAGACTTTCTGACGTCTGCTTCTTTTTGCCCACCATCTTGTCTGTCTTCCTTTTCTTGATATGCAGCATCCACATGCCCCTTACCTGCTTCATAGGCTCCCACACTCCCCTGACATTCTCTTCTTTCCTCCATCTTCCAAGCTACCTACCAGCCCCTGTTTCTTTCTCTCTCCAGCTGTTACTAGCCCAAAGTTCCTGGGCCACTCAGTGCTCCCTCTAATCTGCTGCCGCATCCTGGTATCTGATATTATCCCTGAGGCAGTTAGCAGTGCAGGAGACCAGTTGGGGCTGAGCCAGGCATCGTTTGCGTTCCAGCCCACAGGGCATCCAGGTTTGTGTCCATACAGTGTCAAAGCCTTGTCCAGCTGAGTGTTCACTTTCTTAATTGAAGGAGACATACTGAAATTGAATCAAAGTTTTGTAAAAATAGATGCTGTTGACTTTATTGTACAATTAAAATGTCTTATTGATGCAAAGAATCTTTATTTCAGGAACTGCTCATATCTACAACAGAACTTAAGGAAATGTCTGAGTACTACTTTGATGGAAAAGGAAAAGCCTTTCGACCAATTATTGTGGTGCTAATGGCCCGAGCGTGTAATAGTCATTATAATAACTCCCGGTGAGTTCCATACTTTGACACCCTATTATTGTGTTATATTTGGGATTTTTCATTCCCCAGGTTACCATTTTGTTCCCATTTTAAAAGTAACATATCTAGCTAGATGTGGTAGTGTACACATATAATCCCAGTGACTCTGGAGGCTAAAGTGGGAGGATTGCAAGTGCAAGGCCAGCCTTAGCAATTTAGCAAGGCCCTAAGAAGCTTAGCAAGACTCTGTCTCAAGATAAAAAGGGCCGCAGATGTAGTTTGGTGGTAAAGCACCCCTGTGTTCTGTCCCCAGTACCACAAACAAAAGCATATATCTAAGAATTTGTTCTTTTATGTATAGATTCTGACTTTGAGTCACTAATGTCACTTTGGACATCTTCCTTTTGCAGACTTCTTCATGTCCTTTGAAGAATAGCTTAAGTTACAAATAAAAATTCAAAACCATATTTGTTTTTCTCACTGGGAAGTAAGGAATACCGGGATATATATTTAATCATTATTCACGTGGACGGTTAGTCCAAAGGTTGATTGTTCTGAAGTTGAGCAGGCCATTATTCTGGGCAGTGGATGCACACACCCAGGATTGCTGCTTCCTGTAACTTTTTGAATCGTGCAGAAGAGAAATCTTTAAAGAAGATGTATTGACTTATTTTTAAATAGCTTCACCATTTTAATATCATAGGAAATCTTAAAAGGAAAAACCATTTCCCCATTGCCTTGGGCAGCCCTCTTGCTCATTCTGCTTCCCTTTCCTCTTGCATTCAGTTATTCAACGTATATAATTTTGTGTTCTGCTCTGCTTACTTGTCATTGTTTTTAAACTCTTTACCTTATTGCTGAAGTATCTTCATGTAACCGATCAATGGCAATTCCAATAGACCATAATGTACTGATAGGCATCCCTAGAGTTGAACAGTTACTTCTAAGGAATTCCTAAGAGTTGTCAGCACTGACTTTAATGCTGATGCTGTAAGAATGAGCACCAAATGTTTCTTAACAAATGCAGGTGCCACCTCTGCCTACAGCCTTGTGTCCTACAGCGGTGCCTCTTTATGTCCAGCACAATCACAGTGCTCAGAATCGCCTTCTACTTAAGATTTTCAAAGAGCTCACAGTGTATTTTGAGCATGCAGTAAAACCTTTTAGCCATTACCTGGACCACTTTGACTTTACCTGGAAGGCAGAACAGCAGAAATAATCCCCCTGAACCAAATTTGAAACACATCTCGTGTGGTTTTAGAGCAAAGTTTCTCAGCCCCATGACATCTTGGGGCCAATCATTCTTTGTTGGTGGGAGGGGAGTTAGACTGTCTGGTGCATTATAGGATGTTTAATACCATCCCTATCTGTACCTACTGAAGGCTCCCTCTAAGGCACCCCAGTTGATAGTAACCAAAAATGTCTTTAGCATTGCCAAATGTCCCATGGGGTGCAAAAATCTCTGGTTGAGAACCACTGGTCTAGAGAAAGTATATTTATATTTTTAAATTCTCAGACTAATATATAATACATAGGCAATGTCTAGCATGGGGACAAGTCACAATCCCAGCCTGCATTTGGGTGATCTAGTACTCTGCCAGTATTACTCTCCAAGTTGCTACTTCTTAAAAATACTTGTTTCCCAGAGACATTTCTGAATTGGGCCCTTAATGAGTTAAATATGTGGCTATTGTTTCTATGCCACTTGAAGAAAAAAAGGGCAGCAAACATCTGAAGAGCTGGGCCATTTGTGATTTTACTTGCTCATAAAGGTCCAGAACAGCATGGAAAAACAACATTTTAAAATTCAGGAGCTGGGGCTGGTGTTGTGGCTCAGCGGTAGAGTGCTTGCCTGGTGTGTGTAAGGCCCTGGGTTTGATTCTCAGCACCACATAAAAATAAATAAATAAAAATAAAGGCATTGTGTACAACTAAAAGAAAAAAAAAAAAGATTCAGGAGCAGGACCATACACTGCCTCCATTTTTGCCAGTGCCAACAGAATATCCTTTCATCCCAGTGACACTCTGTGTATTCTTGTGCCTCACATGCTTGCTTCTTGGTGATGGCACAATGGAGAGAGACCCTCTTTATCGTTTGACAGTCAAAGCTCTTTATGAACCTTATCAGATATCTTATTTCTAAAGTGTGTATTGAATCACTTAGTAATATGGTGAGGATTTTAGAAGACAGAACAAGTATCTTAAGAAATAGTGAAGGAAGGGAAAACCACCTATTCATTTTTCTGCCTTTATTAAGCTTTTCAGCTATTAAATGTTCTCTGCTGGATGACTTAACTGGGAGTTTTAAACCTGAGGTCTATAGGAGTTGTGGGGGTCTGTGAACCCTTGAAATTCTATCTATTTATTTTGGTACTGAGGATTGGACCAAGGGCGCTTAACCATTGAACAATACCCCCAGCTCTTTTATATATTTTATTTAGAGACATGGTCTTGCTGAGTTGCTTAGAGCCACACTAAGTTACTGAAGCTGTCTTTGAACTCACCATCCTCCTGCCTCAGCCTCCCAAGCCACTGGGATTACAGGCATGTGCCACCATGCCCAGCTAAAATTTTTTGTGTATTTGCATTTATCTGGGGAAGGGTATCCATGTCTTACTGTATACTCTTGAAGGATAATATGGCCCTGAAAAGCTTAAGATCCAGTTTTTTTCTCCCTGTATCCTGATAATCACCATACAAAGGAAGGTAAAGTGGGAATACAGACTCAGGTTTGAAATGTCCAAAAAATAGAGATGCAGTGGATTCTGATATGTTCCTCCTCTATTGCCCTTCACTGAAATACTTTTTGCCCCAGCTGTTATACCAGGTGCTGTTAATGCCTGTTGGCCTTCATTTCTCAGCCTTGTCAAGAAGTGCTATTGTCCTTTCTGGAGGCAGCTCATGTCTAGGGACTGACAGATAAAGGACCATTCCCGTTGCAGAGCTCCTTCTGGACTAAGTCTGTTGGGTCTGCCTTGGCTTCTTGTTCTGCCCTCCTTCCCTTGGGTGTTGATCCCAAAGGCTCTTCTAGTAAACAACCAGTTCATTAACTTCTTTGCTTTTTTGGCAGTATTGGGGATCAAATCCAGGACATCACACATGCTAGGCAAGCGCTCTACCTCTGAGCTACATTCCCAGCCCACATCCTGTAAATTAGGCTCCATCTCAGAATACTTCCCAGATAATTTAACTTGTAATAGAATTCAACAAAACTTAGGTCAGCACTTAGGTTATCAAAGAATTTTGAGCTTTATCAGGGATTTGGGCAACATCCTGAGACCCCTACCTCAAAAAAAAAAAGATGGGGGAGGGGCTTTATATTAAATACATTTCTCTAAAATTGCTCTGCTGTATTCACAGCACAATATGGTGTCTATATCTTTCTCCCAAACCTCTCCTGGTAGCCTTGTTGAAGTGACCTACTACCATCATTGGCACCATCCATTCCTGTGTTAAACTTCCAGCGCTCGAAAGTAAAGGCCACTGTTAATCATAAGGAATACCTAGGGAAGGGTATGAGTTTGACTAAGGATAAGGCCCACAAGTGTGAGCTCACAGGCATCCCTCCTACATCCTGTGCCACCCCTTAGATTATGGGTACTATTGATGTTGTTGCCAATAACATCCCTCCACACACATACTTTAGGCTTGCTTGTAATTTAAGACTTCACATTATATAATAGTATGAATGGGGAGTGGTTTTAGTCATACCTATCTGGTCACTGTGGTACATTCCTGTAGTCCCTGCCACTCCAGAGGCTGAAGCAAGAGGACTGTTTGAGCCCAGGAGTTCTAGGTCAGCAGCATAGTAAGATGCTGGGCAACATAGTGAGATCGTGTATCTCACAAATAATTAAATAAAAGTAAAGTCACATGTAAGCTGGATAAAGGATTGGAGGAGGGTCGTTATAGTCATCCATTTTTTGTATGTTTGAAATTCTTCATTTAGAAAATTATTTTAATCTAATGAAGGGGAAAAGCATTCCGACGAGGGGCTTGCTCAATCATAGCACACAAGACAAAGCCAGCTTTCAAAACTAAGGGCCTCTTTTTCTCGTGATACCTTGCCTGTCACCTCTCCAGGGATCTGGGAAAGTGTGGCAGTTATTTCACAGTAGGAAGTAGGAATGGTGCCCAGCTTTTCAAAGGCATGACTTGGTTTGGCACTTCAAAGATTTCATCTTAAAGATAGTGTGAGCTTTTACTGTAATCTGTAAATTTCAGTCATCTGTCCCCACAGGATGCTGCATTAAGGATAAGCAGTGGCAGTATTTTGCAGTTACAAGCTGGCACACATTAAAGCCTAATTGTGTAGGAAAAAAATACATCAGACTCATAAAGCATCTAAAATCTGGTGTAGAGGCTGTGTCGCAGTGCCAAATAGCCTTCTAAGCAAGAATTCTGATTTCATTAGTCAGTGAGTAAGCCATGCAAAATGACATTTTTGTATGCATAGCTAGTCTATGAAATTTCAGAATATTAATAAGTCTTTGTTTTAATATCTTCAAATGACAAAACAAAACAAGCTAGCCTCTGAATGAGCCCTTCCATTTCATTGTAACCTCCCAGCGGGAGCCCTGTCGGCTGATAGAACTTGTGATAATGGAAGTGGTGCCCAACTTAGGAATGCTGAGAAAAGCTAGAGGCCTTGACAGTTTCTTTAAGGTAAGTTCCACCCTTAGTTGATAAGAAAAGTATATTTTAGTAGACTGAAACCTAGTTGAGAAAATATTCTTGTAAAATAGCCTTATATTTAAAACCAACTATAAGAGTCTATCTTTCCCTGTGCTTTCAAGTCAAAGAAGACAAGGCCTAGTGACTTTACCTGAAAAACACTATAGGTTCCTAATATGAAGTCTGAGTGTCTCACTGAAGAATTTAGTGCAAGCTCCTGAAAGCCATCTGAACCTCTGTTTTGTCATTTACCAAAGTGGTTTATTGTTGCGGGGCTGGAGGATCGAACCTAGGGTCTCGCACAGGCACTACTGAGCCACACCCCTAGCCCAATGAAATAGCTTTATATGATGATTTGTCTCCATCCTCTGTTACTTTTTTTATTCTAAGTTGTTGATGGACACAATACCTCTAATTTATTTATTTTTTAGGTGGTGCTGAGGATTGAACCCAGTGCTCACATGTGCTAGGCAAGTGCTTTACCACTGAGCTACAGCCCCAGCCCTCAGTTGTTGTTTTTTTTGTTTGTTTTACTTTTTCCTTCTTGGAAGAATCTGTCATGATCTGGAAGTATTAAGAGCTGTTGTGTTGTGGCTTGTGAAATATTAATAAATGATGAGCAACATGTAAAATTGATTTTCAAGCTGAAATCATTTGGAAGGTTGTGAGGCTTAGTTCTGAGGCCTTGGTAAGAGAACCCAGCAAGGAGTCATATTTTAAAATTCTATTTAAAGAAAGAACAGAAGATAGTCACATGCTTTCTTAGTGTCTATAGTTGATTACTGCATCTTTTCTGTAGTTACACTGCATTTTTAATTACATTCTGCAAGGAATAAAGAATAAGCACTCTCTTATACAGATGTTCAGATTAAATTTCTAAATAAAAGGGTCATTTCAGTAGGAAATTCCATTTCCTTCCCTCATTAGATATAACCTAGCTGCGCATGGTCGAGAATGCCTGTAATCCCACTAACTTAAGGAGACTTTGTTTCAAAATAAAAAATCAAAATGGGGCTGTAGTTCAATGGTAAACACCGTAGGTTCAATCCCCAGCACCTCCCCACCCCTGAGGTCGAGTAAACAGAATAAGTGAAACATGTGGTTAGTGCGTGTTTAAGTCAGGCATATGTATGAGATTGAAAATGAGTTAGCTATTTCTTTAGTTTGATTTTTTTTTTTTTATTTTTATTTTTAATGCCCATAGATGGAGATAGTGATAGTGACTACTCTGGGAGCCAGGCACAGTAGCACATGCCTGTAGTCCCAGCTGCTCTAGAGGCTGAGGCAAGGCTGAGGTAAGGCTGAGGCAGGAGAAGCACTTCCTTCAGCCCAGGCCTGGGCTCCTAGCAAGACAAAAGTGCTAAAACTTCATATTTAATGAATTAGAAAACAATCTAAAACATTCTATCTTGGTTATTGATGTTGTCATATTTGACCATTTAATTTAAGACTCTTAAGAGCTTTGAACATAGTGACAGTAGATTCTTTAAGACACTTTAAAAATATTTCTTACGTTTTTTCACCTTGCAGCCCTGAAATTTAATTGTAACCTAATTATAACTTGGACAACTAAGTCCACTACTAAAGGACATAAAGATGATTGTTCACCCCAGTGACCAGACTTTTGAGATGTTTATCCTTTTTTTGTTAACTATGCAAATTCTATTCCTTAATATAGAGTCCATAAATTAGAGTCTTGGCAGGGTCTTTTGTGCATTTTTAAAATGTTCTCCACATGATGGAAATGGCTCTGTAGGGAAGCCATCGTTTTTTATACAGTTTCTCTTAGAGAAATAAAATTCTTTATCCTAGATCCGTTGTCCAGTTTTCACAAGATGATTGCTGAAAAGGTTCTAGGCAGCGCCTCTGTTAAAAAAAGCATTGCTTTCTGTTAACTAGAGATATGCAAGCCAGCCAGCGCTCCGTAGCCTTAATTGCAGAAATGATCCACACTGCTAGTCTGGTTCACGACGATGTTATTGATGATGCAAGTTCTCGAAGAGGAAAACACACAGTTAATAAGATCTGGGGTGAGAAGAAGGTATGGCTTTTAAAATTCCTTCTAACCAAATCACGTGCTTTTTGGATTACATTTGTTTTTCAGATGTGTCTCTAATTCCAAAGTAAAACATGCTTGTTCAAATATGGTCTTATAAATTTCAAAAAAGTATTCATGTCATTTTTGTATATAGATACTTGGTAAACAAGAGAAAATGCCATAGAAAAATAAACTTAGTGTTTCTGGTTCCTCTCCATTTCATATAGCATTTCTTTTGGTTGTAAGGAAAGGGATATTCATGGATTTCCAAAAAGTGAATTTCATAAGGAATCATACTTTTTTTTTAATATTTATTTTTTAGTTGTAGTTGGACACAATACCTTAATTTTATTTATTTTTACACGGTCCTGAGGATCAAACCCAGGGCCCCGCATCTGCTAGGCACGCGCTCTACCGCTGAGCCACAACGCCAGGCCAGGAATCATACATTTTACTTTTGGATTCAAATTACTCAGACTTTGTCCAATTCTTTAACATTTATTGATTGACTACTATATACAAGAGTGTCAAGGCAAATAAATAAAACTAAAAAAGAAAAAAAAATCTTAGATACTATTCTACCATGAAAATCTTAATCTTTTTAAATACAGTCAATATAATAGGGTTTGGTTCATATGGGTATGTATTTTTAAAATGTAATTCCGTATTAGTTTATTAGCGTTCTTTGAGGGCAGTGTGCACATTAGGGACTTCAGTTTGAGGATATATAAATTATAGGTTGAACAATGGGAATAAAGTTTTAAAAAGGAACAAAAAAGGATGCACAGGCCTTTTAAGAGCAGACATCCACCCCACACAAATGCCTCCCTGGGCCATCTTGCCCAGTTGAACAGCAGAATTTATACAAACATAACTTGCCCTCTCTCCTTCTCCCTCACATAGTTGTAATACCTGGTTCCCTCCTGTTCAGTTGTCCTTCACGCAGTGGTTTTGCTTTAACAAGAAAGTCTTTGTTGTGAAATTGAACTCTGCAATTCGATGTATATGGCTTTTATATCAAATTTTAGATTAAAAGATTTTTTTATCCTGTTAACTGAAATCTAAACATGAGAATGCTAGCAAAAAGAAGATGGAGTTTTGTTTTGGAGAGGACACGGGTAACTTCATGACTCATTCCTGCCATCACCTGTGTCTGTTTTCAGGCAGGGCCAGTCCTGAACCTTATTTGTTTGGAGCTGTTGGGCAGGGAAGGATCGTCAAGGGAACAAATTATGGTCTTCTCCTTGTGTGTCTGCCTCTCCTGGTGGGGGCTTCTGAGTGCAGGTAAAAGGAGGTGTTTGCTGCCATCCTCTGCCTCTCTCTGCTACAAGAGTGGCCTGCTCAGCACGAGTCTGCCTGCTAGTCACCTTTTTCCTGCTTCTGAACCATAATGACTGTGTTATTGCTACAAGAATCCATTCACCTGAGCCCTTGTTACTTCTGGTTCCCTTTAACTCTTCAAACCTAGCCATCTAGATCCTTGTGGTTCTAGATTCATATGCTATAACTTTTGGGCCTCTAGGATCCTTAGGGCCAGAAAGGAAAGAGGTAAAGACCCAAGAATCTCAGGCGACAAGTTGCTAATACTTGGGGGGTAAATGGGTGGGTATAAGTGTGTTCACATATGTCATGATGTGTCAGATTACTTTATAAGTGTATACTTACATGGTGCTAGCTTATATAACATGTGTAGTAAATAAAAATGGTGATTAGTTGGTAAACATACACTGAATGTTACATGTGTCTCTTTTAGATACTAGAGAACAGACAATAAATACCTAAAATGGTTATGTTGAAAATTCTATGAATTAAAATTTCTGTGAGCTCTAGCATTTATGACTAATTCCAATAGGACTTAATAACACTTAAGCCATATCTTTAAATATGTAAATTAATGTGAGTACATGATTACAGCATGTTATTCTGATTATTTGCTAATACATTGTGGACATCTCATGATCTAAAGTTTGAGAAAGTATTAATTACCTAATAATCAATGAAAACAATATTTAATTGGGCTGGGAGTATAGCTACGTGGCAGAGAACTTGACTAAGAGGTGCCAGGACCTGTGGTAGATGCCCAACACTAAAAGAATTTGGGGTATGACCTACGAATGAAGGGCAGTGTAAGATACTGCAAAGAGCATCGAACCTGGAGTAAAGTATCCTTAGTTAAATTCTCATTGGGAAAAAAAAAACATGCTGTGCACTGGGATGCTAAGTACTAGCAGAAACGTTCCTTGTCTGGGTCCTCCAAAAGTGAAGAAATGAACAGGACAACGCTGCTTGGGGTGCAGAGTTGTGCTCGCTTAGTCAGAGGGATCTGATCAGACTGCCGTAGCAGAGAAGATTTCTTGGAGGTGCTATTTGAGCTAATTTTGCAAATTGAGTTTCCAAAGTGAAAAAGGAGAACGTGTGTGTGTGTGTGTGTGTGTGTGTGTCGCTGAGGATCAAACCCAGGTTCTCGGGTATGCTAGCCAAGTGCTATATCACCAAGTTACACCCCAGCCCCCAAAGAACTTTTTGAGCAAAAGAAACAGTAAGTGAAAAGGCAGAGTGACGTGGTTTGAGGGAACAGCAAATGATCCAATATTGGATCATGCTAAAATGAAGGCAGCTGCATTTTGGTGGCCTCTGGGGAATGAAGTAAGAAGGTAAATTCCATTCCCTTTCCATGACTAAGGTAATATCTGAGAGTCAGCTCAGGTCAGACAGTGGCCCAAATCTGTAACTGATTATTATGTAATCCTGCTGAGAAAGGAGGAAACTTACTCTTTCCTATTCTGCATTCATCCTCTGACAAGTCAGCTTCATCATTGACTCCATTGCTCTGATCTTTTTATTTGAGTTTTTCCTCCTCTTTTTCTAGGCTGTTCTTGCTGGAGATTTAATTCTTTCTGCAGCATCTATAGCTCTGGCACGGATTGGAAACACAACTGTTATATCTATTTTAACCCAAGTTATTGAAGATTTGGTGCGTGGTATGTTGTTTCTAACTCTTATTTTTTATTTATTCAATCCTGGTATTTAGCAGGCAGTAAAACCATATCTCAAGAAACCTTTTTCCTTCTTTTCAGGTGAATTTCTTCAGCTAGGGTCAAAAGAAAATGAGAATGAAAGATTTGCCCACTATCTTGAAAAGACCTTCAAGAAGACTGCAAGTCTGATAGCCAACAGTTGTAAAGCAGTATGTACGTTCTGTCTTTTTTCAAGTTAAAAAAGTCTCATAGCTCTTTCTTGGAGCTAATTCTAGAAAATATATCACTGGAAAACAGTGGCAAAGTGCTTGCCTAGCATGCACAATGCCCTGGGTTACACACACACACACGCAACTTCTACTATGGGCTATGGTTTTTATTTTTGCTATCTTTTTTTTATATATATATATTTTTTAGTTGTTAATGCACCTTTATTTTGTTTATTTACATTTGGTGCTGAGAGTTGAACCCAGTGCCTCACATATGCTAAGCAAGTGCTCTACCCAACCCCATTGCTATCTTCTTTTGGTATGCAGCCGTTAACTACTCTTTTTATCTTGCCTCCTAAGAATTAAATCAAAATAAGCTTTATATTATATCCCCAATATATTGTTCAAACTGTAACATTCTGAACAATTTGTGGCAATTTTTTCATATTTGTTGTCACATTTCTGACATTTTTACCTTTAGAAATTATAAAGTATGTTCTACATACTTTTTTTATAGATAATAGATCTTCCCAATATTATTACGTGAAATATAAATAAGCCTCATTTCTTCAGACTATAAATTGATGACTTTTTTGTTTTGTTTTGTTTGGTACCAGGGATTGAATTTGGGGGCACTCAACCACTGAGCCACATCCCCAGCCCTATTTTGTATTTTATTTAGAGACAGGGTCTCACTGACTTGCTTAGCCCCATTCCTTTTACTGAGGCTGGCTTTGAACTCATGATCCTCCTGCCTCAACCTCCCAAGCTGCTGGGATTACATGCGTGTGCCACCACACCTGGCTACACTGATGATATTTTAACATTAGTTAACATCTTTAATCCATAGCCTAAAAGGTGTAGTATTCATTGTTAAGCGCACAAATGAAAACCAATGTCTCCATACAATTGTTCATCTGAGCATCTCTCAGCCTAATGGATACAGAGATAAGTAATCATCCCATGTGATTACAGCAACAAGAAAAGAAGACCTCTGAGGGTCAAATGGAAATTGCTGTCGTGACATGCTGTTAACATAACTACAATTAAAGAGAGCTTTTTCTCAGAGTTCTCCAGTGAATAAGTCCCTTGCTAATACCATCTCTGTTTGATAAGTGACAAGAAATGTGTAATTGTGAGCCGGGAAAGAATGAGGACAACACTTTCTTCCTAAAAAAGATCTAATTGAAACCCTAAGGAATGTGAATTATGTAGAACATGCTGGCCACAATCTCAGCCATTTTTGTCTTTTTATTGAAAAGGGCTATTATGTTCTTATTTCCAAGAAATTACAAGTGTGGAGTTTTTTATTTTTTAAGAGATGAAAATATGATAGATACCGAATGTTAAAAAAAAGAATGGCCTATTTAAAATGGGTGCTTTAAAGCTGTTACAGTAATCCTTTATTGATTATTCCACCCCAGATGACCAAAATCTGCATCAGGACCCATCATAAGACACTCTAGTATGTTAAGTGAGAAGTTCATTGATAATTCCTAAGTTTGAGACTGCAGTTTAGAGGCATGAGCAGGTGGGGGGGCTGTTGGAATTAGAATTGCACAAAGTGGACAAAGGGGGCACAAAGGAGCAGTACTGCCTGGGGCCTGAACTGGGACTGGTTCATTCAGTGCCGGTATCCAAGGAGATGGATCTAAGTTATCAAGGAAAGGTTTAATTATGGTCACTATCCTCTGCTTAAGAAGCCAAAGATAAAGCACAGGTATTATTCTTTTATAAATAGTACCACATTCTTCAAAGATTATTAGCAAGTAAATAATGAACGTAAAGGCTCAACCTTTATTAAAAACAAAGTACTCTAAGCCCTCCACTAGGAGGCATGCTGGCATTGCCCCAGAACCATCTATTTTTCCATGTAATTTTTTTTCTAAACTCCAGAGCTGTTAGAATAATAAAACAAAATCATAGTGTGTTCTCTGAATAAAAGCTTCTATATTTAAGTGCCCATGGGTGGAAATATTCCAGTGGTGTTATGTGTTGAAAATTGCTATTTTTATGTACTCTGGTATTTAAAATGCAAAGACGTGAGCTCCAAAGAAATGCATATGAAGCAAATTAAACAGGCCAAAAGAGGGAATAGGAATGTAAGGATTGGTATTATTATAGAAGAACTAGTGGGTTTCCAAAATGTTTTAGGAATTGGAAAGAAATTTACCAGCTTCTAATTCATTCTACCAAGGATACCATTTTCCCCCCACCATCGTGCCCCCAGCCACCTTACCCTTTTTAACCAACCACTTTATTATAAGTGGGAATAATATGGAAATCTAAGAGAGGACTATCTAGGGAGATTGTTTTTGTGACTGATATTAAAAATGGAATTAATCTTATATTCAAAAAATGATTGGGCATTTATTTAGACAGTCATGCAAAATACATTGTGTAGCTTACCAGTAAAAATTATGACTTGTTGCCCAGAATATTGTTTGGAATGAGAACTGACAGGTCGTGTTGTCTGGCCAGTTTTCTTCAGCTAGACAGTAGCTAAGCTGGGACTTGAACCCAGAACTAGGTAATCCTGCTTTGTTGTTTTTCTTTTTTCTTTTTCTTCTTTTTTTCCCCCTGGTTTGGTTTGGTTTGGCTTTGCAGTACTGGGGATTGAACTAGGGCCTTGAACATACAGGTGCTCCACCAGTGAGCTATATCCTTGGCCATTTTTCCTAGGTTTCTTTTCTCTCCAGCACTATGTGTGTCCTGGAATCAGTGGGGTTTCTTCTTGCTTTATTTTCAAAGCTCTAGAGTACTACCACAGAATTTTGTGTTATGGATCATATTAGCAGAGTGCTGAGTTTTTGTTACTATATATCTATAGGCCTTAATCAGATTTTGCAAATTGTCCAAATACAAAATAACAAAGGGGAAAAAATCTTTTCCCCCAGGATCCATTCCAGGATCTCACCTTGCCTTCAATTGTCATGAGGTCCTTGTCTCTGTTGTTTAAAGCAGTTCCTTAGGCTTCATCTTGTGTTATTACCTTGATGTTCTGAAGAACACGGGCTAATTATGTTGTTGAGCCTCTCAAGGTGTGTTTGTCTGATACTTCTCAAGATTAGATTTAGGTCGTGAATGTGGCAGGAGTACAACAAGCAGTGCTGTCCTCTCAGTTTATCACCTCGGGAGATGCCTGATGTCTCCAGCTCCTAACTACTGAGGTGCACTTTGATCACTTGGAGAGGGTGCTGTCTGCCAGGTTTCTTTACTTTAAAGTTAACTATTTTGCCCTATTTTTAAGGAGGCATTTTCATATTGTGTAAATATTGTTTCTCATCAAACTCTCACCCGCTGGTTTTAGCATCTTCTAATGATTCTTTCCTGAGGCAGTTATTACTATGGTGGTTGCCAAATGGTGGTTTTCCTGTTGTTCCTTCCAAGTCACTCTTCCGCAATAGTGTTAGTCTTCTGTTACAGGTAGCTCTTGTCTGGATGAGTCTTAGGTTGTTAGGATTATAACCCTTTATCAGGGTTTAAAGCTTTATTGTCCCATATTTGGCCAATGTGGGGAGTCCCTTTAATCTTGCTTCTACATCTTTTTACATGTCCCCAACATTCTTTTAGCACTGTCTTAATTTATGGCAGGAGATATTCCAGGCGCATCTCGTACTTTCCAGCCCTGGCATCCATGGAGCCCAAATTCCTTTTGGTGGAGATGATGTTTAGAAATCAGAATTTTGAACAGTGTGTCACTGTTTCTAGGCCCTGTCGGTGGAATAGCTGGGACATACCTGTGTATGTGTTTTGCATGTATGTAGTGTTACAGTTTAAATCTGGATTCTCCCCCAAAGGTTCATGTGTTGAATGCTTTGTCCCTTGCTGGTGGCATCATTGGGTGGAAACCTTGAGAGATCAGGTGTGGTTGGAAGAGGTGGGTCACGGGGGGCATACCTTTGAAGGGTATGCTTTGTCCCTGACCCTTCTTCTGCCTCACTGCTTCCTGGATGCTCTGGGGTGAGCACTTCTGATCCACTGTGTACTCTCCCACCATGATGTCCTGCCTCACCAAAGGCCTGTAGTCACAGAGCCAAGTGACCATGGACTGGAACCTCTGAAACTGTGAGCCAAAATAAATCTTTCTTTCTCTGCAGTTGATTTTCTCAGGTATTACTTCATAGTGACGAACAGCTGACTAACACATATGGATATGTATATTTCTGTATTTCTATATCCACCCATATTTCTTTGAAACCTTTAGGTATCCTACTGGTGGCTCAAATCCATCTCACCCCTCAGGATTCATGATTTATTCTAGCATTCCATTTTCCATATTTGTAACTATTCCCCATCTGTGAGAAACTTGGTACCCATTCTCCACAATGTACTTATTTGCTCAATCCTACAATATCCATACAATCCTACAATATCCATAGGACTTTCAAAATTGAAATGTGAAAAACAAGCCCAGTGGCTAGGGTTTAGTATTTTGTTTACAGATCCTTTTGTTTTTAGCTTGAGGATAAATCAAAGCACTGTTTAAAAGTTCTCTCTCCTAGCCGTGTGGTGGCACCTGTAATGCCTGTAATCCCAGTGATTCGGGAAGGTGACACAGGAGGATCGCAAATTCAAGACCTGTCTCAAAAATAAAAAATGAGAGGAGCTGAAGATGTGGCTCAGTAGTTAGGCACGCTGGGTTCAGTCCCTGGTATCCCAAAAAAAAAAAAAAAAATCCTCTCTCCTTTCTGGTGTGGTTATTATTTGGATCATTTTAATTCCATGTTAGGGGTTCCTTCCCATTGTTAACTGATTTTGTTTGTTTTGTGTTGAGGGTCTTGTTACTCTTGTTATTTTGAGTATATGAGACATTAACATTGCTCCAAAAGTCAGCTCCCCTTTTTCTTTTATGCCATCGTCACTCTCCCATCTGCTGCACCCAGCTTGTGGGTGACTAGTCTCATTATTTTCTGATTCTTCCTTCCTGTTTCATTTTGCACAAGCCAAAAAAACACGTGTCTATCTTTTCTTTCTCTTTCTTACAACAAAGAATGCACTGGTCTCTGTGTTTGTTTTGCTTTTACACCTTGCTTTATTCACTTAATAATATATTCTGAACTGATACCATGATGATTATAGAATCTGCCTTATTTAAAAACAGCTGCAACTGTATCTATTGTGTGGATGTAGCATAGTTTATTCAGCTACTTTCCTATGTATGGGCATTCAGGTCTCTGGTATTTTATCATTACTAATAACATTACAATGACTAACCTTATGTAAGAGTATTTTTGTATCGTGAGAGGTATGTGTTTGGGGTAAATTTAGGGGCAGTTGTATTTGTGGTTTTGTTAGATACATAAGCAAATTCCCTGTACAGGGTATCAGTGTGCATTTCTGTCAGAGTTGATAAGGGTGTCTTACTTCTTTCCCACAGCCTCACTAACTGAATACGGCATTAGACTTTGTTCCCAATCCAATATATGAGAAATGGTATCATGGTGATTAATTTTTATTTCTTCTCAGTGAAGCTGCACATGTTTTCATATGGTCAAGGGTCGTTATTATTTCTTTAATTTTGGGGAATTATCTGTCCCTGTCTTTTGCCTATTTGATCTTTTATCCCCTCAGTTCTTAAGAGCTCTTTATATGTTGTTAGTTACTTTCCTGTGATGTTATATGTATTTTCTCTGAATATTTTCAGTTGTTTTTGACAGTATCCTCTTTTGATATTTTCTGTGATAGTAGAGTTCCAGTTCTGTCTGCTATTTTTAACAAATAAGACCCAATGTGTACATTCCCATCCAAATATTTCTCTTAATCCATGGTGAAGAAACAGATTCTTCAAAGATAGAAATCCTTGCCGGGTGCAGTGGCACATGTCTGTAATCACAGGGGTTCAAGAGGCTGAGGAAGGAGGATTGCAAGTTCCAGACCAGACTTGGCAACTTGAGCAAGACCTGGGTCAAAATAAAAAATAAAAAGGGCTGGGCATATGGCTCAGTGGTAAAGTGTCCCTGGGTTCAATCCCCAGTACATCAAAAAAAGATAAGAGATTCTTATTAAATATCAAGTATTTTGCCCTCTCCAATGCAAATAGTATTTCCCAATTTTTCTAAGAATCTGATGCAAGGTGTGGCCCTTCCCTAGAAAGAAGCACATATACACACACAGCACAACGTGGCTGTGACATCTGCTTTGACCAAAACAATCCGTGAAGCTCTACTTTCTTTGACTTACTCATTCTCCATTTTCAACCCACTTTCAGAAACATGTGAGCATCTCTGATGCTGAGCAGTGTCCTTTTACATTAGCTTACCTCCTTGCCACACGTGTTGTACTTTGTTGTATGATTTTCCTATTTGTGGTTGTTTTCAGTTAGATTGCCACTGATCCCAACAGTTCTTAACCTAGTTAGGGGAACAGGACTCTGAAATCTGAACAGAAATGTTGACCCTTCACTGTGTGTGAGGTAGAAGCTGCCCACTAAGCTCATGTCTGTTTTGGCAGATGTGAGTGGGGAAGGGACATGGCAGGCAGACTTCGTGGCTTTATGCTGACTTGGGGCATGTTCCTTGACCTCTTTGAGCTTTTGTTGTTCTGTCTATTGGAAGCAGTATTGCAAAAGGATAAATAAAATGGTATCTGAAGCCAGATGCTTGGATTCAGATTCTGATTCCAGCCTGTCTTTCACATGTAACTCCTGTTCCCTTGGCATCTCAGTTCCTCAGACCTCACAGTGACTTCCTATGCAGTGAATCTTAGAATGGTGTCTGGTGAGAGTAAGTGATCAGAATTTATCAGTTTTTCTCATCCTCAGCCACGTAATAGTATTTATGGGATGTTGTGAGCTTTAACCAAGATGATACAAGGTTTGCTAACGATATATCCGTAAGTGTTAATCCATTAACAATAACATTAGAAGTAGAAGACCTTTTTAAAAAATCTTCCATTTTTTTCAGTTTGTGTTTCTGAAGGGCTTTATGTTAAGAAGACAGCATTAATGTAGCTACAGGAGTGTGCTTCATTATCAGTTATTTCTGCCCAGCTCAGCATATCCTAAGCTGCCCAAACCTTGCCATGCTCTCATTCTTTGAGCCAATTTGATGGATATCAAAGTTTCTAAATTGTTCCCTATGTCTCATAGAGAGTCTTTAATTAAAACTCAGAGCCCCAGATAGGTCAGGTCTTTACTATTGAAAGCAGTTACAAGCTTATTATCCATTCAAATAAATGATCATCTGACCCTTTATGGTGTGTGCAGTTTATCCTGCACTTTCAGCTAAGCATTCTAGTCACAGACTTAATATTGTTAAAAAACATTCTCCAGGCTCAGGAAGTTATATGATCTAACTTTAAAAAGCAGAAGTGAGTGGACCCTGCCCAGGCTCCTGGTTCTGGATCCAGTGGATAAGGGGAATGAGGGGAAGATTAAACACAGATTGAGTTCTAACCAGATGCCAGGCAAAATTACTGAGGGCTTAGGTGCAACATCACATTTACTTCTCAGCACCCCTGTGAGGGGTGCTTTTAATGCCTACATTTTACAGAGAAGGGAACTGAAACACAGAAAGCCTAAATAGTATGCCATGGTCACATGTTTGCGGTAAGGGGCATAAATCGAACCCTGCTGACAAACTGCAGAGAGTGCCCCACTGTACCATGCTGATGCCTGAGCAAAATGGGTTCTCAAGCAGAGAGGTAGGGACTAAAGGTTGGGGACAGGATTATTTATCACCAGTATCATTACATGAAAACCTCCATCTGACTTTCTCATTGAGAGTCAATGTAGACATTTCCTCTCCAGTAAAGCAAAATGGGCACCCCCTTCCCTCTTTGTATTTTTACCCAGTCTTTGTTTTCTGAAAATGTGGCCAGGCCTGCTTAGCATGCTTATTAGCAGAGCAGTGGGAAGTGCACTCAAGTGGCCGGCTAGTTATCTTTTGAGTATTAAAAAAGACTTTTGAAGCCCTTTTTCTCCCCCCACTAACAAGGGGATAAAACACTTGTTACACAATTATAATAGTTTTTTGCAAGAGAAATATAGGAAGAGTAGAACCAAGGACTATCCTTCTAATAATGAAAGAATAGAATCTGAATGTCTGAAGCACAAGGCTTGAGACTGTTGCAGACAGAGCAAGAAACAACTGCATTCAGAAGTAAGTGGAATCACCAAAATTTATTAAAAGAAAAGAGTACAGATGGGGAAATACACATCATGTGTATGATTAGATGAGATATCTCGCCCTAAAATGAAGGGTAATCTTAGAGGTTCTTAAAGCCAACAGTATATTGGGCCAGTGTGCTGAGTGCTGGAAACCAGTATTTCACATAATGGAATCTGTTCTTTTTCATGTCACAAAGGTTTACTTAGCCTAATGGCAGAACTGTCTCCTAATAGCTCAGTTTTTCCCAGGCAATGAGAAAGACTTTATTCTGTTGCAAAGAAGGGGGGAAGGGAAGGTTGTTTTCTTAGTATTTAAGTAAACAGAGGGTGGGCTAGCTCAGTGATAAGAGTAGTTGCTTAGGATGCATAAAGGTCCAGGGTTCTATCCCTAGCACCATCAAAAAAAAGGGTGGGGGGATAAGAAAAAAAGAGGACATTTATTTTGTACCTGTTTTGTATACTTTTGGGATCAGTATCTCCTGGTTCTACATAATCTAGCCTCACAACCTCTTATTTAAGAGAATTTCCATCTGACTCTTTAATCTAGGGTTTGGCCTTGTTTCTGGATGCCAGCAGCTTATCTAAGAATCTCTGTTTCAGGTCTCTGTCCTAGGATGCCCTGACCCAATGGTGCATGAGATTGCCTATCAATATGGAAAAAATGTGGGAATAGCTTTTCAGGTTGGTGTGTTTCTTATTTAAAAGAATGGTAGTGTGTGGGGACAGCTAGTACTCTCCCCCCAGTGTAAAATCCCTACAGAGCAGCAGTGATGTGGGCACTGTGTTGCTGTTTACATTGCCTTCTTCTTTTCTCTAGCTCATCGATGATGTATTGGATTTCACCTCTTGTTCTGATCAGATGGGCAAACCAACATCTGCTGATCTGAAACTTGGGTTGGCCACTGGCCCAGTCTTGTTTGCTTGTCAGCAGGTAAGTTTTACAAACTCCCTTTGATACACTGTTATGTAGCTTTACAGAGCCAATGTCTCTGGTCACATCTGATGGAAATGCTGAGATAAGGAGTAGCTAAGGAGACAGGTAAGGGACCACAGATCTGGGTTTGATCCTGGTTTCGGGACTAAGATGCAGGAGCCAGTCATTTCTACTTCTAAGCCTTATCTGTAAAATATAAAAGATTACACACTTCTTCCCCAGGATTAACTGAGAGAATGCTTACCATCTTGTAAATTGTTAAGTACCATAGGCATTTTATTTATTGTAATATTAGGATTTATTTCATATATTGGGCACTGGCTAGGTACTGGTTCCCACATCTTGATCATAGACTGGACTTCGGGTGTGCCTCAGGGCCCATTAAAAAGGCACAGGAAACGTCAAGGGCCTGTAAGCCTGAGAAATTCTTCAGTTCCAGAAGTTTAATGGGTCTGTTCTCTGCTATGAGGCATCAGAGCCTCAGCCTTTGTCTCAGAATGTCAAGAAGTCAATAAAATCCACTAGAATCACAGTTCCTTTTTTCTCCAGATTGAAGGACTGTCAAGGAAGTAAATAAAGCTGTCTTCATATTCTCCTTAATACGGATGAAAGATGCTGCTGTGACTAGCAAGGCAAGACATTTCCACCAGGAACCATTTTCTGGTTCCTGGTGGCACTGCTTTTGGCTGTGCCAAGTGTTAACTGAAATAAGTGGGGCACTGGTTAGTGCTTGGACCATTTTTTAAATAGATTTTCACTTAGAGGCATTGGGTATTTAGCAAAGCAATAAGATATTCATCACCATGTCATTAAATTAAATACTAGCCTTTTGATTTAAAATTTATAAAAGTAAATCATGTCTTCTGTAGAACTCGTTGATTCCATTTTGATCTAGAGAGGAGCGATCATCTTGCAGCTATTATCTAGTAGAGCTGCTGCCAGGGTAATTCAATCCCAGGGGAGGCTGATATCCTGGGTGCCTGATCAGGTTGCCTTGGGCAACAGCAGTCAATCAAAGAATAAAGGCTGTGAACAGAGATGTTGGGGCACTTGGTAGAAACACCTTTATTACCAGGCTCCATCCTCTTGAAAAAATTTGAGGCTGAAGTGAGAAGTATGCTATAAACGGGTCCTTTCTCTCACTGAGACTAACCAGCTTCAAACTCAGGGAGATTATTAATATGTATGCCAAATTCTGCCAAAAATTTATAAAGCTCCCTTTGACACATTAAAGCAGGAGTGACGAACATTTCCTGTTTTGCCATAATCCCACACAAAAAGTAAGGGTATGCCTGAGATTAGAAAAAATTAGTCATTGGCTACCAGGGCTGGTACAACTACATACAGTCTCCTCAGACAGTGGCTGGTAAACATGGGTGAAGAAGGACACGGCAGAAGTAGGCTGACACAGCTAGTTTGGCAAAGATTCAGTTGGGCCCTGAGATTATCAAGATAACTAAGAGCAAGCCTTTCCTTGAAAAAAAGCCTCCAGTCTGCTACGTTGTGGTTGCTGTATTTTTAGAAATCTCAACAATTACAAATACTTTTCATAATCCCCATCATACTAACAGTTGAGTTCTACTTAAACCTTAAGATGACTGGTTCAAGAAAAGACTGGCCTTTTCTGATTGTTTCACTGTGAACATATTTCAAAAGAAATTAATTTCCTCTACACAAAGGAGTAATGGCTAATTTCGCCTGTAGATATAATGGTGCAAAGTGGGGAGCAGTTTGAATGAACTGCTCCTACATATTGATCTGTCTATAATGTGTGATAAAAAAATAGTGGGTTTGGTGGGGGTTAGGGGCGAGGAAAAGGAACAAACAAAAAGTTTTGAAGCCCCAAACCGTGATTTTATGTGTGTCTCAGTGGGAAATCCCAGGGTCATGAGGCATCCACTCACTGTCACCAGACAGCACTTTCCTTATCTGCCCATACAGCAGTGGGGAAAGAGAGTTAAAAAGGCACATTGTAGCCTTAGAAAAGGGAACACATGATGAAGCCAAGCAGGAAGTAACTCTGCATAAGACTCATTTCATAAATAGATTGGTTTTTGTCTGGTGATACAAGGGCCAGAAGTTAGTCAAATGTGTATTCATAGTTAGTTAAACATGTAATTGTTTTCAAATAAAACAGCAAGGTTAGGCTCTACTAATGGATTACAGTGTCAAAAAGGGATTCTTAGCAAGAAGTTTGTCAGAAAAATTATGGGAGCCAGGCCCAGTGGCACATCCTGGTGGCACATCCCGGTGGTTTAGGAGGCTAAGCGAGGAGGATCGCAAGTTCAAAGCCAGCCTCAGTAAGACCCTGTCTCAAAATTTAAAAGGGCTGGGGATGTGGCTCAGTGGTTAAACACTCCTGGGTTCAATTCCCAGTACTCCCACCTTCCCCCCAAATTTATGGGGCTTATCATTTTTAAATTTTGGTTAAAACAAGTTTCAAACATAACATGAGGAAGTACAGTATCTTCATTTAATGAAAATGCATTCTTTTTAGTTTATAAAGGACTCTTTCATACATTATATCTAATCTCACAACTCCTCTTTGTGGTAGATATGATGATGTCTGTTCTACAAATAAGAAACTGATGCTCAAGCCTGGCCAAAATCAAACATCTGGTCAATGGCACAAAAGGCAATTGAACATGGCCAAGTTTTCCAGGACCAGCATTCATTTTACTACATTGTGAATTATTATTGCCACTGATAAGTTGACAGAAGTTATTACCTAATGAATTTGTGTAATACTTATTGTCTCCCCACAGAGCAGATAACCAGTGTGCCTGGCATTGAAAATGCAGTGACAATGCTCTGCAGTCTGCTTTTTCTTATTTGTGATTAACATGCCCATTTAGTAGAGTAGTTCTAAGGTGTTTGTAATCCTTCTCCATAGGTAGGTAAGTTTTTGTAGATTAGTCTTTGACCTTAACCGTTTACAAACATCTGCCGAGTCTCATTGGTGTAGCAAAAGCAATATTGGGCAACTGCCTTTTTAAGGCATGCTGGGTTATCTTGAAATTAGAATTTGCTGGATTCTGCAGTTGTCAGAAAATCCCTGAGTTTGGGATTCTAATATTCTTGACATCTCTAAAGGTGTTTTCTGATAATAGTTGATACAAGGGATTTAACAAGTTTAGAAGGTTGTAGCTCAGTGGTAGTGCCCTCTTCTGGCACATGCAAGGCTCTGGTCTAAGTTTTCAGCACCACAAAAAAAAAATGAAACTTTCAGTATTACTGGACAGGTCCCAGTGATTACAGTGTGCTTCCTTATTTATGTGTGTATATGTTGTCTTTAAGAACAAAAACCTTGGGCTGGGGTTGTGGCTCAGTGGTAGAGCGCTTGCGTAGCATGTGTGAGACATTGGGTTTGATTCTCAGTACCACATATAAATAAATACAATAAAGGTCCATTGACAACTATTTTAAAAAAGAACAAAAACCTTGTTAAATTTCTTAAGTATATATTGATTGGACCCTCATCTTCAGAAATAAAATGGAAGTGTTTTCTTCAGTGGGACTACATAAATTTGCAAGATCTTTTTAAAAACTTTCTTTTCTTCTGTTTCTCTTACTTGATGTCACCTAAATGTCAGCATGTAGCTGTACTTCCAGCTGGCACCACCATCCCCTGCACCAGCTGCACAGGCTTTTGCTGTTTTGGTGACTAGTTGGTGCCTTGGAGTTACATAAGTTCTGTTTGGTTAAGCACTCTAGTTTACTGATCACCTTTGTAGGTTCATTTATGGGCAGATTTCACAGTTGGACTCTTGACTCATCCACAGGTTTTCCTACTCTTAAAAACAGCCTAAGCAAACAAAAATTTTCTTATGTTTTCATTAAATCTGCAGACAGGCAGCTATTCTTCCTGTTTCTCATTTTTTCTCCACACACACACTTTAAGGGGGATGGTGAGTAGTGCCTCAAAGAAGTTTGGTATTTTCATGTTAAAACAAAGGAAGGGTACAGTCACACTCAATGCAAATATTTTTAGTATAAAAAAAAGCATCAGAGAAACCACCAATCAGCACATTTTACCATTTGCTGATGTTGCAGATAAAGTTTATACACTGTAAGCAAGGTAAATTTACTGGAAGCCCAGAACAGCATCACAATCAACATTATAAAGATAAAGCATTCTAGCTGCCCTGTTTGGGGATGTGCTATTAAAGAATGTAAACAAATGCCTGCCTCATTTGGCTTTTTACAACTAATATTGGGGCTTTCCTGAATTGTTTCCAGTAAAGCTTAAATTATTTTTAAAAGATAAATAACTAAAGCAAATTATTGGTTTTAAGAACTAGCCAGTTGATGGCTCCTTACTTTCTAGAAGCATATTAGCAGCCTCTACATGTTTAGAACTTTGTTCTAACGCATACTTCACTGTTAAATCTTCCTCGTGTGCCATCATTTGGTTGAGTTTTTTTCTATGTGTGCCCTTTTTCCTTCTAGGATTACTAATACCAGGATGATGGTTGCAGGACAATTTATTTCATCCTTCAGGTTCACTGCCAGGGAAAAACTGGCAACTGCTGTAAGCACTGATGTGTCTAAGACCAAACATACCTTACCTCTTATTCCATGGAACGACAGACTGTTAGAATCAAGGATTTCAGATCACAAGACAGATGAGCAAGCCAAGATAGGAGATTAAGGAACTCATTCAGCTGTGGCACCTGGTGGCAGACCAGGACTGGTGTTTAGGAAGTGAAGTGATTTGTTCTCCTGGTTTCCTTATTATTCCTGGAGGCAATTCTCCAAAATAACTGCTAAGTACTATAGAATACAGTTTATATCTTCGGAATCTTTTGTGCCTCCCTGCTTTTTTCCTCTAATTACCATCAGCTTTATTCTGACCTTTTTCATAGTTCACTACAGTTACCTGATTAAGATTTAATTATTAAGGTTCTCAACCTGGGCTGCACATTAAACATGCCTAGGCCTAAGCTAAACCCTAAGCCAATAGACTGAATGAAAATCTTTGGGAGTGGGATTCAGGCAATGGTATTTTAACTTCCCCCAAAGATTCCAATATGCAATCAGCACTGAGCACCACTGCTCAGAGCCATTCCACACACTGCTTAGGGCAGAGCTCGATACCCTCTGCTCAGAAACCTCAGCAGCTTTCATTTCCACTTAGTTGAGTACTAGAATGCCTAATTCCTACTCTCATTCTAGGCCAGTGCTTCTCAAAATGTCAGCATGAACCAGCAGCATTAGTTAGCATCATCTGGAAATTTGTTTGAAATGCATGTTCAGGCTCTATGCTACTGAATTGGAAACTGGGGGCCACAACAGGCAGTACGTGATTCTGCTGCAGTCTGAAGTTTCAGAATCATCAGAGAAGTCAATGAAATTTTTAGAGATGTACTTTGTTGCTCCTGCCTCTCACTCAACAGTAGACTAAGGACCAATGGCTATTCCTCTCCTGTGTACCAACATAGCTCCTGGGCATGAACATGTCCCCCCCTTGTTCAGCTTCTTTAATGCTACAACTTACTGCTCCCCTACATCACAGAATTTGATCACCTTTGTTTTTTATTATTTCCTGTTGTTACAAACAAGTATTAGAACACTTGATTGTTCAAGAACAACAAATACATTTTCTTTCTTTATGCTTAGTTCCCAGAAATGAATGCAATGATAATGAGACGGTTCAGTTTGCCAGGAGATGTGGACAGAGCTCGACAGTACGTATTACAGGTAAGATTATTTTTACAAGGAAAAAGGCAGCATCAAATACAATGTGGCACAGCTCTGCACCGAACAAATCATGTAACACTAATGAAAAGTTACATTTCAGATACAAGACCAAGTTTAAGTTTTGATTTAATAGAAACTGGGAAGGAAACACTTGTTGTTCATTATTTTTATCTTTCTCCTATAATACTGCTCGAATATTTTAATTGGTCACAGGTTCAGCGTGCACATTAAGTTTTTACAAGTTACCTAAGTAATTCTACTGCGCAATCATGTTTGAACCCTTTTGGTTGAAAACCACTCTTCCCCACACCTGTCACACTGCTGTGCTCCAAGGTATCCAGACTAGCCTCCAACCTAGTCCAAACCCTCATCCTTCTACAGCTAGACTATAGTAGTCTACTCACAAATGGTCCCTGCTATATACTTGTTGGGGAGAGGTGACTAAAGAAATAGTCATTTAAAAAAATTTTAATTGGGCTGGGGCTGTGGCTCAGCGGTAGCGCATTTGCCTAGCATGTGTGAGGCACTGGGTTCGATTCTCAGCACCACATAAAATAAATAAAGGACTATCAACAACTAAAAAAAAAAAAATTTTTAATTTTAAAATTAAAAAATTTTAATCAACACAGGCAAATTTTAGACTTATGTTTTCTTTTAAAGTAAGAAACATTTAACTGTGTTCAGGGGCTAGAGGCTTGTTTCAAATATACTGCCATATATCTTCAGCATTATTCTGTAGAAACCAGATCTTTTTGCATATTTTCAATTTGGATGACTGTCTTTTGAGAATGAGCTTTGCAAATTCAATCATTTGGAGGCCACAGACCTAGTAAAAGAGGTAGAGTAAGCAAACAATTACTAAAAAAAAAAGTGGTCTGAAGTTCAAATTGCTACCTCTCAGATTTTTAAATGTCCAAAAGCAGAAAACCCTTCCAAAAAGGATATATTTCTCTTTAACTAATGCATAATAATGTTATATTCTACTATTTGCGAAGAGGGTGGTTTGGCAGTTATATAAAAACTCAGTATGAGGGAGCTATAGCTGATAAAGAAACCTGAGAGTGGTTCTGGCTTCAGAAATAATTATAGTCACCCCTCTATCTCCCTGGGACACTGGATATAAGACACCCTGCCCCAATCTCAGATATGCAAAAGCCCCTTAATTAAAAAAAAAAAAAGGCAGCTTTCACATATAACGTATACATTCTTTTATATACTTACTTAAGTCATCTCTAGATGATTTATAGTACCTACTTCTATAATGTAAATGATATGTGTATAGTTTTTATACCACAGAGACTGGGTCTCACTGACTTGCTTAGCACCTTACTTTTGCTGAGGCTGGCTTTGAACTCACAATCCTCCTGCCTCAACCTCCCAAGCTGCTGGGGTTACATGCGTGTACCACCATGCCCTACTTGCTGTGCCTTTTTATACAGAAGCCTGCCTGCTTTTTCTTGGTGAAACATTCCTAGCCAGAAATGCACTTAGACAAAACTTCACAGGAATGTTCTCTAAGCAAATTGCCCAAAGGCCTCAATTATAATTCCCTGTACGCTCAGAGAGCTTCTAGACCCACTCCTTCATTAAATATGAATAGACAACTCAGAATTACTGAGGAGCTGATTAAATTTTGCTAAGCCAGAAAGACCAAGATGAATAGAAATAAAGACTCAGGAAAAATATAAATAAGATGACCCAAAAAGTACCTCATTTATAAAACAAAAAAAGCAAAAGATATTTTAAAAATGAGTTAGAACAAGCTCTAAGAAATTTAAAATGATTTTGGAAAACTCCAAAAGAAGGGTTGCAGTATGATACTAAGGAAATCTTCCAAAAATCTAACAGTTACAGGAAAAGAAAATTAGTATGATTATCTAGCAAACATTTCAGGAAGAGAATCAAATAACAAAGAAGGGTACTACAAAAGGAACAGACATCAAAACTGGCTTAGTCAACAGAAAAAAATAGTGGATGATGTAAGCCAATGGAACAAGGCCTTTCAAGTGATGAAGAAACATTTCACACCTCCCTAGACTCAATTAATTCATCTGTTAAATCTTAAGGCAAACTAAAGTCATCACATGTAAGGACGCAAAAGTTGACTTCCCATTCACACTTTTCTGGGTAGGTCATTTGCATCTGGCAAGGCTTCTATACAGAAAGGCACAGCAAACTGAAATGTGTCGTATTTTGAGCAACTGGTAGAAAAAACCAGGCCTTTCAATCATGATGTTAGGAATACTTAAGTGGAAAAGGGATTATTAAGAAGACGGAAATAAAATTAGTCATGACTTAATTTCACAGTAAATATTTTTGCATCATAGAAATAGTATTTTAATTGTGTCCAGCTTTTAGAAAGCACCAACAGTAAAAAGAGTAAACCTCTGTCTAAAGTGCAGTAATATAGTTAGAGAAGACAGGAACACTGGTATCCTCAAAGGTGACCAACAGAAGTAAACAGCAATATAAAGGAGACACTGTATGTGTGGGCCAAATGCCTTTGTTAACAGAAAGGCAACAAAAATTGGTAATCAAGAAATGAGAATATTGACAGATTGATGTCTCACTCTGGAGGGTGCCTGAATTCTCACTTGAATATATATTCCTTGCTTCATCCCAAAGGCATCTCTCTCGACATTGCCCCCATTCTCATTTTTTTTAAAAATTATTTCTTTCTTACTGGGGATTTAACCACTGAGCCACATCCCCAGCCATTTTTTATATTTTCTTTAGAGACAGGGTCTCACTGAGTTGGCAAGGTTTGCTAAATTGCTAAGGCTGACTTTAAAGTTGCAATCCTCCTGCCTCAGCCTCCTAAAGCTGCTGGGATTACAGGCTTGTGCCACCTGCCCATCTCTCCTTAAACTTTTTTTCATTTAAAATTCTGTGTGTAGGTATCTTATATAGGTAAGACACTTAAAAAACCTCTAATAATTAAGTAAAAAATAGGAAGAAATAAATGGCTACTTAATATTAATGAGCCAGTCACTTTGCTAATAGACTAAAAATGTGCTCCAATCTGAGAAAAAATCTATTAAGAAGTAAGCAGAGCAACCTAGAATTATGAGTTGGAGAGAGAAAAAATGAGAAATGTAATTTGGCTATTAACTATGACTGATCCTTGGTTCATCTGACCTCAAAAGTATGTTTTAATTTATCATAGTAGAAACCTAAGACCTGATCCAGTCAATGACATCTGTTCTCCTTTTCTGTTTTGTTCCATATCTGTAGAGTGATGGTGTGCAACAAACAACCTACCTCGCCCAGCGGTACTGCCATGAAGCAGTAAGAGAGATCAGTAAACTTCGACCATCCCCAGAAAGAGATGCCCTCATTCAACTTTCAGAAATTGTGCTTACAAGAGATAAATGACAACTCTTTCTGTTCTACCTGGCAGCTATTTTACCAGACTGTGCCTAAAGAATTTTGTGGAATATACTTTGTTTGCTTCATATGCAAATAACCAAAAATCATTTTAAAAAATAATTCTGATCTTATTGATGGGTATTTTTTTTTATTGGCAGTTTTTCAGAAATCTTTTTAAATGTAATTAACTTAACTGCCTGAATCTGTCATAGAGTCCTTTAAATTCTAACTGAGGTATCTTGATGGTTATTTGTGGTATTGTTTACACTGTTATTATCCACATGTGAAGCCATTACACAAATAAATAATCAATGTTAAAATTCAAACGGTTTGTCTTGTTTCACCATAGGAGTAGAGGTCAGAAAATTGTGAAGTCAGCTCTGAAATCCACATTATTTATATTTTAACAGTATCCAAAATTTCATATAGGAGAATGGTTTATTATAAAAGACTGTACATAAAATTTAAACAACAGGTATTATACAAATTAAGAGAACATTCCACTTGAAAAAAGAAAAGTAGAAGGTAGCTAGTTGGTCACTGATGATACTTTGTTTGAAATTAACAAAGGCAAAATGCATATGAAAGAGTCACATTGAATTGGTAGTAATAATGGTCTTTAATTTTCAGAAATAAAATGTTTTGCACTAGTCTAACCATTCACTATGCTGTTAAGTCTGTAACGCCCAGTACATAACTGTAATTTGAAATTCAAATAAATCCTCAATACACAGAAACCCACACTGAGTGCTCTACTTTAATATTCTAAGCAATACAGAATTATACACAAGATAAGAAACCTTCCTTTAAATTAAGAGGAGACACACAAAGTGCATGTGTTGCATTTCAATACAAATCTGTTGGTTAAGTATATCTCTGTTCACTGATTAATACATGACCCATCTTCTTTCCCAATTATTTTAAAATCTTATGCTTCTAGTGCCAGGTAATGGATTAAATAGTGCCTATTCACAAATTAATCGCATACACTTTTACAATATGTAAAAGATACTTATAATTTCCTTTCATTGAACCAGTGTACTAGAATAGTCCACTGTAAAACTGAAGGACTAATGTAGCAATCTTTAAGACTTTTACCTATAGAAGGATGTGCACACTTTGACACATTTTCTTAGATTCAAAAGTTACTTTTAAAAAAGTAATTCAGTAGATTGACTTGTAAATAATCATCTCAGATTTTAAATCTGCAAACATCCGTCACATTACCATTGGGACAGACTGAGATAAGGCTAAAAATTTTTTTTCCAAGTTAATATGTTGAGAAAATAGAACCATAATTCTGCAATAAATTGGTTTTGTATTTTTTTTAAAGCAAACCAGTGAAGGAAAGGACAAAAACCTTTGGTTCACTTATGTATTTATGAATGGAAAAAATTTATAATGCAAATTCACTCATTAAAAAACTTAGGTACAAATTACAACATTACAGATAACCCCTTTTGTTTTGTTTCACATATAGACCTTAGAGACCCACCTAGAATAAGTGTACTAGGTAAGTATTACACAAATTGGAAGCATCTTGGAATTTTTAAGTACATTTCAATACATAAATTTTACGCATGCTTTAAACTTTTTTAAAAATGAGAATCTAAACAAAAAGTATGACCAGCACCAGCATTTAAGTTTTCTGATTTTAATATTAGTTTGACATATTATTATTAGTAACCATGCTGCACTGAAACATGAAATGGTACAATCTGAATCATGATTTGTTAAATATACCCCGATTCCCCAGAATATTTACGCTGGTCATAAAATTAACAATATGTAAGTAAGTACATAAGCATAATCAATTATAGACAGCCTCTTGTATAAACTGCTGTTTAGCAATACAAAAACTGCCTCAAAGATTTATGCTTACAGGTAGACATTCAAATATACCAATAAAACAGCATGTCCTGAAAATATGGGCACATTTTAAAACATATTAAGACAATTCTGTTAACCATAAGACTCCCACAGTATGACTGAATAATAAGAACCTACTTTAAAAGGAAAAAAAAAGGAAAAAAGAAATAATTAATCAGCATAGTGCATGATTGATTCAACATAGTTCCCAGGGAAGAGACCAGTCACTCGATTGCAGACTCCTTCATACCAGCCATCATCATTCTTCTTTATAACATAAATGATTGCACCCTCCATAAATGACAGCTCATCATCCTTGTCTTTTGTATAATCATATATTGCAACAACTATGGAGAAAACAGATGCAATACCACATAAGTATACTTCACCCAACATTTAGCTTGAATTTTGTTTGCTACATTATAGACTTAATTGGCATCAAACTATTTTTATGAAGATTTTAAGTTGTGATATGTTATCAGTACAGATAGATCAATGGTTAGTTACCCAAGTGCCTATATCAATGACTTCATCTTGAAGCCAAACTGACAATCTGATTAGATTAAAGAAGATAACAGGTTCTACCATCTCTTACTCAGGAGGCTGAGCAGAAGGATCAAAAAAGTTCGAGGTCAGCCTCAGCAACTTGGTAAGACTGTCTCAAAAACTAAAAAAAAGCTGGGTCCATGGTGCACGCCTGTAATCATAGCCACTCAGGAGGCTGAGGCAGGAAGATCACAAGTTCAAAGCCAGGCTCAGCAAAAACAAAGCGCTAAGCAACTCAATGAGACCCTGTCTCTAAAAACTAAATTAAAAAAAAAATAAATAAAAAAAATAGGGCTTGGAATGTGGTTCGGTGGTCGAGTGCCCCAGAGTTCAATCCCTGGTATGTATGTATGTATGTATGTATGTATGAATGAATGAATAAATATAAATATATAAATAAAATAGAAATGAATGAATGAATGGAATGGAATGGAATGGAAATCAAGTGGTAAAGCACCTCTGCGTTCAGGCCCAGTGCTAGAGCAAAAAAAAAAAAAAGGAAGAAAATCTCTGAATTTTAGGATTCAGTATTTTAATTCATCCACTCAAAGTATCTATCAAGTGCCTACACCACATGCAAAGAACCATTTTCAAAATAATTCCTGGATAAAGCTGCAAAGCCACTCAGTAAACGAGGTAACAAACCAAGTTTTCTAAATTTAAAAATACTACATTATTATTGTCATTTATTGTTATTGAGAGGTTAAATCTCATCCTAGGATCCACAGTAAGTTACGGGACTATACCTATACTTTTTCATTAATTGGCGCATTCTAATAATGCATTATACCTACACTTACCTTAAAGGTAAGAAGGACTATTTTTTTTTCTTTTTTTCTTGGTACCAGGGATTGAACCCAGGTGTGCTTAACCAGTGAGTCACATCCCCAGCCCTTTTAAAAAATATTTTATTTTGAGACAGGGTCTCACTAAGTTGCTGAGGCTGGCTTTGAACTTGTGATTACTGGCCTCAGCCTCCAGAGCCACTGGGATTACAGGCATGCACCAGAAGGACTATTAAAGTGGCAAATGTAGTTTTTTAAAAAATAAATAAATAAAGTAAAACTTTTTTTAAAAAAATCTAACAATTTTGTGGTATCCGGAATTCAGTTTAAAATATTCTCGTTCACTCCCAACTATTCAAGTTTAAAAAAAATTTATTTTTGCAAACAGTGTTATACAAATGAATAGCAAACAAAAATATTACTTTTCCATACTACTGGTTTATGAATTTAAATATTACCTTCAGTCCACCTTTATTACATAATTCTAAAATTATACATAATCTTCAAACATGAATAATATCTAATATGTATTTTTTTCATTGACTTACCTCATTTTTATTTGCTGTCATTTTTTTTCTTAAAGTAAGCATTTTAATACAGATACTTAATATACTCTGGAATTCATTTTCCCCTAAGAAAGACTGCATCTCCCTATAATTATTCTGAATTACTGACTTTTATAGAAGAGATCTGAAGTACTGTTCCATAGCCATCATTTGCTGTGTTAAAACAGGCACTTTTAACTTTGCAAAACACTGTATTAAGTAGACTCAATAAGTTCATTTCCCTCCTTTTAATTCTGTAACAGAATCACAGCATTGTGATTTTGAGTTTAATGGCATACAAGTTTCAAAAATATACAAAATAAATAGTATTATTTATCTTAGAATTATTTTTGGCTACATAACAACCTAACAGGACCAAGTAATTGCTAGAGATAAACCATAAGAAAACAGAATAAAAATCAATTTAATAATTAATACAATTATTTATTGTTTGAAATTAATAATATTCCTTTCTTTAGATCTAGATCCAAAGTGGCTTAGATTCTCAGTAGTATAGATGATGTTTACCCTGATAATGACAAAGGCCTGAACAAAAATTTTACTGTGTTCTTAGTTCCACTGAGGCAAAAAGATGATAAACCAAATTAATTTATATTTCTGTTTCCTAGGTTGCCCTTTTTTAAATAAAACCTAGCGCCACCCAGCCCTCCTCCCCAGTGCATACTCCCTCATATAATTTTTTTCTGCTAAAATATTTAACCATTAACAATTTGGTTAGCCAGGTACAGTGGCCCAGGAGGCTGAGGCAGAAGGATTTTAAGTTCAAAGCCAGCCTCAGCAACCTAGCAAAGCCCTAAGCAACTCTGTAGGACCCTGTCTCTAAATAAAATATATTTTTTTAAAAAAAAAAGGGCTGGAGATGTGGCTCAGTGGTTAAATGCCCCTACAATCCCTGGTGCCAAAAAAAAAAACCAAAAAACCAATTTGATGTCCATTCTGCTCTAGAATCTAATCCATATTAAAGGCCAAATTCTTCCCTCCATATGTACTATAGGGTTCTTTGGAACTCAAAGGTCTATTAGTCTAACATACACAATATATACATGTACACTGGTACATTTTAGGATGAAGTTAATAAGAATAGGGTTTTTGGGAAAGTTATGAAATTAACTGTTTTTGAAAATTTCAGGTTTCCTTCATTTTTGTAATTAACAAAGGTAACATGATGGGTTTAAGTATAACCCTACTAAATCTCAATTTCTGATTTAGACCAGGGGTCCACAAATATTTGCCCATGGACAAATTCAAGCTACTGCCCCTGCCCCTTCCGTAAATAAAGTTTTATCACAACAAAGCCAGATCGACTCACATATTGTCTATGCCTGCTTTTGTGCTGCCACAAGGTTGACTTTTAAGTATAGCATATTAAAATATTTACTATTTGGCCTTGCTTTAAGAACAAAAAAAGTAACCCCTGGCTTAAGACTCATTATTTCAATGTGTGAAGAAATTCTTTAATCCTGCTCTACTATCAAATATATTAATCAATATATTATCCCAAATTTGTCAATTTATGTAAATATAACAGTCCCATGTACATAAAGTTAAATTTACTTACCAAAGTAAGAAAATGACTAAAAACACCATCCAAACCTAAAGTTTAAAAACCTATCTCTATTTGAAGGTATGGACCTCCAAATATGAAGAACATTCAAGACTTCCTTAATAACATATAAACTATTTATTGTTTAAATATATAAGAAAGGAAAACAGATTTTGCTTTTGCCATAGGTTTTAAACACTAGAAAGCAAGAATGTCACTGGTCTCAGAGCTACCTAAAGTTATTTGCTTTAAATCAGTTAATAAAGTAAATGGAAGGCAATATATTTCAAAGGCAACCAAAATTGATCAACTAAATTATAAGCATTTTTAAAACTCTGAAAAAACAAACTCTAGAAACCTGACTTTTTTCTTTCCCATCCACATTTCTTTAATAGATAATTACAATGAGGCAGGCACAGCAGGTTAATCTGGACTTTAGAAGTTCATGAAAACAATCCTAGTGATTTATCTTCTACACGAAATCACCTAAAAGAATCTTTTTTTTTTTTTAAAAAGAGAGAGAGAGAGAGAGAGAGAAAGATAATTTTAATATTTATTTTTTAGTTTTCGGTGGACACAACATCTTTGTTTGTATGTGGTGCTGAGGATCGAACCCGGGCCGCACGCATGCCAGGCGAGCGCGCTACCGCTTGAGCCACATCCCCAGCCCCTAAAAGAATCTTAAGTTAGGCTTTTCCTCATGATAGTGCCAATAAATTTTTAAATATTCAGATGTGAAATACTTCTATTTTAATTAAGAGCTTGCAAAGCTTTTAAAATCTTTACCAATTATATATGATTTTAGTTAGTCAATTAGCTCATTTTTGTGCCTTATTTGTTTTATCTATAGGCTAGTTCATTTGCAGATGAAAGCATGTTTTTGTAACTTTTTATTTATTTTTTTTAATGTGGTGCTAAGGATCGAACCCAGTGCCTCACTCGTGCTAGGCAAGTGCTCTATCACTGAGCCACAACCCCAGGCCCTTGAAAGCATATTTTAATTTAAAATATGAAGAATGAACCCTTGTTTTATTTTAGGAAATAACACAAAGTAAAGGCAGTAAGGTTTAAGTAAACCATCTTGGTTAGTAATGCGGTTCAAACTGAGAAACACTGGGCAAGGTGGTACCAAAAAAAAAAAATTAAAAAAGTTCTAAAATTCTGTAATTAGGTTATTGTCCTGTGCAACAATTCCATATTGATGGTACCATACCTTTCTCAATATAATTCTTGGGGGCCCAGGCAGGATCCCCATCTGCATATGGATCATTATACTGAACTACTGCAGCTTCTTCATCTTCATAGTCCACTGGAGGCGGTGGGGGCGGGGGTGGAGAGTCATCAAACATGGGAATGTCATCTGGTGGAGGTGGTGGCGGTGGAGTTGGGCTATCAGCAACTAAAAAGATTCAGATAATTAACTTGAAGAAAGTAGTCTAAATGAAATTTATAAATTAACAATTTAAGAAAGCTTATTCATTCGTATATAGCATGCACTATAGTAACATGCAATGATTAGAAATAAAAGCTTGGTATGTTAAGTTTATGCTACTCTTAAGAATAATTTTGCAATATTAAAATGAGCTATAAGGGTATCAAGAAGTACTGCAAATTAATGAATGCAAGAGGTTGTTAGATCACAATGTCGCTTTTTATAAAGATTATAGGAGTAAAGAAGTTTCCTTATTCCAAGGCTTAGATCAACACCAATGTTGCTCTAAAATTAAGTTTATTCACCTCTATCATTTAGACTATAGTAAAATGCTGATAACATTAAAACAGTGGCTTAATAATAATTTTTTATTGTGCTCATTCGTGCCCCTGATTTGGGTTTTCAATAACATCAGTGCCCTAGAAGTTAAATCTCAACTAGTCATATTTTTATTTATTTGCATATTTTACTTGTTTCAAGGGGGAGAAACGCAAAAGTTAGTAGTTTCAGATCTGCTCTGTTTCTAGGTTTTCCGCCATTTAAATTTTAATATAAAAAAACTAAATTAAAAATAATTCAACAAGTAGATAATGACATTCTTTTTAAAAATGTTTACATTCATTATCAATTTCTAATGTAGAAAGGAAATTGACATTTTCCATTACTGCTAATAAAACATAAGCATGAGATGAGGGAAAGATCAGATCCTAAAGATCCAATTTTCTAATACAACCACAATTAAGACTTAAACATAAAGTGTTGAGGGAAGATGTAATAAAAAAAAAAAGGAACTAATATCAAACAAAACAATAAAAATGACTCATACCTCAAATTTTATATGGCCTTGGTGGGTGTGTGTGGGTGTGTGTGTGTGTGCGTGCGCGCACTTTAAATGATCAAAAATGTTAACAGTGAAGTGAAAAGTGTCAGATTAGAACTGTATTCACTGGACCAATATGATACCAAGTAACAAATGCTTCCAATATTAAGGAATTCAAACCTGGAACACAACTAATGCTTAAATTTCTGACCCACAAATTTCCATAAAAGTCCAAAAGACAAATTAAAATGTTTTTATGAAAACTAATACAGGTTTTAAAGTTTACCTGATTTGTAATAAATGTGATGAAAGTATAACCAAAAGGTCCATATTTGAAACATTTGCGGATAATAGTTCTACTTGCATTATCACTTCAACTGTGATTTCTATTTTATCCTCTTAGAGGAAGAAAAGGGTTTTAAAAAAATAACTCCTGGGTGGTGATACTTACTCTAATAGCTATCAAAAGGGTCTACAATTCATTTTTCCACCACATGAATAGATCCATTTTCTTTGCCCATTCCTCCTCCATAAAGCTTTCTAATATTGAGAAGAGGAAAATAGGTATGAACCCATTCTGACATTAAATAGCCATAGTTCATATCCTTAATTTGGCTTAATGTGCAAATTACATATGCTTGCCTAACTCTCTAAATAGCCACCTCTCTTAATTTATACGCAACTTACTAACATAATGCTTTTACTCAAAAGTCGAACTGCTCTAAATCTATATTGACTTATCTTCAAATTATGGCAGAAATCTGGTCGATTTAATTTTCTGCATTATGCTAAATTTGCACCATTCTTTATACTAAATATGCAAAAAGGCTTTCTGATGTTAATCATAAAGAGATATAAACATAATGCTGACTTAGGAGCTCATTCATGTCTTAAACCAACACTTATAGCTATATACATTCATTATCATCCACTTTTGAGTCCCAAAGAAACCAGGTATTTAAGAAAACAGGAAATCTATATTTCGTGAAACATCAAGTACTGATACACGTTTATTTTTACATTTTTAAACTTGCTTTTATAGAAAAAAGTACCAAATGAAATTTGGGAATCTATAACACAAGAATAACTCACTGAGTCAAGTTCACGTCTGGTAAAAAAGTAGTACTAATGGCCTCTTAAGCAGATCATGCATGCTTAATATAACGTACATTAATGCTAAATTTCTATTTTTAAAAATTACTAAAGAGTGAGTCGATGACCTCTGGACCCAAAAAACTGATATTCACTATGGCTATTTACCACCTATTAATTCTTAGAAATATGGCAGCTCAAAAAGATGAACTAGTTTAGTTTGTAAATTCCTAGCATTAAAGACCAGCAGTTTACTATTCACTTACTTTCAAAAGTTGTCAAACTTTTAAGCGTTTTCAACAGAATAATAAAGACGGTTTACACACACTCAGAAATATTAACATTTTAGGCTATAATGTTTTATAATAAACCCAGTAGATTATATATTTCTTTAAGGAAGGGATTTTGTCTTAAACTATTTGTATTCTTCCCATAACCTAGCATGGAACACTGAATAAACAAATATTTCACTGGTGGAAAGGAGGGAATATGGAAGGAAAATAAAACAGAGTGAGCAAATGTTGAAATGGAATTTGCCACAATATATTCTCCTGAAAGATGGGCTGGTCATTTGTTTAAACCATTTTGAAACATATTTTCATAGTGACAGTCCCAAAAGAAGTAAATTAGAAGTAGATCACTTTTCCATCTTATTTTCAACAGCTTTTTGGCATAATGTAATTCAATAGTAGTAGTTATTTTTTATTTTGCCATACAACATTCACTGTGATCATGTAGTTAGGATTATATATCTTCTACAAATTCAAAAATAATCAGGCAGTAATATAAACTAGTGTGTCCTGATTGGAGCCATATATTAAAAACAACAAAAATCATTAAACCTGATCTTCATTCAGTGATGACCTAAAAAATTGGAAGATTTACATATTCAGGAATAATCCTCATGAGCCCGCATGTAGTCCAAATGAAAAGCAGGCTCTTTAATCCTTATCACTCACCTTTAAATGAATAACAGGAATATAATTTACTTTTTCCTGAAGATTCATTTTTAATATATATATATATATATTTAAAATCATTCTACGTACAAAGATATTAGGCCAAATTTTCTGTAAAATATTTTTGTAATTAGACCAGGTGTGGTGGCACACCTGTATCCCAGAAGCCTGAGAGGGTGAGGTAGGAGGACCACAAGTTCAAAGCCAGCCTCAGCAACTTAGTAAAGTGGCCCTAAGCAAATTAGTGAGACCCTACCTCAAAATAATTTAAAAGGGCTGGGGATGTGGCTCAATTGATAAATGCCCTTTGGTTCAATCCCTGGCACCCCCCCCAAAAAAAAAAAGTAATTAAAAAGGAAAATAATTTGTCCCAATTTCATAATAGATGTAATCTCACAGTATATCGTGATAAATCTGTTAGAATACAAAATGTTTTCTAATTTCAGTAACTATTAGAAGTTTCTGTACAATTTGCATTTTTGTGTAATTACTCTTTCCTTAAGAATAGGCAAAGATTAGATCTCGTGTTTTAGATCATATAAAAACTTAAGTAAATTGCAGTTTTGAAACTTATATGGGTCAGTAATCATGCACAAGAGAAGAAACTGAAGACCGTGCTCTTCAGTTTCGATCATATCTGCACCTATTTTCAAGATAAGATTAGCTTCTCAATAAAAGGAAAATGATGACTCATCAGCCATGCATGCTATAAAAGAGACAGCCTCTATTCTTTGATAGCTCAGTTTTTTCCAAACTTACTGTTTTCCTGCACCCTGGCCACGAAGCCTGTGAGAGGTATCTGTGGAGTCAATTGAGGCATAGGGGGAGGAGGTGGAGCAATAGAAACTGGTAGCAACAACACAATATGGGGGAAGTAAAACAGATAAAGGAAAGAAAAGGAAACAAACAAAAAGCAGAAGTCAGTTACAAGGACCACAAACATAAGTATGCAAAGAACAGTTTGCAAATGAAACAAAACAAAACAAAAGCAAAACAAAAACCTGCAGAACCTTCTTCAAGTTCATGTCCCAAAAATAAACCTAAAGAAGCCATGTTGTGCTTAGCCAATTGGTTAAATGTACAAAAGAACAAACATACCTAATTCAATTCTAATGTTATAGAGTTTGGGGAAATTTTTAATTTACCATTATATTCACTTTAATGCAAAGAAGTTTTCAAAGTCTAAGGAAAGACTTCTAAAATAGATAATGATTACCTACAAAAGTTTCCAGAATATTGCTTTTCCTATAACTCTATAAACAGGTCTATCTAACATTAAGATAAGGTTGTAAATTAGAAGTCAAATAAATAAAATAAATGTATTCTGTAATAGCTGTTGACTGCATATATAAATATATTAATTTAGATTTTCTTTAAAGATAGTTTTTACTATACATCTAAATAGACACACAGGTCTCCAGGAAAAACGCTTGTTTGAAAAACAAGGTTATTTTTTTTTTTTTAGTTGGCGATTTTATTTTTAAAGATATCACTACTAAATTTACTAAGGAATTAGTCTTCCATATACCATGTTGATTCAGAGTTTCAGGAAACAAGGTATTTCAAAAGGGTAACCTTTTTATCAATGTTCTGAAGAAGGAAACCTCATCTCCAGTAAGTTAAAATGTACAACTATTTACATTAAATGAATTTTTCACAAATCATTGGCTAGCTTGAAACATACTCAAAGTTCTTTCAAAGAAAGGACATAATTTATGGGAAATTGATACCAACTGCTCATGTGGACAGCAAATGTATGAAAAACTGTAATAACATAAGTTAGGAAAAAACATTCAAATTTTTACTATTTTGTCTCATTTTAATAAGAAAGTAACTTCCAAAGATGACTCAGAAAAATTCAATAAGACTAGATGGCAAAATTCAATTTATTGGTGGTTACCAATAAATGACAATAAATTGACAAGAAGAACAATTTATTGGTTTCTCAAGATCATTTCATTAAAAGGTTGTTTCAATTAATCTAATATATAAATTTTGTTGGTAAGCATAAAAATTTGAAAGAGGTTCAGGGTTCAAAGAAGCAACAACTTAACAAAGCAATATATTTACAGTAATATTCATTGTATAGCCCAAAATAACATTCAATTCACTAAGAAAGTGGTCCTCTTTCATTCTGATACTCTGTATATAAAAGGCTGTTAAATAAATAAAAGGTTAGAGGTTTAAAATTTAAAAACAAATAAAAAAGCTTCCACAAGCCTGAATGATTTTTAGAAACAACCCTTAGTGTCTAGCCATGCTGGTTAGTATGTAAAGGAAAAAGAAAAGCTATGCTATGAAGATACTTATCATTAGCACCACATTTAGACAAAAAGAAAAATATGCACATCAAAACACTAAAAACATTTACATACTACTAAAACACCAACAGTAACTCATATTGAAGGATAATCAGACAAAACATGATATATTTAAAATTTCAGGTCAAATTTGCTTGCTAATATTCAAAAGAAGACGATCACTAATTAAAGTGTCTTATTCGAAAATAACTAAACAAACATGTTATAAGGTAAAATACCTATTTGCAGAGTAACTTAAATGTCTAGGTGGAAAAAAGGAAAATGAAAAAAGATAGGACCTAAAAAGGCAGAACATGAAAATTAAAGTTCATGAAAGAAGTGAAGTGAATTATGAATTTGTGAAATATTCAGACACTAAATATATTTTAATAACAAAAGGAAACGAGGGAAAATGTGAGGTAAAATTCTGATTGGTAGGTTCAATATTTTGGAGCAGCTTGAATGAAAACTTTAGTCTGGAAAAAAACTATGTAAGTTTGAAATTATCTTAGAATTTCAACATCTCTGCCAAAGTTCTTTACTATTTCTAGGAGTTTATGCTACAAAATAATTAATCTTCATCTCTAAAATTTAAACAAAAAAATGAGTAAGAAAATTTTCCCTAACTCCAGTTTAAAATACATATTTAGGACGTGCATTATAAATAAAAAGTACTTAAACCATGCTTCTATGTAAATATGGAGCATTCAACATTTTTTAAGTAAAATAATATAGTATGCTGGTCTAGAAGGTAGCTACAAAATCTACAGTCTATGCTTGGTAACCACAACTTTGAGCCAATAACAAATACTGGGCAACCAGCTCATCTGAGATTTTGCTTTGCATTTTTACTATTTTTCCTTTTTGAACTAAGCATCTAAATATGGAAAGTGAATTGAATGACTACCCTACACTATTCAAACTTTCTATCATCATATCCTAGAACCATTTCCTAATCTTATCAGCTTTAAATATTGTCTGTGATTAGTATTAAGATGTGCAATTCAAAGGCAAACAAAAGGCAATCAAAAGAAAACCCTTCCTTCCCACAGTTAGAATTATTCAAAGATGGAGTAGTTAAGAAGGAATCACAAATGTTTTTAACTCATTTCAGTATAAGTTAATGGCCTTAAAAGTGATAGCCAGCAATTTAATTTTATTCTTTTAAAAAACATTTTTTCACAATGTTTGTGTCTTTAATTTTACTATTCTGAACTACTGCAAGCATGCCAATAAAAATTAATTCATTTATTTCAATGATATTTTTGTTCTCCAGTTCTATTTACACTATAGTAATAAAAACAGAATACTGAAGTACTCAATTTTAGTACAGACTCGATACTTAAGTCTGAATTTTGGAGGAGAAAGTGATAAGTAATTACTCTTAAAATGGTATGATTCAAGGACTAACTAAAGCAAAAGTAAACATGAAATAACATGGTTTCTCAATTGTTGTCTATCACTGGCAAAGCATAAGTTGCAAATAATTTCCTTCAAAAGGAGCTCCACTGTTGCTGTATGCCTGCAAAGCACAAGCTTACTTGAATTTTGAGAATAAAGTGGACCTCCATTAACATGAGGCTGAGCAGAAAATTGAGCAGTCACAGAGGGAGTCCGTCTGTATCCACCAGAAGATGTCGAAGAAGTAGTAGAGTTGTGTCGAGAAATCTGCCTGGTCATTGTGCCATACTGGGAACCAGGAGCTGAGCCCGGGGCTGCTGAAAAGCATTAGTCAAAGGCAACCAACAAAGAAACTTGAGCATTATGATCACCTCAGATGTCAGAACAAAGAGGGGGAATTCTCAATAAGAAATAGTTATTTCTTTGTAAAGCCCAAAGCACAAAGTAAAGGGAAAAGTAAAGATAAAAATCAAATAACTACCTCTGAAGTTAAGAACAAGTAAAAACAGTTCCTGTGTAGAAAGCTACAAAAGTAAAAAATGCAACATTCTAAACCTTTCAAATAAGGTGCATTTTAGAATACAGTTGGCTTTCTGTATGTATGAGTTCCATATCTCTGGATCCAATCAACCTCAGATGGAAGATATTCAGGAAAAACCTGCATGTACAAACATTTTTTCTTGTCATTATTCCCTAGACAATACAGTACAAATATTCATAGCACTAACATTGCATTAGATCTAATAAGTAATCTAGAGATGATTTAAAGTATACTAAGAATGTGTGAAAGTTATATGCAAATACAATGTGATCTTATATAAGGAACTTGGGCATTGAGGATTCTGGTATCTTTGGGAGATCCTGGAATCCATGGAAATAAAGGCCAACTTGATATAACTTTTATATACAAACTGTCTCTCCATAAAATTAATAGCAAAAGATACTATGAGGTAGAAAGCATCAATCTTTAGATGTCAGTATATTCATATCTGATTTACAAACTTCTTCCTTTTCATTGCCAAAATTTTCAAAATTTTGGCAAACAATATATAAGAATCTATCTGGCCAGGTCTAAGTTAAATGATAAAATTTAAACTGCTAAGCATAACTTCTATATTTACTACTATTTTCATTTGAATTATTATTGTGCTAGCAGATAATATTACCAATACATACTCTCATTTTTGTAAAAAGTACAATTTTTAGTTTTAAAACACATATAAAATCAGATTTGTATGCCAGGCACAGTAGTATACACCTGTAATCCCAGCAGCTCCAGAGGCTGAGACAGAAGGATTACAAGTTCAAGGTCAGCCTCAGCAAGTTATTGAAACCCTAAGGAACTTAGCGAGACCCTGTCTCTAAATAAAAAAATTAAAGAATTTAATTTTTTATGTGGCTCAGCAGTAGAGTGCTCGCCTAGCAAATATGAGGCCCTGGGATTGATCCTCAGCACCACATAAAAAATAAAATAAAATAAAGGTATGTGTCCAATTACAACTAATAAATAAATATTTTTTAAAAAATTAAAGAAAGGGCTAAGGATGTGGATCTGTGGCAAAGCACCCTTGGGATTCAATCCGCAGTAAGTATTCAGGGGAGGAAAAAACAAATCAGATTTTTTTATGGAAGATTAACATACTTATCACAGTCTTTCCATACTTAGGAGGCTTTTCCCTCCGCGATATGCCCAAAGCAACCTGCAATTTTAACTACACTTTTCAAAGTCAACTTCAGGAAAAATATTATCCTCCTTGCCCTACCCAAATGCTCAATTAACCATGACAGAGTAATTAAAAAGTATCTTAGTTTATCTTCATTCAGTACTCTAATTTAATCTCTTTTATAGATCCTACAAAGTATTAGAAGCACACAGCAGAGGTTGTTTATTTCATAAGAGCTGATATTTTTGCAACTCCCAAGCCATAGGTGGTCACTAATTATCTGAATCATCCACATATGCATTTTCTAAATAGAAACACATTTTTAAAATAATAATCTATTTAGGAAGCCTTTGTGAATGAGTAATATTGAACAGACAGGTGGTTCCAGTGAGTTAAGAAGTAAACTTTTAGTAATTTCTACATAAATCTCTATAAAATGATTTCTATGTTTGACTTGTATAAAAAAATATAAAATATCTAATCTATTTTTCTTAGTGAATCAAAACTGAAAAACAATTATTTAGCAGTTTCAACTGTCTATTTTAGAATTTAATATTTTACTGTGAAATAATCATTATGTCAAAGGGTATGACTGATATATGTGTGAGTGTATGTCACATATTAATTGTATATAAAGAGTACATACGTGTATAGATGAATTTTTTTAAAATAAGATAAACACCTAGCTAAAGAAATAGAATATTAACAAAATCACTAAAGCTTTCTGTGTGCCCCTCTCCTGGATTCCCAACCCCCACAAGGCATGTGTTAAACATTCCTTTTCTTTTCTATGTAGTTTTATATATTTATATATAATCTTAAGCAATAAACATAAGAGTTTTTACAAATTTATAAATTTTTTTGCAATGGAATGAATCTATACATATTACTGAAGTACTCTTTCCTCTGAATACTATTTTTCATCCATGTAGGTAAGCGTACCAATGTGTATGTCATTCATTTCTGTTACTCTATTTGTATGTGAATACATTATTTATTGATTCTGTTATTAAACATTTGTTGCCATAATAAAATAAAGGTATGTGTCGATACAATTTGTGCCATTACTATTACCACTTCAATAAAAATTCCTAAATATGATTCCTGAATTTCCCTAGGACAATTGTTCTCAAACTTCAACAATAATCAGAATTTCATTTTAAGAGCTTGTTATACAGATTGCTAGATCCCACCTTCAGAGTTTTTGACTAAGTATGGAATGGAATGAGATCTAAGAACTTACATTTCTAACTAGTTTCTGGATATAGATAATTGGGGTATATAACTCTGCTCTAAGATAGTGGTTTTCAATTTCTGGTCTTAGGGTTGCCCTAAAAAACTAGAGAACCTCAAAAAGCTTTTGTTGATATGGGTTACAAGTATAGATAATTACCATATTAGAAATTTTTCTGATAAATCTTTGAAACACATGAACAGCCTAAGCAATTTAGCAAGACCATACTTCGAAATCAAATGTAAAAAGGGCTGGGGAGGGGGCTCAGTGGTAAAGCACTCCTGGGTTCAATCTCTAGTACTCAAAAAGAAAAAAAAAAAAAGGACAAGAAAATGAATCTAAAATATTGTTAAATGTGTTATTCCATAATCACGAATTTAATAAATAATTCTATCTAATATGACTAACTTATTTTGTTTTATTCTATCATATAGCAATGACTTTATTATACTTCATGTAGCCCCTGGAAAAATCCACTGTATACTTCCAAGAGAATGTTAATGAAAAAAACAATGAATATGGTAATAACCTCAAAAACTCTTAAGAAAGGATCATGGCAACTCCCAGGGGTCACTTATCCATATTTTGGGAAATAATGCTCCAGTGTAAATATCTAGAAATGAAATTGATAAATCTAGGGTAGCCACATGTTCAACCTGACCAGGTTTAACAAAAAATTATTTTATAAAGTAAATATATTTGCTAAATATAAACTAAAATACCCACCGGCAATGTACATTTCAATTATGGCACATCCTTACCAACATTAGTAAGTAAAAATGTACAAGTCATTTTTTACCTATCCAGTGGTTATAATATAGTGTCTCAATGTGGTTTTATTTTTCCTGATTAATAATTACATTGAAGATATTTTTACACAGAATTCCTGTCAACAATTTCTTTTATCAAGCTCTTTTTTTTTTATTCCCTACTTTCTTCCTTTTTCCTTTTATATATGTGCAAATGTTTTGAAAAGATGTTGCCACACAGCTATATTTTACCTAAACTGAAACTTAGGTCTCATTATTTGAAATACCTCATTATCCATTTCTACCCAGATTACTACTAATGTATATTTCTATGCTGAACAGTTTTTATACTGAGTATATATGTGCAACTACTTTTATGTTCAATCTAATCCCTCCCCAACCTGGAACAATTAAATGCATTTTATTGAGAAGACCATTTCATGGCATTCTTAGCTATCATATAAACTAGGTTATATCAGAGTTTTTCAAACTGTAATCCACAGAAAATCATCAGAGCATCCCACATCAAAATATTTTCCTTTCAATTTTCTTCCTCCTGTCACCACCTTCACCCCAATCCTTTGGTGTATATACCAAACCAATCTTCACTCTTGGGAAGCAGGAATTCTATTGTGGACTTTTAGAAATTTCTTTTTAACGATCATTGTTACAATTCTACAAAAATCTCTAAATGACAAATAAAAACCAAATTAAATTGGTTATAAACCACACGCAGAAATGTCTAATATTAGGAAAAGGTTACTATATATTTGTTTACTATGTAAGTTCAGAGCCTTTTTACCTGAAGAAATTAGTGTAAATTAGATTTCATACTTTAGCCTTTGTATTATCAACTATAATCTATTAACTATAAAAGCTATTGTCTATTAGCTACAAAGGAGTTTATTATGAATTTTACAAAGTAAGTTCAATGGCTCAGTGGTTATGCAATCTCACCTATCACAGTGCTCACTGGGAGAACTGGTGGCAGAAGTGGTGCTGGTGGAACTCCAGAAGGAGGAGGGACAGAAATGTTTTCTAATAAAATAGTTTATAATTCAGGTCAGAGTGCATGAAAAGAGAACTAAACATTCTACAGCAGAAAAACACAATGTATTGGAAAAGAAAAAAGAGACACTTATACATAAGTTTGTTCAAATAAGTCTTTTACTATGTAAAAAGGATACTGAATTTATAACTGTATTGACTGTAAAACATGCCTGTTACAAGTACCTTTGCTCCTTCAAAAGTATACTTGGGAAGCTAAGATTTTTTTCCCCAAAATATTTCTCATTATCATATTTACTTTTAAAAATGTACATTTTTAACACTATCAAAAGTCTCCATTTCATTTTCTAAAATTCAGGAGGCTGATTTAATGTTTCCCAAGGATATCTTAAATTTGTATATTTTCTAAAAAGGAAAAGAACTTTTCCTATTTTAACCACACTATATAGTCACTGCATTTCACAGAAATACATAGTGAAACTCATAATAAAAGTAAAGTCAGAGAACAAGCATCAGAGCTAAAATACACAAGGCCACATAAAAACTCTTGGAAACAAGTGACCTTTATATACTGATCCTTTCGCTGAAATATCATACAATATTGATTTGCTCTTGAAATAATATCATTCTTGACTACTGACAAAGACAAGTATTTATAAAGCAAAATGGTCAAAAAGTTATATAATGAAGCTATTTAATACATACTATATGTATGGAGAAATAGCTGGTAAAATCCTAATGACTTTGTGGAAATAAATCTAAAAGCCAGGTGTGGTGGCTCATGCCTGTAATCCCAGCAATGCAGGAAGCTGAGGTGGTAGGAGGACCACAAGTCAGAGGCCAGCCTCAGCAATTTAGCAAGACCCTACTTTAAAATCAAAAGTGAAAAGGGCTGGGGAGGGGGCTCAGTGGTAAAGAACCCCTGGGTTCAATTCCTACTACTCAAAAAGAAAAAAAAAAAAATAGGACAAGAAAATGAATCTAAAATATTGTTAAATTTGTTATTCCATAATCACGAATGTAATAAATAATTCTTTCTAATATGACTAATTTATTTTAACCTTTCATAATAAAATTCAGAAATATTACCACATATTAGAGTAATAAATGACATACCTGGTCCAATAGTGGGTGGTGAAGGTGTAGGCACAGCAATGGGAATGCCAATACTACTGCTTCCACTATTTTCTCGACTTCCACTTCCTCCACTACTTCCACTGCAAACAAGAGAAAAAAGCATGAAAGAAGCAATTCCACAGATTAAAAACAAGAACCCCCTCCCTCCCCCCCCACCCCCCCCCCCCCGCCAAAACCCAACAACAACAACAACAAAAGGTTAACCAGCAGTGGCTGTGCATGCCTGCAGTACCAGCTACTCAGAAGGCCAAAGCAGGAGTATCACCTTGAGAATAGGAATTCAAATCCAGCATGGGCAACATAGTGAGTGAGAGACATTAAAAAAAAAAAAAGTAATCATCAACCCACTAAAAGCCCCTTTTATGATTGTGTGTGTAAACTTTAAAACTGTTTATTACAAAACTTCACTCTTACACTTGAAGTGAGTGGCTCTTTTGTTTCACTCTAGTTCTCAACATCTGAAACCAATATAGTAACACACTACCTGGAACCTTTTCTGTAAAGAAAGGTATGGTCAATAAAAATCTCACAGAACAGGGAGTTGACAAGTGTATTTAAAACGTGCAGTTAGCAATGCAGAAAAGAACCACACTATCATGGAATTCATAGTGAAGCATAAAGAAACATATTTTTTAAACAGTGTAATATAGGGTTAGGAATGTGGCTTAGTGGTAGGGCATTTTCCTAACATGCATGAGGCCTTGGATTCAGATCCCTAGCACTGGGGAAGGAAAAAAATAATAATAATAATTATGGCCACTAACAAAGAGAATGTATAAGATACTAGCAAACAAATAAGAGTAATTAATCATGGTCTGAAATTTATATTAAAAACTCTATTCATCTCCTAAAGAATTAGTTGCTTCTATAGCAGGAAAAGTCTAAAAGAATATCTAAGATACAATTTTGTGTTCACTTTTTTTTTTTTTTTGGTACCAGGAATTGAAACCAGGAGATTGACCACTGAACCACTTCTCTAGCCCTTTTTCTTTTTTATTTTGAGACAGGGTCTCTCTGAGGCTGGCTTTGAACTCGCAATCTTCCTGCCTCGGCCTCCCAAGCCACTGGGATTACAGGTGTGCACCACTGCGCTGTGTTCACTTTTTAAACAACTATCTTCTTCTCTACTAGTCTAGACTCAAAAAGATGGTATTAGAGAAACAATTGGTAACTTGACCTTAATTTAGAAAAAAGAAAGAAAGAAAACTGATAAAACAGAAATTTTAATTAGAAAGTAAGCATAATATGAACAGAAAAAAAATAGTAAAGTTTAGCATAAATATTCTGGAATAACTGTTGTTGGTAAACTCTAATCAATCCCCTAGTATTCTACTTACTAAGGATATACTGTCCTTTTAGCTGTGAGACATACATGTGTGAAAACATGTTTATGTACACATGTAGCCTTTGGCTCTGGATTTTATTTGCTTATTTTTGAGACACAGTCCCACTAGATTGCCTAGAACAGCCCTGAACTCCTGGTGTTAAGCAAGCCTCCTACCTCACCTTCCCAAGTACCTTACCAAAATTTATTGTTACTTGTATTCTTGATAATTGCCATTCTGACTGAAGTGAGATGGAATCTTGGTGTAGTTTTAATTTGCATTTATCCAACTGCTAGGGATGTTGAACATTTTTTCATATATTTGTTGGCCATTTCTATTTCTTCTTCTGTGAAGTACCTCTTTGGTTCCTTTACCATTTACTGACTGAGTTTTGTTTGTTTGTTACGTTTTTGAGTTCTTTGTATATCCTAGATACTAATGCTCTATGTGAGCTGCCGGTAGCAAAGATTTTCTCCCATTCGGTAACTTCCTTGGGTTTTGTTATTTTTTAATTTGTTTTGTTTTGTTTTAAGTTATAAGTAAACACAATACCTTTATTTTATTCATTTGTTTTTATATAGTGCTGAGGATCGAACCCAGTGCCTCACTCAAGCTAGGCAAACACTCCACCACTGAGCCAAAACCCAGCCCCTTCCCTCATGCTTTTTTGAAAGACCATTTTAAAAAACATTCTTTAGCTTTAATTCAAATATGCAACTGTATCTTTGTCAAAAGGGAGAAATACTAACAATTTGTTAATAGTAAAAACATATACTGAAAAAAGAAAAACACCCTAGGTGAGTAACTCAGTGGTAGAGTACTTGCCTAGCATATGCAAAGCGTCAGGTTCAATCCCCAGTACCACAAAAAAATTAAAAATCTAAAATTCAGGAATTGTAACACCAATTTGTAGAAGCATATATATTATTATCACCCTTAACTTTCACATTCAACATTAACATTAGAGTAGTACTTCACCTTACCACCTTTTACACTATCAAAAACTCTCAAATGTTCAAATGCTGAACCTGAAGGTTTACCTGTGTGTCCTTGGTCTCTGATTTAAAGAAGCTGTCCTGCCTGGACTATGCTGACTTCCAAGTCTTGCAGGACTGGTCATATAATCATTAGGAACTGTTGGGGGTTTAACAGGTTCCAGGGTTTTATAAGGAGTATTTCGTCTAAAGAAGAAGAAAACAAAGAAAAGAAATAAATGAATAAGAGAGATAAAACAGTATTCCCTCTAACAAATCTGTGACTGTCCCTTTGTGAATAAGTATAACAGATTTTTTTTTAAAAAATTAATAAAGCTTATAAAAAATAATTCTTAGCTGGGGCATTATGAATTTTTGTTACTATTACAAAAAACTAAAATTTGCTACTTTAACGTAGGAAAACTAAAGGAAAGGGTGATTTAAAGTTTTAATGTACTTTTTTCCCACTTCAGTCACGCACAAGTCCTGTCCTTTACATAGGAAGCTAAAATATCTCCTTTGTAATGTTTCCAAACCTCAACATGAGAAGTATATGGAGAAGTACATTTTGATTCTAACTGCAGTTACTGATATCTAAATAAATGATCTTTACTTTTGTAATAACTTCATTTTTTTTAAGGGACAAAGAGTTTAAAATGAAAATAGAAATTAAGCTCCAAGTAAAGAATGAAAATAGAAATTAAGCTCCAATTCTTGGTCAACTTCTCTACCAAAAACGAAAAATCTAATATAATATCACCTGTATTAAGATCAATAATTTTTCAGAAATGTCTTAGAAAGCCAGATGTGGTGGCACACACCTATAATCCCAGCAACTGAGGAGGCAGGTGCATCATAAGTTTGAGGCCAGCCTTAGCAACTTAGTGAGGCACTAAGCAACTTAGCAAGACTATTTTAAAAAGGTGCATAGCCATTCCACTGTCATTTATTTTTAAAAAATCAATTAAAATTTTTAAAGAAAAAAAAAAGTGCACAGGGCGGTGGGTGGCTTAGTCATTTAAAAAATAAAACTGTCTTGATAAGTATTCTGTATATTTAGTGACTTGAGAACTGGGAAGAAAGAAACCATCCTTACCTTTTCTATTTCTCCAATGGGACTTCCCATAAAGCTACTCTAGTATAAAGGGGCTTAAGATTACCAGCCAATGCACACGTAGAAGTACTCCAAGTAAAAAGTACCTAAGTCTCAGGTGCCATGTAATAAGGGAAGGAGCTACAGACTACTAAGTAAAACTACATAACGTAGACCACTTATTAGTTCTGTTAAATAAATACTATACATATAAGCAAAGACAACCATTTATATGCAAAATTCACTATCTGAAATAAACTAAAGTTAGATTTATATTTAATTTAAAAAAATAAAAAACAAAAAATAAATTTATACATTCACAAAAGAAGTTTTCTAGTACAGACTTCTACAAGGAATATTATTAAGCAGGGAGATTCATTTTGGATTCTATTCAGGGAAATAAAAATCAAAATCAATTTATAAAAGATAGTGTCACATAAAGTGTGTCCCAAGACAAAGATCCATACATTTAAGAAACATCTTCTAACACAGAAATTCTTTTGTAAAATGCAGTTGAATTCTTACCCCAATGTTCCCCGGCCTGACATGGGAGGACTTGGTGGTTTCTGAGTAGGAGGATTTGTTCTAGACAGTGTGCCAGTTCTTGCAGGCTGGTTATTTCCATGCTAAAATGTGGAAAGAAAGGCATTTATTTTTATATCAAATTGTTCTCTTGATGTTTTAACACCATGTATTATTTTTTTTAATATCAGAATGTGAAGTAAGGATTCCCAGACAGATTTAATAAAGACTTTGGTACATTTTAAAATAACTCAGGAACTACCTGCACTTAGTCTTTCCTATTATTTTATGCCATTCACATCAATTTATGTCAAAATACAGGTATGATTACTGAATTTTACATATTATTTTATTGTTAAACATGTTTGTGGAAATCAAACTTATCTGCACTCAAATACTTAGTTGCTTTGAATTTCTGAAATGTATGCATAAACATGAACTCACTGTCAATTTGTTAAGATACCCATCTGAAAAATTATCTAATAATTCAGTAACAAAGTCACATATGATGTCTGGGAAACCTCCTAATTGTAAGTCAATGAAAGCAAGGCAGCTATCAAAAAAATGAGCAAAGCAATAAATGTTAGCAAAATTAATGTTCCTATGTAAATGCAAATGTCAACATATCTTTGATATATTAACACAGCCAAGCTAAGTGTTGCTGATTTGAACTGAGTTTGAGTATATTTAATCTACATAAATCCTATAGGGAAAAGCAGACAGACATAAGAAGAGTTTTCAAATTTTAGTGGCTCTGCGGTCTCTACCAATATAGAGGAAATACTGTGGATCAAGAGATAAGTAATGTCTCTTACCTTGGCTTTTAGCCACTATACGTTGGCATAAAAAGGGGGGAAAAAGTAGAAATTAATTCTAGATGTTATATTTGATAGGACAGGTTTACATTTATAGTTATTCAATTTTTGTTAATAAGCTTATATCCAGCCACATTTCAAATATTTTGTTTAAAAAAGTTATCTATAATTACTAGGAAAATACTTATGCATTTCATATAATTTTCAAAAAAAAGAAATCTATAAGGAAACCACAACTTAATTATGTCAAGCTCATATGAGCTCAATAATTTCTTAGATCAAAATTTTATGCTATGGAACTAATTCAACTGATTAGTTCAAGGATGAAGTTTAATCACAATAATACATTAGATGCAAACTTATTTTAATACATCATTCTATAAGTCTTAAGACCATTGGAGAGTGAGTGTTCATGTGTAAGCATTACTTCAATGGTAGAATATTATAAAAAGTGCTAGACTGTTATGTGTATGTATGATGCACTAATCAAAGCAATTTTTTTAAAAAAGGTGCTAGACAGTAAATGTTACAATTCAAAACCACGGGTTGCTTCCAAATTCAGTAATGGACCTAATTCAGTAAAGCAAACAGGGTCTAGAAAACCCTCTCATTTCTAGCTTATAAAGTCAAATCCTGAGCAAGCCAACACTAACAGAAAGTTATTATGTTGCCCTTAGTCCTGAGTTTTCTTCTGAACCAGTTTAACCAGAATTCAAAATGCAAAAAAGTTTGCTTTAATTGTAAGGACTATTTCTTTGAAAGATAACTAGCTTACATGTATCAAACAATGTGTATAGCTCTAAAACATTACTACTTATACTATGCCATTAAGGAAAAAAAAAAAAACTTCAGTTTCTAGAATCTTACTTTTTATAGACTTTTTTGGGTTTCAAGTTTTTGTCCTTAACATCTACCACTTTTCAGGTGACTCTAAGGAAATCATCCAATAGAAGTTTACTTTCTCTTAGATATGTTCTCATTTATAGAAACTGTGCCAGAAATTTGGTATTCTTCAATGTTTGCATAAAATAATAGGGCTCACAATGATTGAAAAACAATGTCTGGAACCCTACCTAACCACTTCATTTCACACCTGGATTTAGGAAAATAAATGTGACTACTATTAAGATCTTGATAAGATACCCAGATATATATATCTCTTATAATGCATATGCAATACAATACAGTAATTATTATATTTAACCAAAAATATTCTAAATATGATCACACATCTCTTCTCATTTGTTTCAACTAAACGGGAAACCAAAAACATTAACATTCAAGGGTAAGCTTGTCACAAAGGAAAGAAAAAAAGAGAACTGGATTGGGAATGAAAAATCCAATTGAACTCTGCTTCTATGCAATGGTGTAATCTTTAACATTTTATGGAGCTCAGCCTCCTCTATTAAGTGTGTTTATAAGTAGATAGATTATTTCCTACAGCCTCACATCTTCTAATTCAAAATATTTTAATTGTGAATAACCTGAAATAATGTAAGTTAAATATCTACTTAAATATAACCAAAACATATCCAAATTAAGACCTTTCTTATTTCCCTAAGATTTCTATTTCATTTTCTTAACAGTTACATTTTTATATACCTTTATTTTATTTATTTATTTTTATGTGGTGCTGAGGATCAAACCCAGGGCCTCACACATGCTGGGCGAGTACTCTACCACTGAGCCACAACCCCAGCCCAACAGTTACATTTATGAATAAGTAATTTTACCATTTCCCTGGAATCACAGGTTAAAAACTCTCTGGTTCCTCTTTTTCTATCCCTAAATAGATCAGAGATTTACATATGACAGTTATTAAGGGTATGTAAGGCCAATTCTTTTTTTGAAATGATTAATTAGCTAAACTCATTTTTAAAAATAATATCCCTATGGAAATATTATAAAGCTTTGGCAATTACACTGTTAAATGAACTGGGAGGCCATTATGCTTAAAAAAAAAAAAAAAAACTGTTGTTCTAGGTTCCAACAAAGCAAACCAAAACCAACTCAAAATAATCAGAAAATTGACAACTAATCTCTAGAGAGTTTACCAATCCGAAATTGCCAAATAACCTCTAACTAACAAAACATTTTCGTTGTCTTACTTCTGTGAATTTCTCCTCACATCCCCTGTGGTCTGGAGCTACCAAATTTTAATGTTTATCTTTTAATGCCACCAATAAAATCCAACAACTACTATATCACATTGTCTTTTTGAAGCATAAAAATAAGCACAGGGTGTAACTCTATTTCATGCACAATCAGAGAAATCAAAAATTTTGCTCCATTTGTGTACAATGAATTGAAGAATTTTCTAACGTCGTGTACAAGTGATTAGAACCAATAAATAAATAAATAAGCAAACAAGCACAGGAATACTAATATACATGGAAAGTCCTTGTAAACTATGAACTAGACCATAAATTTGTTATTTTGTTTATCAATATTAACATAAACTTCTCTGCTAGGTGTCCCAGCCTTTGCCTCTCTATTACTCTAAACTTTGTGCTCACTTATAGTTCATCATCTTTCATTCCCTTTATGCACATATTCTGGTAGTTTCACTATACTGGGATTCTCTTATCCATATCTTACACGGTTTCCAAACAAAATCAAGCCAGATTTACCTTAGGATATGTTTGTTTTAAATTCCTATTAAGTTTATGTATACCATCTATTTTGCCACATAAAATGCATTAACTAAACACTATTTAAATGAAGCCCAAGTGTATGAAATACAAATACCAAACACTTAAATTTATAACAAAAAATAGCAAAATATGATACAACATTAATTTTGAAGTGTGGAAGTATCAAGCATAAAACCTGGTATAGGATTATTAATCTACTTAGATTCATTTTTTTAAATTCTGTATATATTTTGAAAAATGCCAAAACATCAAAGTTAAAAGCCAAACAGCAATATGAAGAAATAATATTTGACAATTTATGAGGGACAAATTTCCATAACAGAAAAAGGACTTTTACAAGTCAATACAAAATCAAATTGCTAAAAGAGAAAAATAGGCAAAGAATAATAAAATAGTTTTAGAGTTCATAGTATTTCCTTATACTTAAAATACTAATTTTATGATAGCTTCAAATTCTCCTTCTCATAATTTTGGCCCTTGTATTTGTTTATTAACTATTCTCCAAATTTCTTAATTTCATATACCTCTATAGTCCTGTAGAAATTTTTAAGAGAAAAATGATCTTTTACAGAAATCACAAAACTAAGAAAATAAAACAGTAATGAGTCTAAAAGGGGAAATAATTGTGTGTGTGTGTGTGTGTGTGTGTGTGTATACCACAGAAACAAATATGGGCAAATACGCAATATAACAGCTTTTAAGGTATAGGATTTTCACATACTCCTACCGGTATCCAAAAGTATATTAAATGTAGATAGTCCAACAAAGTACTGTACTCAATGTCACAGATTGATACACTTGAAAATAGTTAATGCTAAATTTTGTGTTACATATATCTTATACCACAATAAACTGTAAAACAAATCCCCCAAAACATCTTATAGCTAGAAAACATTCTGCCAAAATTCACATCCATGCCATTTCAGCATATTATGCTATTTACACTGACTACCTGCACACCTAATGCCATAGTTAAGTTTTCTCACCCAAAACTTTGTTTTAAAATTAAGACTCACCTTATATTCTGCTAAGTAATGCATTTTAAACACACAATTAGTGGAAGGATGAGATAAAGGAGGATATTCACTTCTAATGAGACAGAATTTTCTTAGTTTTAGTAGGAAGAAAAATCAAAATGAGACAAAAGAAAGCAGAGTGAGTGAATATGTGTATATGTGTATACAGGTAAACATACAACTATGTATAGGGTATGTGTGTGTCTATTTTAATCCCAAGATGGGTAATAATACAAAATAAGGTTTTCCTAGACTCTCAAAATGCAATTTTACCTCTTTTACAACCACAGACACATATCTGGAAAAAAGTACAAGGAACAAGCAGTCTCCTCTACATGTGGAAGTATTCCAACTTTATATATAATTCCCACTAATGAAAATGAAGAGAAGATTTCAAAAGTCTTAGATAAGAGTAAAATATGATCAATGCTGTTGGCTATAGTTTTTTCTGGATCAGGAATCCCAGAAAATTGAGGAATGCAACAGATCTAGCAATAGCCAGGACAACAAGGTAGAAAAAGTTCCAAGATTCTAGCTCACTCATTAAAAATTATTATAAAATATTCTGAAGACCAGAAACAAAATCAAATAATGGTCCTCAAAAAAAGGGACTATCATATTTCAGAGAAATAATTTATCTTAAGCAGAGATGGCTAAAGAATTTGAGTCATTCCAGATGCTTGCAAAATGACACATGAATATCCAAAACTGACAAACTATAGGTATCCTTCAAGATCAGCTAATTCTGCCATGCTTATCAATGAACATGAGCAACAAATAATCTCTCTCCTAAAAGTCTGCTATGTTTTTTTTTTTTTTCCTTTTTTTTTTCAGGGAGGGAAAGGGGTAACAGAATATAATGAAGAAAATTTCATAAATTTTTCAATTTTTTATAAATTGCTAGAACTATATCAACATATACACATGCACAAATATGCATACATATTTAGGAATAAAAGGACAAAATTATGTATAATTTGTTTTCTAAACCAATTTTGGAAAGCACTTAACTTTTTATTTTTCAATATTATTCAGTAGTAAAAGCATTTACAATACAAATTTATAACAGTAGTCTAGGATTCAAATGATTTACTTAATGAACAGCTTTTTCAAGTTTTCATATCTTTCTGAATATAGCCTCTTCCAAAGGTAAAATTCTGTTCCAAGCTTAGTAAAATACACAATTAATATTAAATACATATAAAATTATAATGCTAGTTACTAAAGAGAATCTATCAAATAAGAAAATTATCACCATATCTCCTATCCAAAATTAATTACAATTATGTACTTTAAAATGCTTACCTTCACACCATGGCCAACATCATCGAGAACTGTGTAGTCAATAGGTTTTCGAATATATCTTACAGGGCGCTCCATATTTGCAGGTGCTATTATTTTGTGAGTTCTTGATGTATTCTTATTTGTGGTCAAAATACCGATCTCTCTTCGAGCCACTTTCTCTTTATGAATATCCACAGTCTGTATTTTAAATTTGAACAAAGCAAGAAAGTGTTATTTGGCATAGTAAATAACATAACATGAAAGTCCATCTATTTTGGGCCACATATAGGTCGAACCACGGGACTGACTGTACCACATGTCTATTTTCTATCTTTACTATCTTTATCTTCAAAATTAAGCAAATAAATTTCCTCAAGTCTCAAAGCAAGGTATACTTACAGTGATTAAAACACCAATTTAATGAATTTGACACTAAAACAACTTGTCAGAAAAGCAATGTGTTAAGGAGTTCTGCACTGAGTATCTTACACTTTACCACTTTATATAGCAGGAATGCAGACCAGAAAAAGAAATCACTAATTATAACACAATGAAGTTAAGCACTACAGTGACATATGCACAGATTACTAGAAATTATAGAAAAGTGTTCAGAGCAAGATACTTAACTAGGGTGAAAATAATTCACTTAGTCTTTACATGAGAAATATATTTTAAATATAGGAATTCCAGGAGTAAGGGGCAAACATGGAAATTATTAAAAGGCAGAAGGACTGAACACAGCAGACAAAAACATGAGAGGAAAAAATAAAAGGCTAAGGTTATAAACTACTAACACGAAGCCTTCTACCTACTTAGTACAAACTACCTACTAATGGCCTATAAGGTTTTAAAAAATATATATTTTGGGGGAGCTGGAAATGTAGCTCATTAAAAAAATATTTTGGGGGGTCTGGAAACATAGCTAAATGGTAGAATACTTGCCTAGTACATGCAAGGGCCTGGGTTCCATCCCCTGTACCATATTGTAATAACAACAACAACAATAATAAAATTTTACGTATTTTTATTTAGTTATTTTATGTATTTTTATTTAGTTGTGCATATTTAAAAACTGGATAACAGACTGATTCAAAAAAATAATCATGCAAACTGCTTAACAATTTAAACATGTCCTAACAATAATGGGGTACTGATGACAAATTTAAATTAACATGATCATATCTGCATTTTAAAAGATCCCTCTGGGGCTGAGGTTGTGGCTCACCAGTGTAACGCTCACCTAGCACGTGCGAGGCCCTGGGTTCAATCCTTAGCACCACATAAAAAATAAATAAATAAAATAAAGATATTGTGTCCAACTACAACTAAAAAATAAACATTAAAAAAAAGATCCCTCTGAGACAAATGTTGAGGATAGAAAGAATAAGACAGTAAGACCGGTTGGGAGGCAACTATAGTTGACTAAAGACCAGTTAGGAGGTAACAATAGTTGATTAGATGAGAAAAGGCTAGGATTCTGAACTGAATTAAAGCAGGAAAACAGGAAAGAAGAGATACTGTCAGGAGAAAGAAAGCTTAATATTATGCCTATAACAGATCCATTATGATTCTATTTCCTAGCCAGATACCCTAACGCATGCCTGTAATCCTAGCAGCTTGGAAGGCTGAGGCAGGAGGATCCCGACTTCAAAGCTAGCCTCAGCAACAGCTTGGCACTAAGCAACTCGGTGAGATCCTGTTTCTAAATAAAAAATACAAAATAGGGCTCGAGAATGCAGCTCAGTGGTCAAGTGCTTCTGAGTTCAATCCCCGGTACCAAAAAAGAAAAAAGAAAAAAAGATTCTATCTTATTTCACCAGAATTTTTAAATTGGTTGGGAAAGAACCTGTAATCAAAAATGCTATGGGGCTGGGGATGTGGCTCAAGCAGTAGCGCGCTTGCCTGGCATGCGTACGGCCCGGGTTCGATCCTCAACACCACATACAAACAAAGATGTTGTGTCCGCCGAAAACTAAAATAAATAAATAAATATTTTTTAAAAAAAATGCTAGCCCAACTCCAAAACAATTCCATACACTGTAAGAAGATGTACTACCTCCCTCTGTTCTGGTTGATTACACATAGAACATATAACACACAGTGTCTCCTTAGAAAGCAAAAGGCAAGTTTGTTTACTGTCCAATATAATAAAGATAATATAGGCATTCAAGGCAACGGTCAGAGTGGCCCCTTGGGCTAGGAATGTGGCTCAGTAGTAGAGCACCTGCCTAGCATGTTCAAGGCCCTAGGGTCAACCCCAGCACAAGGGCACACACACACAGCGTGGCCCCTTACACTGGAAGTCCTTTTCCTATAGTGCATCCAACTTTGTGTGCACGCATCACCTGTCTCTCTTTGACATATCCTGTAGAAACTGGGGCTCCACAAATGCTGACTCTTTGGCTACTGCAATTGCCGTGAGTATTGATGTCCTTTGTCTCTGATTCAGGAGTCCTATGTCTTCCAGCAGAATCCATGCAACTGTGGAAGCTATTAGCTTACAAGGGTAAAATCTCATAGACTTTTCACAATTTTTAACTGTTCTGGCAATGAATATGGAATATTAAAAAAGTTTTTCTAGCAATAGGAGTAAGGCCAATTAACATGAACTGAGAAAAGTCCATGAGAATGGAAGTGAACGGTCCTTTACTTTGCTGTTAATGAAGCTGAACTGAAGAGATATTTCAGGCTGACTATCAAAAGTAGGTAGATTCAAAGATAAGGCCTAAAATGTCCTGGTTATTGCCAACTCTCCTCCAGATGGAAGAGCTTCCTCTCACCAGGCTGACAGTCAGCCTCAGGAGGTCTGTCCCATGAACAAGAACTAATATCTGTCTGGTGAGGGGGGAACGCATAAGGTTCTGTCCTTTTCAGACAACCGTTAGAGATGAATATCTGCACTGAGTGTGTAAAGGAGGAAAATTTGCAGCTTCTGTGAACAGAACCAGTCAAATATTTGGCTAACATGCTTGGAAGACAAAAGAGTAAGGCATATAATGCTTATTTTCCTTAAGGCTAGTCTCTGGGCTGAGGACTTTAAGACCCCTCCCAGCCCACTGCCAACAAGAACACAAATCACCCTGAAGGGGGAATTTTGTGATCTTTATACATACTTTAAAAAAAAAACCAGGACAATTAAAAATGAAGCCCATTAAAAATAACATCTGTAAAAATAACAAGTTCCAATTAGAACCAGTCCAAGTCGACCAAGGTGAATGAGAGTGCCTTAGATCTGTAGCCTATCATAGGGTTCACTTGGGTACCTTGGATAAAACAGTATGCAGTAGGGATTTAAAAATTCTGATGCAGGGGCTGGGGCTGGGGCTGGGGCTCAGTAGTAGAGCCTAATATGTGTGAGGCACTGGGTTCAATTCTCAGCACCACATATAAATAAATAAAGCTATAAAAACAACAAATTTTTTTTAAAAAATCTGATGCAATCCTAAAGTCAGTCAAGAATTAAGAGATGATATCTGGGTAGGACTCTTGAAACTGTGCTAAGATCCCAACAGAACTAGAGAACAAAGAGGCACAATATAGCTCTACTGCCAGAGGATCCACCCTCTCCCTTGGGAGCATCTTTTCCTTTCCCCTTGCTTTTACTATGTTTCATGTCTTGTCTGAAATTTTCTCCTACAAGAAACTAAGAGCCAAGAAACACGACGAAAACCCCAGATTCCCAGGACCCCTGCCAGTTAACAAAAAGATTACCATTTGGAGTAGGTAAATTCAAACCCAATGACCAACAAGATGAGAAAGGCCCAGGGAGCTAGTCTCATTACATGGAAATAGCATATTCAAGAATGCAATCAACCTAACCCTACAGTATCTCAGCTCTACATGAAAAAGTAACTGGTACCCCTTCTGGGAAATTTATTCTATGCTGCCACATAAAACAAAGCTGCTGGTTCAATTAGGCTTTGATTCAGAGGTTCCTTTAAATGCCTGGGCCAAGGTCACTGATGATTCAACTATGTTGAAACCCTATGTGCCCAGTGGGCTTCTGTGTTGTTCAACCTTGGTGCCAACCATGCAGAACTCAAAATGTGTGAGGCTGCTTGGTTTGGCAGGCAAAACTCAAAGATGTTCTCTTTTCCGGCCAATATTTCCTTTGAAAATATTGTTTTATTCTTACTGACCCCTTGACTGTTACCAATGGACAAGCTACTTGGTCTGCTACTTGGAAAACTATTGAATGACATGATAAAGATTATCCATAAACTATGAAGATCAATTTAGTTGTAGATTGAACCATAAGGGTCACTAGTATAATACTCACAGTAAAGGACCATTGACTCATAACACCAACTGGTAAAAAGCTACCAGATTTAAGTCTGCATGTCCAGAATGCCACCACTGATTGCTGCCAATTCATCACCATACCAAAGCAATGACACATCATCATAGAGTAGAAAACAGTATAAAAGACTATATTCCTGATACTGGAACTATCATCTAATCTCAGACTTGTGAATCCCAGAAAATGAGTCATTTTATATACTACTGACAGATTGCCTACATCAGATCTTTGACATTTCTCTTTTGGATATCAGTGGTGCCGACATTTGCAGGGTCTGGTAATGCTATCCCAATCCAATCAGTTGACTCTAGCCACAACAATGTAACACTTGACTGTGTCATGATTTTTATTTTTTATGTCATTTATTATCTGATAATGGCATGCTTATTTTGGGGGGGTGGGGAGGGTGGGGAGATACCAGGGATTGAACTCAGGGGCACTCGACCACTGAGCCACATTCCTAGACCTATTTGGTATTTCATACAGAGACAGGGTCTCACTGAGTTGTTTAGCACCAAGCTGTTGCAGAGGCTGGCTTTGAACTCTCGATCCTCCTGCCTCAGGCCTCCAAAGCCACTGGGAGCCACTGGGATTACAGGCATGCATGTGTAACCATGCACAATATGGTGTGCTTTTAATCACAAAAGTTACTCAACAATGAGCTGTTACTCAACAGTTATCTGATACCTTCCATATTTTCTACCAGCCATAAGCATCTTCCCTTTTTTTTTTTTTTTTTTGAGTGGTGCTGGGGACTGAACCCAGGGCCTTATGCATATAAGGCAAGCACTTTACCAACAGAGCTATATCCCCAGCCCCCACAAGGATCTTATATTGCTAAGCAAAAAAACAGCCTCCTCAAAAATAAAGTTTAAAAAAAAAAAAAAACACCTCACCA